GAGGAGAGGAGAGGAGAGGAGAGGAGAGGAGAGGAGAGGAGAGGAGAGGAGAAGAGAAGAGAAGAGAAGAGAAGAGAAGAAGGAATAGAACAGCAATAGCAATAGCAATAGCATTTAGACTTATATACTGCTTCACAGTGCTTTTACAGCCCTCTCTAAGCGATTTACAGAGTCAACATATTATCCCCAACAATCTGGGTCCTCATTTAACCCACCTCAGAAGGATGGAACGCTGAGTCAACCTTGAGCCAGTCAGGCTTGAACTCCTGGCAGTGAACAGTGAATTAGCATTCAATATTGTGTTCAAACCACTGCACTTTTTTTTGATGGCATTGCAATTTCGAATGGTCACTAAATGAACTGTTGTAAGTCGAGGACTATCTGTACTTGCTTTATAGACAGTGTCCTGTAATCAAGCTATTTAGCCTCGTCAATTCTGCTGTTGCAGGAAGAGAATGAATGACCATCCCACCTGTCTTGAGTAAGGTAGTTTTAAAATAGTCTGCGTTAAAGTAAAATAACCAAAGCTAGTGCTTAAAAATGCCTTCAAGTTATTCAAAACGCACGTTAAAACATAAATAGAACACATTTATGTAATGATGATACATTAAACTAGGCATCTTTGAATTACTTAATCAGTGGAACTTCCATACAGGTATCAACAGTCAACCCCATTTGTTTCCTAATTATATAGCTCTTAAAGTAAATAGAGTTGTAGTATCTGTTGTATATCAGTATATTCTTCATGACAACAACCTAATTTTGCTTGAAGCTTTATGTTGTATAAAAGGTAAATGAAATAAAAGGTTCTCTAGATTATTTATTTCTTCTTTTCTAGATTATGTCTCTATTATTTTCTATATTTAGTTTTCAAATTTATGTTCTAATCCAGGGGTGTCAAACGGAAGGCCCGGGGCCTGGATCCTGCCCGCAGGGTGCTTAGATTTGGCCTGCGGGGTTGGAAACAGCGAAGGACTGGCCCGTGATGCCTCTGCCAGCAAAAATGCAGCTTGGGAGGGCTGCACATTGCCCTCCCAAGCTCCGTTTCTGCTGGCAGAGGGTTGCAGGAGGCTGTCGTAGCCGAAAACGGAGCTTGGGAGGCTGTTTTCACTGGCAGAGCACTTGGGCCACCACAGGCGCCCCTGACACGAGTGATATCGAATTGGCCACACCGACCCTGGCCAAGTGTCCCCCTCCCTGAGGTCAAACACAACCCAGATGCGGCCCTCAGTAAAATCGAGTTTGACACCCCTGTTCTAAACCTTAACTTCCAATCTTTCAATTTGGTGTATATTTTACTAGTCAGGTTTTTCCTAGCATTAGTAAGTTTTAGAATTTGGTATACTTTCATTCTTTGTTAAATTATATTTAACTGACCTCGGGTTTTTATTGTAATCTTTAATTTTGTACTTCTGTATATCATCCTAGGAGCTTTGGCCAAAGAATTACTTACCAGTGGGCCGAATAATAAAATCTGCTGATTGTTCTTGGCCATAAAAGACAATTATTTCTTAGATCAATTGTAATTTATAACTGTTTATGTGTAGAAAGGGATGCTGGTGGCTCAGTGGCTAAAACGCTGAGCTTGTCGATCGAAAGGTCAGCAGTTCAGCGGTTCGAATCCCTCCTGCCGCGTAATGGGGGTGAGCTTTTGAACTGCTAAGTTGGCAGAAGCTGGGACAAGTAACGGGAGGTCATTTGTCCCAGCTTCTGCCAACCTAGCAGTTCGAAAGCAGGTAAAAAATGCAAGTAGAAAAATAGGAACCACCTTTGGTGGGAAGGTAACAGCGTTCCGTGCGCCTTTGGCGTTGAGTCATGCCGGCCACATGACCACGGAGATGTCTTCGGACAGCGCTGGCTCTTCGGCTTAGAAACAGAGATGAGCACCACCCCCTAGAGTCGGGAACGACTAGCACATATGTGCAAGGGGAACCTTTACCTTTACCTATGTGTAGAAAAATCCAAGCTTTCTTCTTTCACTTCTGCTACTAGAAGAGGTTGTGACAATGGCTCAAAAGTACTAAAATCACTTTGCAACATAGGAAATTGCCTTGACAGTTGTGCACAAACCACAGGATTAGGCAATAGAAGTTGCCAAAAAGGACTCGTCCACTTTAAACTGAAGTCTTTCCATTGAGATCTGTCCTGTGCGGTTACTCTAATACTGTATAAAACTAGGTTAGCAGTGGAAAAAAGTCTGCAATTTTTTTCTGGAATAGGTTAGTTTTCTGTTTGCCATAAATTAAAACAAAAAATAAAAATTACCAGTGCCAAATTCTCTGTATTATATTTATTTGGCTAGACACCAGCCATATTACTTTCTACATGAACAGGCCCAGTCTATGATTATTTCCACGTCAAATCAGTTAAGCCTTTTTAGTTAAAAGAATGTGATGCGTTTAATTATCTTTTCTATGAAAGAAGTAATTGAAAGAGGTTTGTTTGTTAATTACTTCTGTTTGCATGTTGCTCCGTTTCCAAAAATTCCGAGTGATGTTGAAATAATTGCATAAAATTAAGACATAAAAAAAAAACCTGATAAAAAATAACCACAAGGCCTTGATGTGTCAATCATCTGGGCTGAACGATCTTCAAACCATGTTTTCCTGGCTCTTTGAAAATATAATAAGAAGAAGTTGGCATATCTGAATAGCTTTATTAATTACACAGTTCCTGTCTCTTGGTTTTTGGCTCAATAGTTCCCACGTCTAGGATCCCAAAGACAGCGACAAATTGAAGTAACCAAACAAAACTCAGAAAAAAAAAAGAAGATAAATAAATGAACACCAGGAATAAATAAGGAATGAATCATTTATAGTACTTTTAACACCCTGAATAATTAAATATAAAATTGCCTTTTCTGTAAAAGATGGAAAATTATAACAACAGCGGGATTCAGGGCAGGATGCTGTTACCATAGCAACTGATGAACCTACCTTAAAATCTGGGCTTTACCATACATTGGTGCTCAGTCTGAACTTTCCACAAATCAGATAGGAAATATTTTAAAAATAATGTTAACCAAAACAAGAGAATAGGTGCAAAACAGAGCAGTGCATGGGTTATATTCAAGCTGTCCATTGCCAAAGAGATGGCATTCTGTGTCAAAAAACATTTTTGGGGATTTATCGCTATCATTGGTTTTACCATTTGAAAATGTTGTAACTCCCCCCCCCCTTCAGTCTTTTGATTTGATCATGCTGCTGCCTCTTTTCTTTTAAATTCTGTGCTTGCATTTTCTTGCATGAATGTAATGTGATACCTGAAATCAGTGGGTTTAATTTGGTTAAGACTTTTTTTTTTTTTACATAGTGCTTTTTAAGAAGCTGATTGATTCACAGTGCATGCTGCAGTACTTAATTATTTCTGACAGGTCATTACAATTTTTGGACGAAACTGAGTGCGGTTTTAAATGCTTTTCTGTCTGAGCATTACTATGTTTTTTGACCAAGTGTGTTAGGTTCATGTTGGAATTTATCAGCGATTATTGGGAATTTTAAACTGGCTGCTTTGATCTTTTTCTAACACTTCCGAGGTCTTTGGTGCCTTTTAACATTTTCTGCCTTTCTCTTCATCATCATCATCTTCTTTAAGAACCCCATAATCCCTTGTGGGGTGGAGTCTGGGCAACTGAATGGAGCTGGCAGAGTGTTTTAATGGCCGGATGCCCTTCCTGTTGCCAATGTGGAGTTTTGTTCAGCAGATCTATTCTCAGTGTGACCAGAGAGAGAGAGAGAGAGAGAAATATCTGCCTCTACCTAGGATCGAACTCACAGCCTATTGATTGTGAGGCGAGAGCTCCGCCTCTAGGCCACTGCGCCACTCCATTTTCTGCCTTTCTCTTGATATCTTCCATATCTTCATCTTACTGAGCTCGCTCTTTTAGGCATGCTACTTTTCATGAGTTTTAAAATTCAATTAAAAAAAAGCAAATAAACTCCACACAGCTTCTTTCTATGTTTGTTTGTTTGAAGATTGTGTTGCAATTTTTCTGCCTTCGGTCTTTGAGTTTGGGAAGTGGCAGAGGCAGATGAAAGCAGCTTATGAAACAGCTGCGGAAGCCCAGAAAAAGACACAATTTCTTTAAAAGAAAAGTGTTTCTTTATATGCCCTGTGTGTGTGTATATATGTGTGTGTGTGTGTGTGTCTGTCTGTCTGTCTGTCTGTCTGTCTGTCTGTCTGTCTATCTATCTATCTATCTATCTATCTATCTATCTATCTATCTATCTATTTTCTTACTTCTTCCAGCCTGGTTAGAGGAAAAACACACATAAACCCTACGAAGAAGTAAGAAAATAGATACTATACCTTTACAGGGAGGATACATAAGATATGGGTGTGGCCTACTGATGAAAGCAAACGAGCTAGAAATAGATCTATATAGGTCTCCCACCTAGCAGGAAGAGCTTGCTAACTGCTAGAAAAGAAAAAAGCCCAGAATCGAGTGGATGTGATTCTACTGAGCTGGTGCTGCAGAAAAACCTTGGTTACGTAGGGAAAACCTGGCTAGAGGAAAAACGCAGACACAGACACAGACACACACAGACACACACAGAGACACAGACACAGACACAGACACACACACACACACACACACACATATATATATATGTGTGTATATATATATATATATATATATGTATATATGTATATATGTATATATATATATCGTTTTCCTTATGTACACTGAGAGCATATACACTTGGCCTATAAAGAATTCTATTCTATTCTATTCTATTCTATTCTATTCTATTCTATTCTATTCTATTCTATTCTATTCTATTCTATTCTATTCTATTCTATTCTATTCTATTCGCACTGAGACAGAGGGACTGGCCCAAGGTCACCCAGACAATTTTCATGCCTAAGGGCAGGACTGGAACTCACTGTGTCTCCTGGTGATTGGCCCGAAGTCACCCAGCTGGCTTTCATGCCTAAGGCAGGACTAGAACTCACAATCTCCTAGTGATCAGCCCACCGCCATTTGGACTATTTCCATGGCTAAAGATGGGTCTAGAACTCACTGTTTCCTGCTGATCGGCCCAAAGTCCAGCAGCTGGCTTCCATGGTTAAGGTGGGACTAGAACTCACCGTCTCCTAGTTTTTAAGTCATCACCTTCACCAAGCGGCTCAACATCTTATTTCAGTGAAGGCTTTCCTTTCCTTCTGGTTTAAACAATGGTCTCTGCTGTTTTCGAAAGCTGGATAGCTTTTTTCCCACTGCCTTCATTTGAAATACTGTCTTTTGCAAGTGGTTTTTTCCCCCCTTCCCCTCACAATTATTTTTTTCTTGCTGAGACTAATCTCCTTTAAAAGCTTGTCCTATTCATTTTCTCCCCTAATGATAGGTACTTGTCTGAAGTACCCTTGGTAACTGCAAATCAAAGCCCCACTGTTCTTAACCAGTAGAATAAATACCTAAGGTGTTCTGCTTAATTGCAGTTGGAAATGTCAACTTTCAAAATGTATATCTTTAATTTAATTTGCCTGTGTTTAGGACTACTATAAAACACTCGGCAATAGACGTGTTAAGCGGAATATATTAAAAATCAGATGAAAAGAGTGCTAGGGCTTCTGTCGCTTTTACTTACATGCACATCTTGAAATTCTTGATGGAGGGGTTAAACACGTCATAAGTCACGAGTCTCTGCATGCCCACCTTAACTGCCTTCTTAATTCCCGCTCATTTCTCTTGACCGTTAGTAGGTCAGATTTTTGTAGAGAGTTTAAGCTTTTGGCAATGGTTTGCCTTCCAAGCGTGTTTCAATTTAGTTTCTTTCTTTCTTTCTTTCTTTTTTTTTTTGGAGCCTAAGCTTGCAATAAATTTTATATTCATTTAAACTCCCTGAAACTCCTGATTTCCATGGGCTTGATCCTGTTTTTGTCGTTGAAACATTTGTTTCTTTCACCATGACAAATGCGAGATCTCAAGTTTTGAAGATCAATGCAGATCTTCTGGAATCTTTCTAATAGTTATTCACGCTTCTGGGATTCAGTTCTTCAGCTTTTGGGAATTTAGGACTTTTACATATAGACAGCATTGGAAAACAGCATTAATGAACTTTGTCGTTGTTTTTTTTATTGATGGGACACCCACTGAATGATCTGTCTGTCACATTGAGGCAAAAATGATACCCCCCACAAGAAGCAAGATGCTTTTCTATTATAGCCTGTCTGTTTTAAAATGCCCCCCGTAGAGAGGTTTAGTTATTAATTTGCTTCTGAATCTTTTTTTTATCGCGTCGCCTCTTCTGATCATCGATTTTGTTATTAATAATGTTTCTGCTCTGAAGGTTTGTGATTAATGGGTTTTTTTTTTTTGAAAGGCAGCGAATGCTTTCCCCCCCCTTCATATTAACCACACGTACTTCTTAAAAGTTCACAAAACTCTAGAGGGTATAAATTTAAAAGAAGAGAGAAGGGATTAAAAGAATCAATAAAGAGTATCCGTAATAGGAGGAAAGAGCCTTTAAAGTGGTAAAACATAATCAATGGATGCCAATTTTATGTATGCTTAAAAGTGACTCCTACTGCATCCATTTTCTCTACCATGGAACCAGAGAGTTTAAGAATATCATTCATTCATTCATTCATTCATTCATTCATTCATTCATTCATTGCATTTTGGAATCATCCATCTCCTTCACAGAAGGACTCCATGTGGTGTAGAATAAAAGATTAAAAAACAGTACGTGAAAATTAAGATTTAAGTGAGGCAAGGATTTAAAAGAGGCTGTATGTATGTATATTTCTCAGACCTAGCAACTTTAAGATGTGTGAACTTCAACTCCCAGAATTCCCCAGCCAGCACAACTTTAAGAGTCTTAAAGTTGCTAAGCTTGAACCATGTAGAGTTTATCACTATTTATTGTTTTTTATATGTGATTTTTTAATAATCTTTGGGAGCCGCCCGGAGTCCTTGAGAATGAGTTTCAGTGGCCATATAAATTTTCTTAAATAAACAAATAACATTTTCAAACATCACCATTGTGTAAACAATACTGTTCTTTCTTTTCCATTTTGTAGCTCATAATTATACAGTATATCCACGTTTTCTTTAAAATAGGAAGACAGAGGGAGACAAAAGTTTCTTTGCAAGAATGACTTGTTCTTCATTTTAGGAAGCCACACTTCATTGTTGGCTTAGTTATTCTCTCTCTCTCTCTTTTTTTTTAAAGAGTTGGCTTTTATTCTGGCAAGGTTGATCGGGCCGGAGAATGTTTGCGTTAGCTCGTGTCACTCTATCAAAACAGCCTTAATACTTAAATTATCAAAATAAAGAAAAGGGCTGTGGGTGCTTTCAACTTCCTTCCGAACGAATTTCTAATTTGTTTCATGGGTTTATCTCTCTTATTCAGGCGTATCGATGACGACAAGGGACGAACCCACGAACTGGAGCATTCTGCTATAAAATGCATGCGAGGAATTCTCTACTGCTACATGCGTCAGGCTGATAAGGTAAAACGTCGCATTATGGATAGCAGCAGACACTTTAATTCTAGAGGATTAAGTTAATTGTAAGCATTAAAAGGTTTTGGCGGCAAACAAATTAAAAGGGTCATAGATGTGACGCCAGTTTGCATGCTGCCAGAAAAAAAAGTTTTATTTCTAGGCTCTGGCCCTAATATAGTTAAAAGCCACAGATGAAGACATGCGTGACATAGTAAATCAACTATTTAAAAGCAAACCTTCTTTTAATAACATTTAGAATTTGAACTGAGGGCCAGCCAGAGGCTGCTGGTTGATTTAGTGTTGGAAATGCAATACAGGAAGTCTTTGACTTACGACTGCAATTGAGCCCAAAATAGATATGTTGTCAAGTGAGACATTTATTAAGCGCATTTTGCTCCATTTTACGACCTTTCTTGCCACAGTTGTTAAGCGCATCCCTGCGGTTGTTAAATTAGCAACATGGTTGTTAAGTCAATCTGGCTTCTCCATCAGAAAAGATCGGAAGGTCACAAAAGGTAATCAGAAGGTGTTCTGCCCCAGCTACGGACCCCAAAGAACGCAGCACACACAAAGTCCGTTCAAACCTTGGTTTACTAAATAAATCAGTCTTTTACAACAACGGCTGTTAATTAACTGCATTAACAGCCGCCAAGAGTTCAAAGAATAATAACTGAAAGCTTACTGTGGTTGGCAGAATGCCCAGAAGCAATTTGCAGGAAGCTGATAAGATAAGCAAGACAAGACACGAAGGAATGTGAATGAAGTTGTTCCCTGCAAATTGCTTCAGTTAGCGTTCCTCCTTAAAAAGGCTAAGGGAGTGCCTAATTAGCCCCAAGCCTTACTCTCGAGGAGACCTCCTCCTGAGGAGCCACTCCTGCCTTTTGGCAGCTCTGTGCACCCATGCATCGAGAAGAGGCTCCTCCTTTTTGTCCTCTTCACCCATGGAAGCTTCTGGAGGTTCTGAAGGCCCTGGCTGAATCCCCGCCTCTGGCACCACATCTTCTCCAGCCTCCTCATTGTCCGACTCGAGTGCCAGCTGCACAGGCTGCTGGCACAGCATCACACCAGCCTCCTCGCTGTCTGAATCACCTACTAGCTGCACAGGCCGCGTACGGGCCACAACAACTATGCTCTTATTGCTAAGTATCAACTTCAGACATAAGGCCTACTAAAATAAATCAGGATTCCAGTAATTTTAAGACAAGTCCAGTGCATTCTGATTTTTCCCACCCAGAAAAAGAATTGGCATCACTTCTATTGCACAGCCACCTTTAACATCAAATAGAATAGAATAAAAACATTATTGTCACTTTATATGTACACTAATCAGCATGCATTAAAATGCAATTTTGTTGCATTCAGCTCTCAAAAAACAACCGTTATGCATGCACCCACAGACACACACACATACATACTGTATATGACAAAGCACAAAGCATTTTTCTGGTGTCCCAGTTATAATCATTGGTGACCAGCATTTTACATTTTACGCTTTAAATTACACATATAACCACTTTTTAAATTATACCCTTTTAATTTGCAAGGTTTTTTTTAGATGATCTATGGCATAGCTGCCTCCTTCCCAATTAGTCAGGGAAAATACCTTAAAGGTGGAAAAATAATATTTAGCGTGCTTTCTTTTTCTTCAAATGGTGGTTGTTTCCGGGTTCCACTCTATTCTCATTAAATCTTTACCAAAATAGCAGAGAGTTTTAAAAATGCAGTGGGTCCATGCTATTTAAGGGATGACATGTTTCTTTACTTTTCTATCAGTTCTGAAAAATTTAGTTTGACAAGGTCTTTCTTGAAGTGATGGCATTTCTCCCTTTTGATACGGATTTATTTGACATGGTGTTCAATCATTTTTGATATAGTTAATCAGAAAAGATTATTTATGAGTTCAGGGTCCCAGGAGGATCCTGTTGTGTCGCAAATGGAAAAAGAATTTCCTGCCTTAAATTTGTGTATAGATTATTTTTCCTTGTAATGAAGTTAGAATTTGTTACTGGTCACTGTTTAGTGTTGGTTGAAGACTATATATATATTTTCCTATAAAGTAATTTTAAATCTTATTTTTTCTAGTAGTATTATTTTCCTTGTAATGATGTTAGAATTCAGCTCTTGGGCTCTTTGTAGGAAAGCAACGTTGCTACATTTGTTTCTTGTCGGTGTCTCTTGTTTCTAAACTTCATGGGCTTTGCCAAGAAAAGCCTTTGGCAGGGTGCCAAAGAAGATAAAGGTTTGTGATAAGGCCAAAGGACTTTTTCTGAAGGACTTTTTTTGGAATTAATTTGGACTAAGCTGGGAATGATATTGTTTCTTTAGGACTGATTGTGTCTGGTAATAACTACGTGGTCACAACATCAAGGTGGGAGTGCAGAAAAGCAAAATCTTCTTGTTTAGATGAGTTTTCATAATGACATTCTTTCAGAGGATGTTTGAAAGCAAGATCTACTTGGAAATAAGATTGTTTGAGCCGACGGAGCTCCACGGCTTCAGATTTTGAAATAGGCAGCTTGGATGATAATACAGTGCCCGGAATGAAGGCATTAGAATAACAACTAATATAAAACTTAATGTTTTCAATTGATGGCAGGGCTATTTAACAATCCTATAATTTGTCTATCTAGCCTTGACATCGCGCATCATTATCATGAAATATCTTTTCAAACCTTATGCTACAATAGAGGTAATCTCATTCCAAAATGAGAAGTTGTGTTAATAGTGCCAGTCATTTAGGGCACGTAGACATAAAAACCCAACTCATCTCCCCACCTCTGATGGATTTTGAAGAAGTCGTTTAATCTACCTGATCATTACACCTTGATAGCTTCATTTTATTTGGCTGGCCCGTGTCACGAGCGCAAAGTCGTATTGATATTAAATTTGACTATGTTGTGCTTCGCTTAAACAAAAACTCAGCACAGGTAAATAAGTTCCGCTACCTTATTTTTCTGTCATTTTAGCTTTCAACCTCTAGCTAATTGTGGTTTAAAATTTCTTTTGACATAGTAAATTTTTCTTTTCTTGATGTTGCCACAATGCTAAGCGAAGGGGAATAAGAATGAACAATTGGTAGCAGATGCTAACACTGTAAATTTGCTACTGATTCATCTATGAAGTTTCTGGTTTTTTTCCCTCCAATACCTACAAGGTGACATATGCCAGCAATTACTCAGTGTTATTCTCCTGATATTTGGGACGGCAGGTGTGATGAAACCTACCTTTTCAACACCCCTGCACCTGAACTTACAGAAAAGGCAGGCGGAGTCTGTCACCTCTTATTTTGTAGCGCAGCTCTGGCATGAAAGGGAATAATTAAAGCAGAATTGATGGAAGAAAAGTGGAAGTTACAAGGCAAAAAAGAAGAGAAAAATAAAGCAAGAGAGATGGACAAAGGATTTTTTTAAAAAAGAAACAAAACAAAACTTTCAGAACATTGCCAAAAAAAAAAAAAATATCCCCCAACTCAAACCCAGGATGAAGAAAATAATATATTGTGCCTACAGAATTCAAGTTTTAATATTGATAAGAAATACCCTCAAATTATTTGGTTCTAGCATTATTTAAAGACATGCTAGAATAAACCAAAACCGTTGATGTCTTCAAGACATCCTTATATCTTGGGAACTTAACGGTAGGCCCAGGGCATTTTTGTGACATGAACCTGAAGGATTTTTCGCTGTTGCCTTCTTCCAGAATGTTCTTGGCTTTCCAGATCCAGCCTATGGCCCTAGAGTCCTCTGGTGATCTTCTAGCTAAGGATGAAAGAAGGTTCACTCTCTTGCCTTCTGAACTGGGGTGAAATGCTACCGGTTCGCACCGGTTCGGGCAAACCGGTAGTAATAAAAGCTACCGGTTCACGCGAACCGGTATTTCCGACAATCAGCTGTGCTGCGTGATCTAAATCGTGCGGCACAGCTGTTCCCCCCCCTCACTGTTCTATTTACCTTCTTAAGCCTCCTTTTTCCATGCGAAGTGTGCATTTGGTGCACATTGTGCACGCGTGCACAGTGTGTGTTTGGTGCGCATTGCGCATGCGCAGGCAGTGAACTGGTGGAACACCGCGGAGGATTCCACCATTGCTTCTGAACCTCAAGAAGTTTTCTGCACCTGCCGCATTCCCTCAGAGAGAAAAAAAAGCGTACAACCAACTCACATTTCAACCTGCTCATACCCAGACCCTCAACGGATTTTATTATTTATTTGAATTTATCGGCCACCAAACTCCAGACTTTCCAATCCGTTTGCTGGCCACATGACCACGGAGACGTCTTCGGACAGCGCTGGCTCTTCGGCTTTGAAACGGAGATGAGCACCACCCCCTAGAGTTGGGAACGACTAGCACATATGTGCAAGGGGAACCTTTACCTTTATAGCATTGTTCTCTAAGCACGGGTCCTTTTGAAAGCAAAATAGCTATGTTTTTTCTGGAAATCTGTTCATATTCCCATCCCATTCGAGGGGCATTCATCCCAAAGTGCTTGGCTAAAAGTCTATGGAGATTCTCAGTCATCCAGGCTGTGGTTGTCCCAAAGGTGCTTTTTTCAAGAGGCAATTAACTGGACTTTCTTGTTTTTTCCTTGAAGACATTTTGCTTCTCATCCAAGAAGCTTCTTCAGCTCTGACTGGATGGTGGGGAATGGAAGGATTGATATTCCTTGCAGACAGCTGGTCATTTGCATCCTTTTCGAGGGTCGTTGAGGCCACTTGGAGGTTTATCTGTGTCCTCAGGGGTAGTTTATCTGTGTCCTCCTGAGTAGTGCTCCTGGTTCCTGCAGTCTGAATTTCCAGAAAAATTGCAGACTACAGGAACCATTTTGCGGTATTCAGGTGACCCTGAGTACACAGATAAACTTCCAAGTGGCCTCAACGGCTCTCTTAAAAAAAAAAAATGGAAATGATCATCTGTCTGCAAGGAATATAAATCCTTCCATTCCCCACCATCCAGTCAGAGCTGAAGAAGCTTCTTGGATGAGAAGCGAAATCAGAGGTGGGTTTCAGCAGGTTCTGACCAGTTCTGGAGAACCGGTAGCGGAAATTTTGAGTAGTTCAGAGAAACCGGTAGTAAAAATTCTGACTGGCCCTGCCCCCATTTATTCTCTGCCTCCCGAGTCCCAGCTGATCGGGAGGAAATGGGGATTTTGCAGTATCCTTCCCCTGGAGTGGGGAGGGAATGGAGATTTTACAGTATCCTTTCCCTGCCATGCCCACCAAGCCACGCCCACACAACCGGTAGTAAAAAAATTTGAAACCCACCATTGAATGAAATGTCTTCAAAGAAAAAAAAACAAGGAAGTCCAGTCGCCTCTTTTTAAAAAGCACATTTGAGGAAACCATGACCTGGATGACTGAGAATCTCCATCCACTCTGTATGGGAAAGGCTTGATCCTCCCTAGATAAAAAGACCATTTTTGCATTCGCCATTCTTTCATAAGTGCCAAGATGAAAATGGCAAAGTAACAGCAGGACTCCTTTGCTCCTGATATCCCTCCAGGGAAATGTTTTTTTTTTCAAAAAAAAACCAAACGTAATATTTGCAAGAAAGAAGAAATTGCCTTTGATTCAATGCCATGTTTGCCGTTGCTGCGTTTCTATTACACAACACGATGCTTTTTCCAATCTACCCTTCTGGGAAGCAGTTTTAAAACCCTTACCTTTTGCCAAGAAAAATGATAAATGAAAGAGGTAACGGCTGCAAAAACTCAAAAGTGCTTTTCTTAGAAATCCAACTGTGGTGATGTTTAGTGGCTCGTGGATACTTCGTTGTCGGTAGCTTGACTCATCCAAATATTTGTGTGGAATTACATGTAATCTTTTTTTTCTCCCCCAGGTTCAACAATATAAGCAGGATCCTAAGCCCTCCAAATGTCTGCATTCTATTTTCAACGTTCACACAGGTGATGAGGTCTTTTCTCATGAGGAATACGGTCATCTACAGGTACGAAACGATGGTGTTTTTTTTTAAAAAAAAACAAAAACAAAAAAAATCTACTACAGAGCCAGAGTGAGTTTGAATATTTCCTTCCTGCTGTTTAGTTAAAGGCTACCGTTCTTTTTAAAAATGTCTTCAATTATGGAGCTTGACAAATTGATTTTCCTGCTTTAACCTACCAACAACAGCAAGCTGTTTTGCAGTCTGATTTGTTGCTGTATAATTCAGTGTAAACAATACCAGGGTAATGGCCGAAATGAATTGTCGCTGTCTTTGAAACACGACGAGCTTGGATCTGTGGAATGCAGACCTTAAAATATGTTTATAGATTGATTTTAAGAATTGCTGATCTGGATACTCTTGGTGAATCAATTTCCCTTTCCAGAACACCCCCAGCCGCTTAATTAAAAGTTAATGGGTTTTTAATTTAATTCTTAGTTTTCTTTCCTTCTTTCCTCCATTCAATGGAGTTTCCTTACTGCGTGGGCCGGATTTTGGATTGTCAGATGTCAATTTTACCTGGGAGAGGTGGGTTTCAGCAGGTTCTGATCAGTTCTGGAGAACCAGTAGCAAAAATTTTGAGTAGTTCGGAGAACTGGTAGTAAAAATTTTGACTGGCCCCGCCCCCATCTATTCTCTGCCTCCCGAGTCCCAGCTGATCAGGAGGAAATGGGGATTTTACAATATCCTTCCCCTGGATTGAGGTGGGAATGGAGATTTTACAGTATCCTTCCCCTGCCACGCCCACCAAGCCACGCCCACCAAGCCACACCATGCCCACCAAGCCACACCCACAGAACTGGTAGCAAAAATTTTTGAAACCCACCACTGGATAACAGTACAGGTAGTCCTCAACAACCATAATTTCTGTTGCTAAGTGAAACATTTGTTAAGTGAGCTTTGCCCCATTTTACGACCTTTCTCGCCACCGTTCGTTAAGCGAATCACTGCAGTTGTTCAGTTAGTCAAACTGTCGTTAAGTGAATCTGGCTTCCCCACTGACTTTGCTTGTCAGAAGGTCACAAAAGGGGATCACGTGACACCCCCCCCCGGCCAGGACATTGCGACCATCATAAATATGACTTGATTGCCAAGCGTCCAAATTTTGGTCACATGATCTTGGGGATGTTGCAAAGGTAAGTGTGAAAACTGGTCCTAAGTCACTTTTTTTCAATGCCGTTGTAACTTTGAATGGTCACTAAATGAACTGTGGCAAGTCAAGGACTATCTGTAATCTCGTTCCTGACTCTGAATAGATTAGAATGTTCCCCTAGCAATAACAAGGCATTTCTAACACAGCGCCTGCAGTTTTTGTTTTTTTTCCTACCTCAGAAAATCTTCAGAATCCCTTTGAAATAAGAAATGGTGTAGGTTCTCCTGAGGGACATGGTGGCTCAGTGGCTAAGAGGCTGAGCTTGTCAATCGAAAGATCGGCAGTTCAGCGGTTCGAATCCCTAGTGCCGCGTAACGGGCTGAGCTCCCATTACTTGTCCCAGCTTCTGCCAAACTAGCAGTTCAAAAGCACATTAAAAATATGCAAGTAGAAAAATAGGGGCCACCTTTGGTGGGAAGGTAACAGCGTACCGTGTGCCTTTGGCATTTAATCATGCCGGCCACATGACCACGGAGACGTCTTCGGACAGCGCTGGCTCTTCTGCTTTGAAACGGAGATGAGCACCGCCCCCTAGAGTCGGGAACGACCAGCACATATGTGCGAGGGGAACCTTTACCTTTAGGTTCTCCTGCTTGGGCAGAGGGTTGGACTAGATGACCTAAAAGGTCCCTTCCAACTCTGTTAGATCTGTTAAATACAATATTGTACATGATAATGCAGCAATGGTATTTCCTGCTAGGCATAGTTTGGTTCTGGAGCTGTGCAATTTGATGAATTTTAGGCATCGCATCGCAAATTAATTAACTGCTATGGCTGCTTTTAGCTTGGGGAACGTAGGGGTTTTTTTGTCAACGCTATTTTTATTGCTTATGTTTTAATGGGGAATTGCTGTGGAAAAGGCAGTTGTTTAACTGTAGTTATGTTGTTACGGCTTGCCTCCTTGAAAGCAAAGAGAACCAAAGTATTTCATTTGGAAGACTTTTTATTCTTTATGTTGTCAGGTGAAAGAACGGATGTCATTCGGCATGTTGCGATCTGGGCAGTCTTTTGACGTGCGGTTGTTTCCTTTGACATTATTCCTCCAGCCATAATGTCTTGTAGAAGATTGCAATTGGCAAATGACACGTTGGCAGAGGGGTGAAATCCAGCAGGTTCTGACAGGTTCTGGAGAACCGGTAGCAGAAATTTTAAGCAGTTTGGAGAACCGGTAGCGGAAATTTTGAGTAGTTCAGAGAACCGGCAAATACCACCTCTGGATGGCCCCAGAGTGGGGTGGGAATGGAGATTTTGCAATATCCTTCCCTCAGGAGTGGGGAGGGAATGGAGATTTTGCAGTATCCTTCCCCTGGAGTGGGGTGGGAATGGAGATTTTGCAGTATCCTTCCCCTGCCATGCCCACCAAGCCACGCCCACAGAACCGGTAGTTAAAAAAAAATTGGATTTCACCACTGGGCTGGCATCTAAGAGATAATGACGTCAACAGAAGAAAACAGTGTCATTTTTCATCAACGTAATTCAAATCTAACGAATCAGATGCTGAAGATGGTCCAAATGTCCATCTTCGCACTTCTACCATCGGGCAGAAGACATCGAAGCATAGCGAGCCGAACAAATAGGTTTAAAAATAGTTTCTATCCTTGGGCTGTCAGACTCTTAAACACAACCACAATCACTTCACGCACACACAGAAATGTATGACTGGTTTTTCTTTTACTTTCTTTTTCTTTTTCCCCCCTAATTACTTGCATAGGAATTATTCTTTATGCTATTTATTTTGTTTGTATTTTTTCTCATGGATTGCACCAGTGAGGCTCAAACCAATTTCGTTGTATGCATGATGTACAATGACAATAAAGGTTATCCTATCCTATCCTATTCAAAGGAAATCTAATCCGTCAGTCCTTAAAGGAAGAGCAAGAAACACCCCTGGGTGAAATTATACAAAGATAACAAGAAGTTTATCCTAGCAGGCAGAGAGGTCCCCCATCTCTCTTCCTCATAATATTGGTCAAGATTTCCTGCGGAGGGAAGCCTTCATTTGGACCATCTTCAGGTGTTTGTAGCCTCCATGTTTCTAGTGGGCAAAGATAGAACTGTTACTGATATATATGCTTTCAAAACAATTTTGAAATTAAGTTGAGGGCTGCTAGTTGCCTCATTCTATTCTAGAGGGTATTTGGGCATCCTTGATAATGAAATAAATAACTTTTAAAATACCGTAAACCCAAACTGATTGAATTTCGTGTTTTATTTGAAAGCCAGTATTTTCTAAAACGAATGCTGAAGGAATCCATCGTTGCCCCTTGAAGAGGTATCTCTGATCCCTGAACTGTGCTTTGTATCATGTCATTACAACTCAGGGACACAAGGCAAAAATTACAATAGGAAGCTCCCAGCTCCTAAGCACGTGAGGGATTATCAACCTCTTCCAGATACAGGCATTTATTTTCCATTTTACACCTGTTATTTTCATTCCTTCTGATTTTACTCGACACACTGACTGCAGGCATCATAGTACGGAGCTGGCTAATTTTTTCTTCTTCTTTTGACAGGATTATTTCTTTTATCTTTTCCTTTTTTTCCCCCTCCGTCCAGATAAATGCTGTATCCCTCTTCCTACTCTACCTGGTGGAGATGATTTCATCCGGCCTGCAGATCATCTACAACACAGACGAGGTACGAAATGAGCCAATTCCATATCTCACAAAAGCAGACTGTAGGAATTTTACAGGCTTTTAAACAAAATGGAAGAAAATTCTTTTTCCTTGGGCGTTTTCCGAAATAGCTGTATTGAATTACAATTGGAGCAATATTTTTTTTTTCTTTCTTTCTTGCCTTGAATGATAGCAAGAAACTATTTCTGTTAGCTTTTCTGTTAACCATGTAAAAGCTAGTCAGGAGTCTCCAAATGCGGCAATTTTAAGACTTGTGGACTTCAACTCCCAGAATTCTCCAGCCAACCTTATTGGCTGGGGGAATTCTGAGAGTTGAAGTCCACAAGTCTTAAAAGTTGCCCCGTTTGGAGATACCTGGGTTAGGTAAATGTGCCATGGATCATAAAGCATTACACTCATGTAATATACCAAACACCATTTTCTTCCCTCCTCCAATAACAAATGCTTCCTAAAATACCATTTCTGTTTCTATTTTTAAAAGAATCCCTATCAATTCCAGCATTTACATTCTCTTGCACGCAACGGGCTGTTAATGCCTGCAGAGATTTCCCTGCTCATTCCAGAAGTGCCACTTAAAACAGCTTCTAAAGCATGTGTAGAATTATTGTGAATGGTATACGTGAAACATGACTTCCGTACAAATGCATATGAAACCTGGATCTGGGGAAATTCAAGGCGGAAGGATTCCCACCACTTGAAGTCAAGTTGTCCTAAGTTTTCTGCATTAAAGCACTTTTAAATTTCAACGCTGTACTAAAATAAACCTGGCTGTAAAACAGGCCTTGACAAGAGAAGAAAGGTTTTCCTAGGTCTCTTAAATCCAACTGTCTGCACTTCTCAGTAATCTGCATAAACTCTTCTATAATTGAGAAGTATTGACCTGAAGGCTCTCACTGGTTTATTTCCTCTGGTAGTGAGTTTTTGGTTTTAATTATATGATGCTTACCTTTCAGTTCTTAGGCATCCCATGCTCCCCGAATGCGGCAGGTTTTTTTAACAATAAAAGTTAGGTTGGATTTGTAAGGCTGTATATAAAAGGGATTGGGGTGGCCTGGACTAGAAATGTCTGTCCCTGATTTTCTGGGTGGTAGCATCATCTGAGATCATCTGAGATATTCATATCTAAAATGAGATTTGGCTGGCACAGGTTACAGAAATTGGCTGGCACAGGTCACAGTTTCAACCATTTCTCCATACCTGATTGCCTCTTAAAATGGGGGTGTAAGTGCTTGGAATAAAGGGAAGAGGGGGAGGGGAGAAGAGGAGGAGGAGGACGAGGAGAAAAAAAGAAGAAAAGGAGGAGGAGAAGGAGGAGGAGGAGGAGAAAGAAAAGGAGAAGAAGGAGGTGAAGAAAGAAGGAAAAGGAGGAGGAGGAGGAGGAGAAAGAAAAGAGAAGGAGAAGGAGATGGAGGGAAAAGGAGGGGAGGAGAAGGAGGAGGAGGAGGAGAAGAAGAAGAAAAGAAAAAACAAAAGTAGGAGGAGAAGGAGAAGGAGGAGAAAGAAAAGGAGGAGAAGAAGGAGGTGGAGAAGAAAGGAAAAGGAGGAGGAGGAGGTGGAGAAGAAAGGAAAAGGAGGAGGAAGAGGTGGAGGAGAAGAAAGAGGGAAAAGGAGGAGGAGGTGGAGGAGAAGAAAGAGAAGGAAAAAGGGAAGGAGGAAAGAAAGAAGAGGAGGAAGAGGAGGAGGATTCCTCTTGCCCAGTTACATGTCACATACTCTGCATTTGTCGCTAACTCCGAGTGGTTTCGTCCAGAAAATGTCCCGATTGGGGTTCACTCTGAGCCCTGGCCCCTCCCCATCCCCCCCTTTATTTCGCATTTAGACTAATCCCTTGCGCAAGATGTTATGCCTATTGAGTGTATTGAAGCTATTCATTATTATTCCTTGTTTCCCTTGGAGGTAAATGAGCTGCCTCCAGGAGTAGATGAAAATGCTGAGCCAGTTCTAAATGGTTGAATAAATGTAATAGGTTTTGTTTCTCTGTGTAGAACAATGATATTCGTTAACTCCTTACAAACGCAAGAGGATTATTTCCCGTATTATCGGATCAACATATTGCATGCGTCCTCTGTACCTGAACATTCAGATCTGTAGAATAATATTCCGGCTATAAGAGGGCATACAAAATGTAACTGAAATGGAAAGATAGCATTTGGAGTTGTCCGAATATAGTTTAATTCTGCAGATTACGAGACGAAAGAAGCTCATTTACTGAAGAGGCTTTTGGCCGTATCAAGCTTCTGCAGGTGTTTGGGTTCTTCCTTGAACCGCCTGCCATGTATTATAGATGCTCGTGAAGACAAAATAATCCAGCTCAGGTGAAAAGTGCTTGAGGGTTCCTTAAACTTCTGAAGGAACTTTGGGAGAAGAAGGTGCTACGAGTGGAATGAGCAGATTGAAATCCAACCTACCTATGTTTCCCCGAAAATAAGACCGGGTCTTATTTTCCTTTGGGCCACAAAATAAGCACTAGAGATTATTTTCGGGGGGGGGGGATTATTCTTTTTCCATGTAAAGGAATCCCACTTCTGCTTGCTTGCGGTGGGGCAGGAGGCGGCATGGTGCCCCAGTGCCACCGCAAGTGTTCTGCCCCAGCTACGGACCCCAAAGAATGCAGCACACGCAAAGTCTGCACAAAACTTAATTTACTAAAATAACTCAGTCTTTCTCAAACAAAGGCTGTTAAGAAACTTAACAGCCTACAAGAAACCAAAGATAAAGTAATCACAATCTTACTGTGGTTGGCAGAAAGCCCAGAAGCAATTTACAGAGAATCCAGACACGAAGGAGAATGACCTAAAGTTGTTCCCTGCAAATTGCTTCAGTCGGCGTTCCTCCTTAAATAGGCTAAGGGAGTGGCCAATTAGCCCCAAGCCTTACTCTCGAGGAGAGCTCCTCCTGAGGAGCCACTCCTGCCTTTTGGCAGTTCTATGCGCCCGTGCATCGAGAAGAGGCTCCTCCCCTTCTTCCTCTTCACTTATGGAGCTTCTGGAGGTTCTGAAGGCCCTGCTTCGGGCACCACATCTTCTCCAGCCTCCTCATTGTCTGACTCATTTGCCAGCTGCACAGGCTGCACCACATCAGTCTCCTCGCTGTCGGAATCAGCTACTAGCTGCACAGGCCGCTGACGGGCCACAACAGCGAGGCAGGGGGTGGTGAAGCTGTCTCACATGCCCCACACTGGCTTACCTCAAGCCCCTACAGCCAGGCCACCCATGCCCCAACACCTGCCTTGCCTTGCAGTGGTGGCCCCATTCAACGGGATCCCACGTGGCCATCGGCCCACTTCTTCTGCTTGCTAGCAACCGCAACAGAGCAGGAGGCCGAGCAACGTGCCGATGCCGCAGCTAGGAGGTGAGGCGGGATGGTGAAGCTGTGAGCAAGCAGAAGTGGTCCGAACACCATCACTGTTTGAGACAACCATGACTTGAATGATTGAGAATCCCCATGAACAGATTTCACTCTTTATCTTCCCAGCCCACGGGTCTGCAACCTTAAACACTCAAAAGAGCCATTTGGACCCGTTTCCCACTGAAAAGAAAACACCGGGAGCCACAAAACCCTTCCCGCGCCTGGCTATTTCTTGAGCGGCCACAAAACTAGCATATGTAGTTGAATTAAATGTTTGTTTTCTTCTGAAACTTTTCTTTTCTTGGCTTTATCCATGGTTGGCCTAATGGGGGTTGAAAAGCTCAATAAATCGCGTGCCGGCAGGTGTCGCACATTGGCAGTTGGGACGCATATTTTGAGTGACAGGGAGCCGCAGCAGAGGGGTAAAAGAGCCACATGCGGCTCCAGAGCCACAGGTTGCTGACCCCTATCCTAGCCCTACAAATCCAAACATTTTGAGCTTGCGATATTAGTACTTGCACATCCCTTAACACGCACAAGGCAGGGCAGTTACAGGATTTTTTTAAAAAAGCTTTACCCTTGCAATCATCAGTACTGTATTATTAAAATCTCTGTCCTCCTGTAATGTTCCAGGAAAGAAGTGAGAGCATTTGGCGCTCCCAATGAGTAATCCTGATTTTTTTTTTCTCCCAAAGCCAAACAATCTAGTCCTGGCAATGACGAAGAAGAGCAAATTCTCCAGGCTGAGCTGGGAGTAAAATTCAGTCAAGTAATTCTTCCTGACCTGCTTGCAGTGGCAACGTAATTTTAGAGAATAATACTTCCTCCAATTACATGTCATGCCCAGTAATAATACTAGCAAACTATTATTAGCAACTGAACCATAGGCAAGACAAACAGAATTATCTGAAGGGCTATCCGTGTTCTTTCAGAACCCAAAACTATTAATAGATTTCAGCACTTTGCTGTCTCTCAATTCTATTTCCTTTTCTCTCTCTCTCTTTTTTTTTTTGAAGGTCTCTTTCATACAAAACCTCGTTTTTTGCGTAGAAAGGGCATACCGGGTTCCAGATTTTGGCATGTGGGAAAGAGGAAGCAAATATAACAACGGCAGCACTGAATTGCATTCAAGGTATTTTTTTTTTCATTCCTTTTTTCCCTCCTTCCAATAAGTCCATTCTTATTATTCTCAACAGTTGTGAATGATGATTGGGAATATATTTATTTATTATTCAAACTTCTATACCGCCCTTCTCCTTTTGGACTCAGGGCGGTGAACAGCCAAAATAAAAACATTTATACATAAAGTTACAATTAAAAATAGATTTAAAATAATTAGATAAATTTGGCCCGTGATTTAAAACTTATCAATTTAAAATCCGTATCAAATTTTAAAACCAACCATAAAATCAAGACAGATTGGCTAACTGAAAAAAATAAGATTTTAGGGCCCGACGAAAAGTCCGGAGGTCGGAGATCACTCGTATCTCTGGGGGTAGATTGTTCCAAAGGGTAGGTGCCACCACAGAGAAGGCTCTCCTCCTGGGGGTCGCCAGCCGGCATTGTCCTACCTTTATAAGGTAGGTAAATTGAGGACCCAGTTGTGGGGGCAATAAGCTGACTTGTATAAATATACAAAAGAATGAAGGCTATTGCTTAGCACATTGTAAGCCGCCCTGAGTCTCCAGAGAAGACTGAGTGATGTCTAGAAGTTCATGATTCCCACCCATGTGTTGGAAATATTCATTGGTCCTGTAACCATTTTGCTCAAGCTTATTTCCAAGCATCTGTTAAATTATTCTGGGGAAAAAAACATTTTTGACATATCCCATCTGTGTTTTGTTTCTGAAAAGCAACGTCTTTTTACTCCGAGCTTTAGAAAGTCTTTGGCATCGGAGTCTTCTGCTCGTTCTCCTTTGTCCTACGACTCATCCCGCTGATGTGTTGTCTGTCCTTATTAAGATTTCTTTTGCTTGTTCATTTGCCTGCCAGTTTTAATGTAGTCTACATGTGATTTCTTTTTTTTTAAAGGCTGTTTAGCATTGTTCTTGATTCTTCTCACAGAAACATCATTTCCTGAACAAAAGAATTTAAATATGCTAGCAAAGGAAGATTATGGATTTCTGAATGATTCCATCCTGATTAGAATCTGATCTGCTTGTTTTATTGTTGAAGGCTGTCTCAAAACCTCTTGATCCCATCTGTTTTCATTGATTTCAGTTACTTCATTAGCTTAGGCAGCCAGTTTGGTGTAGTGGTTATAATATCAGGTTAAAAACTGGGAGACCGTGATCTAAGGGTGCTTTTCAAAAGGCAATTGGACTTTCTTGGTCCAAACCGGGACCATTTCACCCCTGCTTTACAGCCCTCTCTAAGCGGTTTACAGAATCAGCCTATTGCCCCCAACCATCTGGGTCCTCATTTTACTGACCTCAGAAGAATGGAAGGCTGAGTCAACCTTGAGCCGGTGAGATTTGAACTGCCAAACTGCAGCTAGCAATCAGCTGAAGTAGGCTGCAGTGCTGCACTCTAACCACTGCACCACCTTGGCTCTTAAAATGGAAGATCATGAGTTTTAATCCTATTTTAAGAATAAAGCCAGCTGGGTGATCTTGGGCTAGTCACTCTATCTCAGTCGTACGAAGGAAGCAATGGCAAACCACTTCAGAAATCTTACCTAAAAAGTTGCAATGACTTGTACAAACAGCCGCCAGCAGTCAATATTGACTCGAAGGCTGACACAGACATACCAAGAGACTCACATTAGTTTGGGCTTCAAACCATATCCTGTTTGAATTAAGAACTCCACGGTTACTTCATGGGTCCATATGCATGTGTAAGTGCACACACATGCATGAAGAGAGTCTTATTTTAGAGCATGAGTTGGCATTTGAAAGAGATTTGTTCATACATTCAATTGTACAGTCCTTCTAAACTTAGGCACCTTAGACTGAATCCTTGAGCTTGGATCTGTCTTAAATTAAACCTTGGGGCTTGCAACTAAAGATTGCCCATAAGACAGTGAACAGCAATTTAGGAGCAGAGTGCCTTATCTCTTATCTCTCTTTCTTAAGCAATCATCAATCAGAAGCTCAACATTTAACAGCTGCTTAATCACAAAGCTTGGGAAAAGCTGTTCAGTATTTTCCAGAGATGCTAGCTTGTAGCTTGCAGTATCAGTTGACACCATCAAACCCAAGTAACACGTTCTTAATCCACTTGTTTTAATCTTTATCCCCTATGTAGGCAAAAGAAGTTGCTCTTTTCAATTTTTTTTAAAAAAAACTTTTTGGGTGACTCTACTGATCTCTAAAGCTAAAGGAATGAAATCAGTAAGCTGATCTCATTTTTGAAAAAGCCATTCCTTTGTTTCACATAGGCACATATCTGTTAATTAGATGATTGAAGTCCCAAAGGTGCTTTTTTTCAAAAGGCAACTGGACTTTCTGGTTTTTCTTTGAAGATGTTTCGCTTCTCAAGCAAGAAGCTTCTTCAGCTTCTTGGCAAAACGTCTTCAAAGAAAAATCGGGAAGTCCAGTTGCCTCTTGAAAATGCACCTTTGGTACAACCGAGACCTGGATGACTGAGAATCTCCATAGACCTTTAGATAATTGAACTGAAGGCTGAATCGTGCCTTATTATTGCATACTTATATCAGTATCAAAGAAGAAATATTGGGTTTCCATTATATGCTCGTCTCTTATTTAGATTTGACCAGGAAAGGTTTTGTTTTACTTTAAAAAACAAAACAAAAACCTGGATCCATCTATGATTGATTTCATTTGAAAGGTTTAGATTTTCCTCTTTATGGGGTCACTTATACTATTGATGTTTGGTGGATTTTAATTAGGGGCACATTAGTTTGCACGGTGGATTAACCAGCGTTGCTGCAACAGACTTAATCCAGTGAAAGTCACCTTCCTTTGCTGACGAAATAAAATCTGATAAATAATTGGTGGCGTCCAATTTTGTATATTTCAAAGCACAAAGCGTTAATTAGAATGGGTCGAAAATTTGTTGAGTTGAAAAAAAAAATAGGAGAAATTAAAAAAGAACAACCCCATTTGTGTAGATTCACATAAGGAAGGCCCGCAGGAAGACTTCGAGAAGTGCCGGAAAGTTGCAATCATAGGTGTCCTTCTTGAGTTTAATGGAGGGGGGAAGATTCCATTAGCGAAGCAGTGCACTAAGCAATCCAGCTTCTATTAGCATGTCATCCGTCATTCACGAAGAGAATAGTTTCTAATCAGCAGAAAATGAGGAAAAAATATGTGTGATTTCATCAGCCTTTGACGGCAGCTGTTGAGAACAAAGTTTGGTAGGCAACCTAATCATCTTTCTCTTGTTGAACCAATTAGTAAACTACATGGTGTGTCGTCCCCCCACTCTTGTGTATTACTTCAGAAAAGTGTGGAAAGCTCTCAGTGTGAAGGTTGAAATAATAAAAAAAAAAATCAATGTTTCCTAGTAAGCTAATGAAAACAAGCTAATGAAAACATTCCAGTGGAAGCTATGTTTTGGAGAGCTAGTAGATGTGAAGATATTGGACTGACTTTGAAGTAGATGCAGATTCAAGTCCAGTCTTAGATCCAGAAGCTCCTTTTTCACCCCATTGTTTTAAGATTTGTGCTTAAAAGAAAAAAAAAAATATAGGAACCCTTTTATGGTTGATTCATGAATAAATAATAGATAGCTTCAGAGTAAATGCACCTGTCCATTTATGAATTCTTCTTCAGTATTTTATTTCACATAAAACAGCGACTCGGTTCATAATAAGTATTTTTTTTTCAAGTAGCCTTGGTAGTACAGGGGTTTAAGGCACCCTGTTATTAAGCTGGTTATTAAGACCAGCTGCCTGCAATTACTGCAGGGTTCGAATCTCGCCAAGGCTCAAGGTTGACTCAGCCTTCCATCCTTTCTAAGGTAGGTAAATTGAGGACCCAGTTGTGGGGGCAATAAACTGACTTTGTATAAATATACAAAAGGATGAAGGCTATTGCTGAGCACATTGTAAGCCGCCCTGAGTCTTCGGAGAAGGGCGGCATATAAATCAAATTAAAAAAAAAAAAGTACAGATTAATAGTCTTGGTCAGGGATCGGCAACCTTAAACACTCAAAGAGCCACAAAGGTCCTAACTGGAAGCTCACTGTTAAATTTTGGAGCTGACCGGAAGTCCGGTTTCCCCACCATAGAGTCTCCTCCTAGCATGGAGTCCTTTTTCCTCTACCTGTCTTAACCGAAAGCCCTATCAATTGTGGAGCCAACTGGCGACAGGGAGCCGCAGCAGAAGGATGAAAGAGCCACGGATTGCCAATCCCTGATCTTGGTTAATCTCTTTGTGGTGCTGTCCAGGGTGCTGATCGTTCATAGATGACTATGGCCTGGGTTTGCTTATTTCTACAGTATTTCTAAAAAGCATTCAAAATAAAAGACAATTTATTTTAGGCCCTTAGCCAGATAAGAAGAGTAACCATGTACACCAACGGTCCCATAAAGTAATGAAAATAAATAAATAAATCGTTAGCTTCTTTTCATCACTCCCCCCAAAAGTGATGCCAGCTATTGTCACAGCAAGACCTATAAACCTACGGTTCCAGATGTTCAAATCCAAGGTCCTTTCAAAAAAAAAAAACACGTAATTTTTTTATGGATTCACTGGTGACCTTTAAATACAAATTGCTGAAAACCAATAAAATAAACCGACTGTATCATCACTTTGTCCTAAGGTTTTTTTTTAAACTGTCAGCAAGAAATTATCTGATGTATAAGCTAGCCTTTAGGGAGCAGAATTTTTATTTCCAGAGTTGTAAGCATAACAAACATTTTTTTCCCCCTCTCTCTCTGTCTCTTTCCTTTCTTCCTCAGTTCTGTCGGGTTGGCAAAAGCTGCTCTAGAAGCAATTAACGGATTCAACCTCTTTGGCAATCAGGTACAATAGTAGGACTATTTAAGGATTTGTTCCTTCTTCATTTTTAATTAACTGCTTGTTCTATAGTAAATTGCTTTCACTGCACATCAAAGGGTGTCTAATATCCACATGATAAAATATTTCCAGTCTGCAAGCTTCTTAGTTTTCCCCAGTTATTATTTTCTCAGTTAACAGTTATAGCACTGTAGCTGTCACATATTTTCCTCTGGTCATTTTGATCCATGTTAAATTAGGCCAGACGGTTTTACAAATATTTCCTTGGCTCTTTCCTGCCTCCCCCCCCCAGTTTTCTCATACACGGGACCATCTCTTGTTTTTATCAGCCCCGTCTACTTTGCCCTCTGATAATCAAATACATTAACCGGTCCACTTCCTCTGTCGTTTTTTTTCTTATGTTTATACAAAACATGGTCTAGTTCTGTCTTGTTCAATGATGATGATGATGATGGTAGTGGTGATTGGTTGTGATCCTTCTCCTCCTCTTTCTCCCCGATTCCATCTCCCTTCCTTTCTTCTCCTTCTCCTCCTCCTCCTCCTTTTTTTCCCCGATTCATCTCCCTTCCTTCCTCCTTCTCCTTCTCCTTCTCTTTCCTTCTCTCCTCTTTCTCCCGATTCCTTCCCTTCCTTCTCCTTCTCCTTCTCCTCCTCCTTCTCCTCTTTCTCCCCGATTCCATTTCTCTTCCTTCCTCCTTCTCCTCCTCCTCCTTCTCCTCCCCTCTCTTTCTCCGATTCCATCTCCCTTCCTTTCTTCTCCTTCTCCTTCTCCTTTCCTCTTTCTCCCCGATTCCATCTCCCTCCCTTCCTTCTCCTTCTCCTTCTCTCCTCCTTCTCCTCTTTCTCCCCGATTCCATCTCCCTTCCTTCCTCCTTCTCCTTCTCCTCCTCCTTCTCCTCCTCCTCCTCTTTCTCCCCGATTCCATCTCCCTTCCTTTCTTCTCCTTCTCCTTCTCTTCTCCTTCTCCTCCTCTCTTTCTCCCCGATTCCATCTCCCTCCTTCCTTCCTTCTCCTTCTCTTCTCTTCTCCTTCTCTTCTCCTTCTCCTCTTCCATCTCTCTTTCTCCTGAGTCCGTCTCCCTTCCTTCTCTCCTCCTCTCCTCCTCCTCCTCTCCTCCTCTCCTCTCCTCCTCCTCCTCCTCCTCCTCCTTCTCCTCCTGGAACTCAGGGTGGTGCACACAGCATTTTCTTTTTAAATATTATCAGAAGAACATTTTCTGAGATAAGCCAGGGCATGAAGTGGTAACTGGTTCAAAGTCCTCTCTGCCAGTTCCATTCCCTCTTCACCCTTGAGCTCTCAGGTTGCCTTGATGCTGACCTTTACTCCCACGCCGCTGCCTCTTCCTCTGATTCGGCTGCTGAAGGGGCCAGGGATCAACAGGCCACAACACTTGAATATATTCATCAAAGGAAGAGCCTTTGCAGCAGGATTAATCAGCAATCTTCCCCCCCCCACACACAAATGAAGGCAAATATGCGTGTCCCAGATAAATTGCAGAGATCCAATCTGGGTTGATCCCGAGACCAGAGGTTTTTGTCTTCCGAGCTTTTGGGTTCGTGCTGGAGCCCATCCTCAGGGAACTTCTCTCTAGCAGAGTGTAGAATATCACACTTCGCTATAGAGCAGTGATGGCTAACCTTTTCGGCACCAAGTGCTGAAAAAGTCACGCGGAAATGTCGCACGTGGAAATGCGCGTTCATTGGGGCTGTGCTCTAGAAAAGCCGAACTTCTGGTTTCTGGCACTCATGCGTGTCCGACAATCAGCTGGCCAGCACGCATGCACGCACTGGTTTTCGGCACTGTTGTGCGTGTGAAGGACAGCTGATCTTTGCGCATGCATGCACGCCAGAAACCCAGAAGACAAAGAGGCAACGCCACCCATGCCGGGCGACATGGCTTCACTTGCCACTTTGGGCATTCATGCCATAGGTTCGCCATCACGGTTATAGAGTGATGGGCTCCAGCACGATTCCAAAATGGGTATAAGATGGGCTCCAACACAAGTCCGAAAGCTCAGAAGACAAAACCTCCGGTCCGGTGACCGACCCAGATTAGATCCTGCAAATCTTTATTTTCTCAGATTGCAGTTAGTGCAGGCAAACTGCATTCAGTCCCGGCAAAGATCGGGGAGACAGATGGAACGCAAAATAGTTGTAGCCTTGCCTTCTCTGTTTCTGAACATCCATCTCTTTTATTCCATTCCTCTTCCTTCTCTTCTCCCACCGCCATCCTGCTGTTTAGGCTGCCAGGAATGAATCATCCTGCCAGACGTTAGAACTAAGAGAGAGCTTTGAAACATAGCTGTGGGCCGCAGGCAGTCCTGAGGACACAAACTTCTTTTACAGCAAGTCAGATAAGCTTCTTACCTGTAGACTGAGCAAATATTGTGAAGCCCAGATCACAATTTCTTAAACCTCATTGTCCTTTGCCTATTGAAAGAGAGAGAGGAAGATGCTAATGTACAAAAGTATGACGGCTATTGCTTAACGCATTGTAAGCCGCTCTGAGTCTCCGGAGAAGGGTGGCACATAAATCGAACCAATAAATAAATAAATAAATAAATAAATGTAGGCAGACCAAGTAGGGAACCATGCTGGATCAGGATACGAAATAGGAACATAATTGAGTATCTTACCCCATGTACAGGCAGTCCTCAACTTAGGACCACAATTGAGCCCCAGATTCTTTATTTTTTAAAATATTTTTTTTACAAACATATCAAATTGGTGCATGAACAGTGTGGCACCTGAGTATCATACATTCTAATACAAATAAAACTAGTAAAATTAATCATAGTTATTCCATTCAATCAACTTATATATTTCTAATAATGATACACAATTATAATAAGTTGCAATCTGCCATTATTCAATTATTCCATGCTTTCTCTTATTGTTACTTTTATTTTATTATATAAAGGTGTCTACACTAACATTCCCCCTTCTCTTATTTCCATCGCTTATTCTAACTTTTAACCATGTCAACTTTCACTGAAAAACATTTTCTTTCTATCCTACCTAACTTCTAGTCGTGTCACCCACCTAAAAGAGAGAGAGAGAGAGAGAAAGGAAAAGCAAATCAGAACAACAACAAAATTGAGCCCCAGATTTTTGTTGCTAAGAGAGACATTGGTTAAGTGAATTTTGCCCCATTTTACAACCTTTCATGGCCTAGTTGTTAAGTGAAGCACTGCAGGTGTTAAGTTAGTAGCAATAGCACTTAGATTTATATACCAGTTCATAGTGTTTTACAGCCCTCTCTAAGTGGACCTGTTCACACTTACGACCTTTGTAGCATCCCCATGATCATGTGATCAAAATTCAGACGCTTAGTAACCGGTTCATACTTTGGACCGTCAGTTCAGTGGTGAAATCCAAATTTTTTTACTACTGGTTCTGTGGGCGTGGCTTGGTGGGCATGGTGTGACTTGGTGGGCATGGCAGGGGAAGGCTATTGTAAAATCTCCATTCCCACTGCACTCCAGGGGAAGGATACTGCAAAATCCCCATTCCCTCCCCACTCCTGGGGGAAGGATATTGCAAAATCTCCATTCCCACCCCACTCCAGGGGAAGGATTCTGCAAAATCCCCATTCCCACCCCACTCCTGGGGGAAGGATATTGCAAAATCTTCATTCCCACCCCACTCTGCGGACAGCCAGAGGTGGTATTTGCCGGTTCTCTGAACTACTCAAAATTTCCACTTCCGGTTCTCTGAACTGCTCAAAATTTCCGCTACGGGTTCTCCAGAACCTGCTGGATTTCACCCCTAGCTCAGTTGTGGTCCTTAGTCAAGGACTCCTTGTATGCTGCTCAAGAAGAGGCAGAGGCTTTGAGTCAAAAGTCTGCTGTGACAGTAACAGCCCTACTTTTAAACTGTTTTTAAATTTTATGGGTATATGTTGTTTTAGTATGGCTGTACACCGCCCTGAGTCCTTCGAGAGAAGGGCGGTATTAAAATTTAAATAAATAAATAAACAATAAATAAATAAATAAATAAATACTTGGTGATTTGATACCAATGCCAGCCTTGTTTGTCAAAAAGTCTCTTGCCTTATGCCTATCTTCTTTTTCTCTGATTTTAAGTGAGGCAATTTCCTAGTCAGAGCGAAAGAGACACTTTTCAGGGATGGCAGGAAGCCTCCTTATGATAAAAAAATCTGCTTTGTAGATGTGCCTCTTGATTTCCAAGGTCTGTGTGCACAAGAAGAATTTAGTTTCCCTCAGGAGTCAATATGTTTTCTGCTTTTCTTGATCTATTTTAAAGTAAGCCAGCTTTTTCAATGCTGCTTCTCCCAGGGCTCCTAGATGCTCCTGGAATCTGCTTAGCGTTGCCTTGGCAACTGATGCGGCCTACCATCCCAGGACAACTTTTCCAGTTGTTGCGGTTGCTCCAGCAACTGATCTGGGGGAGAACGGTGGGATTGAGGCTGAGGCTCAGCTGGAGGTCACCGAGCATTCTCTCAGTTGTAGCCTTCTTCAGGCTAACACAATTAAAAGCTCTATTCAGCAGTGTACATTTCATACCCTGTTTCCCCAAAAATCAGACCTAACCGGAAAATAAGTCCTAGCATGATTTTTCAGGATGCCCTACCCCACAAAATAAGCCCCAGTTAAGATTGCCAGCCCAATGAGCACATTTAGTACCGTATTTCCCCCCAAATAAGACCTAACCAGAAAATTAGCCCTAATGCATCTTTTGGAGCAAACATTAAAAAAACACCCGGTCTTATTTTCAGGGAAACATGGTATATGTGTTAAACTAACATATCCATTGTATTTGTCATTTTTTTTTAAATACTTGGGTGGGGAGCACTAATAAGAAATGTACTAAAGTAAGATCCCTGAAAAAGAGGGAGGAACGGTTGATGTTTGCAGGCCCTTGGGCAGGGGTGAAATCCAGCAGGTTCTGACAAGTTCTGGAGAACCAGTAGTGGAAATTTTGAGTAGTTAGGAGAACTGGTAAATGCCACCTCTGGCTGGCCCCAGAGTGGGGAGGGAATGGGGATTTTGCAGTATTCTTCCCCTGGAGTGGGGAGGGAATGGGGATTTTGCAATATCCTTCCACTGCCATGCCCACCAAGCCGTACCCACCAAGCCACACCACGCCCACCAAGCCACGCCCACAGAACAATGAGGTAAAGAATCCCAAAAAATTTGGATTTCACCACTGCCCTTGGGATGTTGAATGTCTATCCAAAGATCAGGAGATCTTCCAGAGATCTTGAAGGAAGAACCTCCTCTTTACCTCTTGATGGAAACTCATTGTCTATGAACAGGCCCACTGGGATCCTAACGTTTGTCCACGTGTTGTTTAATTTTATGTTTAGATCTGGATTAATTGGCCAATACTCTCTCTCTCTCTCTTATAAATTCTCTTTACCACAAAGTGAATTGCTGCAAAATGCATACTTAGATATGCAGGGTAGTTTTTCTTCATATCCCCATTGATCAAATGCTTGAAAATATCTAATTGAATAAAGACCCGTTTGAGAGCAATTTGCTTGCGTTAAGGAGCAGGGTAGCTTAATTGCATATCTTACAAAAACTATCTGAGATTGTTAGCCTCTGCCTGGCTTTGAAAACTGCAATATGTTTTTTTTTTAAATTTTGTTTTGAGTACACAGGATATTACACAAGTTTAAGGGAGGACTCATGACTTTCTTTGTCTTCCCCCCCCCAAAAAAATCAGTAACAGTCAATTCTTAGGGATAATCAGAATTGCTAAAACTAAGATTGTCACGTAATACATAGAAAAATAGTACAGTAGTAATCCGATACAGGTAGATCTGGATGAGCTTCTGAAGGAAGGAAAGATCAAAGAGTCTTCAAGCAATAATTGGGAATAAGTTATATGTCACAGTGGCTATTTGCAACCTTCCTCTATTTTTCCACCACTATCTACCATGTTTCCCCGAAAATAAATCCCTGTCTTATATTTTTTTGAGCACTGAAATAAGCACTTGGCCTTATTTTTGGGGAGGTCTTATTATTTTGGGGTGCATGGAACAAGCTGGGGCTCCTCTTGCCGTCTTACCTGATTTCCAGCTCTGCATTTAAATATTTTTGGGGAGGGCTTATTTTCAGGGGGGGGGCTTATTTTAGTGCATGCACTCAAAAGCCCGATTGGGCTTATTATCAGGGGATGTCTTATTTTGGGGGGAAAAGGGTGTATGTATGTATGTATGTATGTATGTATTTGCCACATAGTTTTTTAATGAGTGAGAGAAATGGATTAGGGTATTCCTGGTACTCATATCCTGTTTAGCGTTAATTTTCTGCTCCATCCGCAGGGTTGTTCCTGGTCTGTCATCTTTGTGGATCTTGATGCTCATAATCGGAACCGGCAAACGCTTTGCTCATTACTTCCTCGTGAATCACGATCTCACGTAAGCAAAATGTTAATGTATAACATAGAGCCGTGATGGCGAACCTATGGCACGCATGCCCACACGTGGCACACGGAGCCATATCTGTGGGCACGCGACCGTTGCCCTAGCTCAGCTCCAGTGCACATGTGCGTCGGCTGGTTTTCGGGGCTTCTGTCCCACCGGAAGTTGGGAAACAGGCCATTTCCAGCCTCTGGAGGACCTCCAGGGGGGTGGGAAAAACCGTTTTTGCCCTCCCCAGGCTCCAGAGGCTTTCTTGGAGCCTGGGGATGGCGAAAAATGGGCCTACCTGGCCCACCGTGCCAAAAGTGGGGAGGGGGGGATCATGTGTGCATGTGCGGGGCACATTGAATTATGGGTGTGGGCATGTGCATGTATGACCCCCACCCCCCATGCTCCCCCCATTTTTGGCACGCGACAGCAAAAATGTTAGCCATCACTGTCATAGAGGGAGTTCATGGGGATACATTTTACTATCCATTTTAACAGTGGTTACTATTGGTTCTGTGGGTGTGGCTTGGTGGGCGTTGCATGGCTTAGTGGGCGTGGTTTGGTGGGCATGGCAGGGGAAGGATACTGTAAAATCTCCATTCCCATCCCACTCCAGGGGAAGGTTACTGCAAAATCCCCATTTCCTCTCGATCAGCTGGGACTGAGGAGGCAGAGAATAGATGGGGACGGGGCCAATCAGAGGTGGTATTTACCGGTTCTCCGAACTACTCAAAATTTCCGCTACCGGTTCTCCAGAACTGGTCAGAACCTGCTGAATACCACCTCTGCATTTTAATAAGGTTTGTCGTTAGACAGGATTAGAATCCAGATCTTTTTCAGAAAAAACTGTAAAAGAGTTCTTCCTTATGGCAGACTCGTCTTTTATGTTATAAGAGGGAAAATAACGTTTTTTAAAAGTTTTCCGACTGTAACCATTTGTTATTAAGCAATAAATAGGTGGATCTGTCCGACTTCCAGAATTTCTGATGCATTTGCAATAGAACTTCAGGTTGGAACGTATCACCATCCTGAGTGCATGAAAAAGCCACGTTCCCCCCACCCATTTATTTCTCCTCATTGTGCATTCAATTTCCATTTCAATTTTTAAAATTCGGGAACGCTTCTAGGTTAGAAATACGTAGTTAGTTATTTTGGGGGCTAATAATTATACTTGGATTTGGGGATGATATTTTATAACGGGTTAAGGCTTGCCGAAAGCCATTTCTGCATTAGATACTTCTCATTAGCATAACAATACATTCCATTTCATTATCTTAAAATGGGCAGGCTTGGCATGATGCTTTGGACAATTCCAGCAAACTATTCTCACTGCTGCCTCAAGGAAAAATACTTCACTTTCAGATAGGTTTAAAGATTGGGACTATCCTCATATGAGTCAAAATCTAATTCATTTAATCTCACAATTCCTTTAATTTTATTGCACCCATAAATATTTTTTCTGGAACCAACAAAGGAATGAAATTTATTCTCTGTATTGTCTCCTCTGTTTTAAGAATTTTTTTATCTTTTCCAGGGATTTGAATAGTCATTTAATTTTGTAAGCTTACTAGGTTTTTTTTTTTTTTTTTGCAGTACATAATAAAAAATAGCATCATCCTGTTCCTTTCTGGAATAACCAACAAATATGTAAAGCATAAAAAGTACATTAAGTGATGAACAAAAAAAAAGAAAAGAAAAGAAAAAATCAAAAGCAAGAGATGAGAGAGAAAAACCGAAGACTGCTTTTACTAATAACATAATCAGTTTTTGTTTGCAAACTTGCATTGCAAAATTTCCCTTAGAGAGATTGCTGATAATATAAAAATACAACAAAACTCCCAACCCTTGATTGTGTATTCAGAAAAATCTCTTCACCCTGTCAGTGACTGACTAAACATTGCTTTGTTTTATTATCATATTTTAATATTTTAGAGCTCTATTCACAGTAAACATTCCAATGTATGTATATGCTTCTTTCTTTAAACCCTTGTGGTTTCAATTTTGATGTCTCTGCAGTTGTTGCATACATAAAGCAAAGAAAGTTGGTTTCATTGGGTATGGAATGGATCTCCATCTTGCATGTATATAGACTTCAGAGAACAACAAAGCACCTTGTGTTGTTTCTCTGAAGTCTATAATTCCTTCCTTCCTTCCTTCCTTCCTTCCTTCCTTCCTTCCTTCCTTCCTTCCTTCCTTCCTCCCTCCCTCCCTCCCTCCCTCCCTCCCTCCATCCATTTTAGATGCTGCCCATCTCACCTGATGACTACTCTAGGCAGTTTAAATTTTAAAAACATACAAATATATCAATTAAAGAGACCTATTAAAAATAATAAAAACATTAAGACATCAAAGCAATAATCAGTTGCCTTTTGAAAAAAAAATAACGCCTTTGGGACCTGGATGGCTGAGAATCTCCATAGAAATTACTCAGAGTGCTTGGTTTGGAGTTACTATGTGTGACCTCTTGAATGTGTAGATACCATATAGAGGTATTGAATTGAGAATGTTCATCCGTTATTTAAGTACGTTTTTTCTTTCGTTATACTAGAACACCGATGCTGCCCTCCTACCTTGCATTGGCTATCCTGCTTTTGCTGTGGACGATGAAGCTTTGTACAGTCAAACAATTGATAAAATAGTTAGGAAACTCAAAGGAAAATATGGATTTAAGCGTTTTTTGAGAGATGGCTACAGAACCGCATTGGAGGACAAAAACCGACAGTACTATAAACCGGCAGAAATTAAGGTAATGATTTTGTTCCTATGATATGGGAAAGAATGAATGTGCGTTCATAAATGCCAGTGTACAAAATTTATGGGTTTTTTAAAAAAAATCTGTTTATTACAATGACTAGGCAAAGAAGTTCCAGGTTTGCCCACTTTAAGTAATTTTTACAGTGCCAATTAGCTTGATTCTGAATGTTGGATCCTAATATTTGCAGTTTACTGACATGGCTGTTTTAACTCCTGGGTGCAAATTTAGTGATGCTTTTTATATCATCTGTTTTCAAGCTGCTAGAGAAGGACAACTCTTCAGCACTCTTGTAGCTGAATTAACAACAACAACAAAAAAAGATTAATGTTGAGTTATTGTTGATATAATCATAGTTCTTCCTTTCTGAAAATTCAAGGTATACCTCCCTTACACACCCATTGACCTGAATTTCCAGAAAGACCTAGGATGGAGATAAACTTTGAGACACTGGAATACCATTGATCTATTAGTAACAAGAGACTTGATTGCCAGTGGCCAAGCTCAACTCATAACTATTTTATACACCTAGAAGTGACAATATGTATTCCTTTCACTCATTTTCAATCAGTCACTGATACCGTATTTCCCCGAAAATAAGACCTGTCTTATATTTTTTTTGAACCCCAAAATAAGCGTTTGGTCTTATTATTTTGGGGCACGTGGAGGAAACCAGAGGAAATGGCGCGGACCGGCTGCGCGTGCATTTAAATATTTTTGGGGAGGGCTTATTTTCAGGGGGGGTTATTTTAACGCATGTGCTAAAAAGCCCAATTGCGCTTATTATCAGGGGATGTCTTATTTTCGGGGAAACAAGGCACAAAGGGATAAGGAGTATATCATTTGTATTCTGCCCATGTGATGAAGAATTTCCTGAACCATGTACCCTATTCCAAAATGCAACCTACCTGTATGGAGACAGAAAGTTAGAGGGCAGGACACATGAGTCTATGGCCAACTCACCACAGTTTAACTCACCACAGGACAACCTGCATGGCCAACTTGCCATAGGACAAAAGGCACACGAATATCAAGAAATTGGTGGAATAGAATCATTACAGTAGGGATGCAAAAGGAGGGACAAAATGAAAAGCGAATGACAAAAATCGAAGCAATTTTTAAATTATTTTAAATAATTGAATTGTTGAATTGTCCTGTAGTGAGTTGGCCACAGCGAATTGTCCCCTGGTGAGTTGGCGGAAGCGAGTTGGCCATGATGAGTTGGCCAATGGCAAGTTGTCCCATTCCGTGGACAAGTAGCACAGAATGCATTTCATCCCTTAGAGATTCAACTTCAACATGACTTAGGCTCTGTCAAATCTACGGAGAGAAGATTGAGTTTTAGATGCTCTTCTCGTATTCTTTGGACATTCTTCTCCATGTTCTCCTGACGTTGTTGCATGTTTTGACAGAACTCAAAGAAAATGTTCATTGCTTTGATGTATCAAGCGGAGTGGGAAGAAGCTAAACAAATCATACAAGCTATTAACTTTGGCACTTCCTTGCCATCTATTTTAGTGACGGAGACTTGCTTGCAGTTTGGATGTGTAATACTTAATATATTGCATCAGCCCGTTTCTTCCTGATAGATTTGTTTAAAGGTGACTCTGTTTGCATTTCAAGCTCAATGTATAGTTTCTTTCCTGTCACAGATAAGTCACATTATTTATCATTTTATTTAATTTCACAGCTGGCTACAGACTGGAGTGTATTAATAATAAAATTTTGATATGGCACTGAATATTAATGCTTTCCATTAAGAGCTGTCTGAGTGAAGTGCCCCTTTTTCCTTCACTTTTCTTTTCATATTATTTTTAATTTAAATGGAATTTCTTTGCAGAGAAGCCCGGTACGATAAATCTTACTCATAAAACTGTGGTTCCGCATTTTGAAAGGGTTGAATTTTTTTTTTTTTAATGTAGACAGATGAATTTTCTTTTTTCCTCCCCTCTTTCTTCATGTAAGTTGTTGTCGTACTTAAAAAGAATAATTTGTTTTCATGTGTTTCTTTCATTCCTTTGAACTTGTAATAGATTGTTTGAATATGTTTCCGTAAATAAAACTGCAGCACGCCTTTTATATATATTTATTTTTTTTTCCTTTTTAAAACAACTTTCAGCTCTTTGATGGCATTGAATGCGAATTTCCTCTCTTTTTTATTTTTATGATGATTGATGGTAAGTATGATTTTGTGTTCTTATTGGGAAGAGGGTTGGAATGTGCAGAAATAAATGGATATCTGTGTGTGTACATATGCATCAGTGGTGAAATCCAATTTTTTTTACTACCGATTCTGTGGACCTGGCTTGGTAGGCATGGTGTGGCTTGGTGGGCGTGGCTTGGTGGGCATGGCAGGGGAAGGATACTGCAAAATCTCCATTCCCTCCCCACTCCAGGGGAAGGATATTGCAAAACCTCCATTCCCACCCCACTGGGGCCATCCAAAGGTGATATTTGCCGGTTCTCCGAACTGCTCAAAATTTCTGCTACCGGTTCTCCAGAACCTGTCAGAACCTGCTGGATTTCACCCCTGATACGCATATGGGCAAACCAAGAGATAGATTGTAATTGCTTCTGCCAAATTTTGGAAGCTCTCGAGTGCAGAAACAGCATTCTGTCTCCTATAAGGCCCCTCCGTCAATTTCAACAAGTGCAACAGGAAATAATTGGAATTCATCTCCCATCATTCCCAGCCAGGTCAATGAACTTGCAGAAGGTTGCTTTAGATAGATCTTCCCATGTGAGCATCTAGTATAATACTGTTTACATAACCTGCCAGCCGGTTTTGGATTTTCAGAGATCAGCCTATGGTCGCAAATTGAAGAAATGACTTTTATTTAAAATCTCATGTAGCTTCAAAGACATTTCCCCTCCCCCCCCCTCCTTCATGACCTTTATCTTCAAGTAAATGCAGAATTTGAAATCCACAAAGTTTCCAGCCTCCCCTCACCCCCCCCCAAAAAAAAACCTCGTCTCCCCCTGGAAAGAGGAAATGGAACAGCTGGCAAAGTGTGACTTGTAGACAAATGTCACTAAAAGAAAATTCTGTACAGATCAAAGCCTTACATTGTAATCATGACAAAAACTGCAGGAAGTCCATCTGGTATTTCATAACCCCCTACCTAGCAGGGAAATTATTTTCAACTAGGGAAGTAGTGGGTATTACAGTATAATCCATGAAAAATTATACATATGCCTATATAGGATAGAGAGAATATGTAATAGGAAAATAGCTTGTGAGCCATCCCTCACGTCTACCCTTCCATCTTCCCCCCTTTCTTTTTTTTTTATTGCAAAAGTTTTACAATTACATTTTCACCCCTTTTCTCCCCCACCCCCCCAAACTTCCCAACCTCCCTAACCCTCCCTAACCCTCCCCTCCCCCCAGACTTCCCTATAATATACTCATACTCATAAAGAACCCTAATATAACACTTATATATAAACTTTTTTTAGTTTTTAAGCAAACTTTGGTCCATTTTACAGCCATTTCTGCCACCATTGTTTAAGTGAATAACTGTGATTGTTCAATTAGTAACACGGTTGTTAAGTGAATCTGGCTTCCCCATTCTGTGCATGCACTTTGCTGGCGTGTGTGGCTTCCACGCATGCGCCCGGCCTCAAATACATGCCTAAATAGGATGACATAGAGTCGGCCCGAACCGGCTGAATACCATCTCTGGTTCTAGTCCTGCCTGAAGTAGGAAAACCAGCTGGGTGATTTTGGACTAATCTCCAGGAGATTATAAATTCTAATTCTGCCTTAGGTATGAAAGCTGTCTGTGTGAATGTGAGCCAAAAAATATAAACCAATAGATGTATATATATGATGGGCAATTTGAATGAAATGGCAAATGGATTTGTTGAAAAGGAGAAGGTCCTCAGTGCTGCTTCACACCTCTGTCATTTAGTCTTGAAAATAAAGGCTCTTTACCTTTCACAAGAGGACGTGGTGACTCAGTGGCTAAGACGCTGAGCTTGTCGATCCAAAGGTCGGCAGTTCGGCAGTTCGAATCCCTAGTGCTGCGTAACAGGGTGAGCTCCCATTACTTGTCCCAGCTTCTGCCAACCTAGCAGTTCGAAAGCATGTAAAAAATGCAAGTAGAAAAATAGGGGCCACCTTTGGTGGGAAGGTAACAGCGTACCGTGTGCCTTTGGCATTTAATCATGCCGGCCATATGACCATGGAGACGTCTTCGGACAGCGCTGGCTCTTCGGCTTTGAAACAGAGATGAGCACCACCCCCTAGAGTCGGGAACTAGCACATATGTGCAAGGGGAACCTTTACCTTTGACAATGGGTCCCTGAAATGGCGATGGGCCTTTTCATTAGCACTGAGTCATCTTAGAAAGGGACGAGTCTTGCTAATAAAGTGTCCTTGGATTGCTTTTAGGGGTCTTCCGGGGTAACCCTGAGCAAGTCAAAGAATACCAGAACCTTCTGGATCCTTTATTACAACAATCAGCTGAAGGTATGGAATCTCTGGATCAGAAGTCCTCAAGAATGTTTCCCATCAATGTTGCAAATGCAAGTCCAAAATCAGGAAAAAGACTCAAGTACTTTACCCAGTAGAAGAACTCCGGTCCCAGCTAAATATGATATCCCATTAATTTCTTTTATCAAATGGGGCTCAGGAGAAAATGCCTGGTGAATGAAATATCCATTCTTCAAATATCCAGTGGCTCGAGAGACATTAGCTACCTCTTCTTTTGCTGCGTACAACCACATTGTGCATGAGACCAAACTATCCTGAAGGAGAAGATATTGTAGAATGGGTAAATTGAGTAATGGGAAGTAGATCCATAGTATCTGGTCATGGCAAAGAAAGTAACATTTCTTGATCTTCTAGGACCATGTTTTTTGACCTTGATGACATTAAGTTGGGTGGACTTCAACTCCCAGAATTCCCCAGCCAACGGCTAGCTGGGGAACTCTGGGAGTTGAAGTATACCCATCTTAATGTTGCCAAAATTGACAAACACTGATCTAGAAGCTGTCCCCTAAATGTCAACTTGCAATTTCTAGTCTGCTCTCACGTTGTCATGGGCAGAAAAAAGGGAGATCTGTCGGAGCAGTTCAGCAGCCACGTTCACAAGCACATTCCACGCATACCTTCCTTCAAGGTTGGATCTCAGATTACCAGAGCCAGTTTGTGAGGCGTGGTTTCTACAGCCCGGGAAAGTGCCTCATTGGAGAATGTGATTTATGACACAACCTGAGAGGAGGGGGGGAAACAGGGTCATAGTTGAGCCGTGAATTACGTGCAATAGAGTTGACTACACTTAGGAAGCTGGCGACATGTTGCTCCTAATAAATAACTGGATTTCTTTTGAAATTTGGCTCAAGGCTCATGAGTTAATTAGGGCATTCATCAGAGCCCTGACACTAAGTACACTTGGTCTTGGGGCTTAATCATGACACTTAATAGGTGTTGCAAGATGCAGACTTTAGACAGGAAAGGAGCATTGGGGATACCACTATTTACCTTTCTCAAGGGGAATTTGTGGTTCTGAAAAGAGCTCTGAGTTCATTTAAAAAAAAATGCCATTTCAATTACGTTTGTGATCTGATTGTCTTTCTCCCCACATCAATATACAATAGAAGTATTCCCCTCGAAAATAATAGAAACGAATTGCTGAATTTTTATAATTGCATTATAAAAATGACCCTTTTGTTCTTAATCTTTCGACTCCTCTCCATTCATTGGAACACGACTCCATTGGTGCTTTTTGTTTTAACCGAAACTGGCTAATTAAAACAACCAGAGGAATTATTCTAGCCCTTACTCTCTTGTTTCCCACCTTTAAAACCATTCTAGAAAGTGAGTGAGATGCTTTTCTCTACAATGTTTCACGGTAGCCTATCCTTTCCATTTTAAATATCCCTACATCCCACTGCGTTACGTAATATTAACCATTTCTTAAAAAAAAAAAAAAACAGCATCACACCCCAGATTGAGCCATTTGCATGAAATAATATATAATTTAATTAAATGTGCATTCATTTATATACGTATGTGTGCATACATATATATAGACATTTCAAAACATATCTTCTGAAAATATATAAGTATTCCCTCAATATACTGCGTTTTTAACATCGTCACATAGGTATATGTGACAATGTTGAAGAAATCAGTGTATCGAGGGTTCGGGTTTAAAGCACCGTATTGAAAAATGCAGATGAAGTTTTTTCTGTATCATTCCTGAGCTCCTTTTTCATTATGACTTTTCATTTCACTAATAGCAGTTGTAAATATTTCTGATCCGTAGCACCAGCCTAACAGTGGTACGTCTAAAAAGAAAAAAAAGAAAAAGCACAGTCTTTTCCATCTGTCAAAAATTACCTTCCCCTCCTCCTCCTCCTCCTAGAACCAGTTTAAAGGCATTGCATCTGTTCACTCAAGGTGTAAATCGAGATGGCGGTTTGTATCTTTAGTGAGCTGCAGCACAGAATGATTATTAGCACCAGTAGCGTTACTTCATTCACTGTGCTTCGTTTTTGGCACTTATTTCGACATATATGTGCTCAGCGGTGGGTTTCACATTATGTTACTATTGGTTCACCCCACGCGTGCACACTCACGCCTAGTTTGCGCATGCGCCTGTCTTTCACACATGCACCTGGCCTCAAAAACGTGCCTAAATAGGATGGCATAGAGCTGGGGCGGGCCCACTCACGATTTCCGCTACCGTTTCGGGCGAACCGGTTTGAACCAGCTGAATACCACCTCTGCGTGTGTTAAATAAATAAATAAATTTATTTATTTATCACATTGTTTTTTTTCCCCGAACCGCCCATGTCCCTTCATTTATTCCTCTTTAACTAGTCTGTTTCAACATTTGTAGGCTTTCCGGTTGTACCTAAATATTACCACGTGCCAGCTGATTTTGTTGAACTGGAAAAGAAAAATCCTGGCAGCCAGAAAAGGTTTCCTAGCAACCACGGACGGGATGGAAAGTTTTTCCTGTTGGGACAGTCCCTCTATATTATTGCCAAACTTCTTGGTAAGTAAGCATATTTACCAAAGAATCAGAATGTCCTCCTATTTGAATAAGGTGTATCTGCACCTGAACTGTGGTGACTTCATGAGTTTTAGAAGCTGCGTGAGGAAGTTCCTGGATCACTGAGTGATCTTTTAGCAATAGCACGTAGACTTCTATATCGCTTCACAGTGCTTTACAGCCCTCTCTAAGAGGTTTACAGAGTCAGCGCATTGCCTCCAACGATCTGGGTCCTCATTTTACCCACCTCGGAAGGATGGAAGGCTGAGTCTATCTGGAGCTGGTGAGGATCGAACTCCTGGCAGTGAGCAGAGTCAACCTGCAATATCACCTTCTAACCACTGTGCCATCACGACTCTCTTGAACCTGTATCGCACACAGTTTCCTAGAATTGTTAAACCGTAGCTTATTAACCTGAGAACAAACTCCCTCATACTTAACAACGTAAAAACAACACTGTTTGTTTGGGCCAAATGTCCATTGAGTCATCTTCCATTTTACCAACCAGATTGTTCTGACCTAGGCTTCCCCAGCATCACAAAACCGAGTCCTCGTCCTAAGCCCCTTTTATTTAATTTACAGTGAATTCCTCTCCAGCAAAGTCTTTCCTCTCCCACAGTCTTTCAAGATAGTTCACAATTACCAACCTTTATCAGGCTTGGAGAGTGGCTGGGGCAAAATCTTTCAGACTCTGCAATACTTGGCAAGAATGCAGGAATGAACTAATTGTCTCCTGCAAACTCCACTCCCCTTTCGCTCCTCTTTTATTCCCTCTGGGAGCGGTCCTTTATCGTGCACCTGTGGCCTTACTCCCAAGTCGACCCTTGTCCTTTAGCTGTTCCCTTCATCTGGCAACTCTGCGCATGCGCACACTGGGAATAGGCTCCAGCTGTTCGTCTGCCTCACTGATGTCTGACTCCGAAGGCAGCTGATAACTGGCATCTGGCCCTGGCCCCTTCTCTGCCTCCGACGCAGAGCCCTCATCAGACCCTCCCCCAGACTCCAGGACTGGCCCATGTTCCTCCCCAACCTCCTCACTGTCCGAATCTGCTGCCAGATCTGCTGGTGGGCCACAACACAGATACTTTCGGGGAAGTTCAGTAGCATGGTTAGGAAACCGTTCCTCTCTCATGTTGCTCTGTAGTAGTTTGCAATTAAGATGCCCCTATGATCCAGAAATGTTCATCCTGCCTCCATCAAAACTAGTGGCCTTGGACCAGATTTATTCTCCATAGAATCCTTTGTCTGCCTTTGAACATTGACAGTATATCTTGTTTTAAACTGTAGCTTCCTATTGCATCCAAAGAGAAAACTGACACAAGGAAGAAACATTTCAAGCTATTGATGTTGAAGTCTGAAGCACAATGAAAGGGTGGGGGGGGGAACATATGGGCAGATGATTTGTCATAGTGCGTTCGTTCAAGATCATTATCTCTCAGTGCAGTGTTGGATTTCAAGATGGCTTTTCAAAGAGACCCTTGAGGAAAAAAAAAAATACATGTTGGAAATGTCTCTCGGAATAAGCTCCCCCATGTTGCTTGTTTGAATTTTGGGACTGAAACGGACAGTGGCATATTGGAACTAGACTGTCACGTTTCTCTGTGATATAGATGTGTGTGCATATGTGGGTGTATGTATAATGGTTATCCTTTGAGAGCTGAATGCAATGAAATTTCATTTTAATGTGTGTTGATTAGTGTACACTTAAAATGACAATAAAGATTCTATTCTATTCTATTCTATTCTATTCTATTCTATTCTATTCTATTCTATTCTATTCTATTCTATTCCATTCCATTCCATTCCATTCCATTCCATTCCACTCCACTCCACTCCACTCCACTCCACTCCACTCCACTCCACTCCACTCTATACTATCTATTCTATTCTATTCTATTCTATTCTATTCTATTCTTCTATTCTATTCCATTCCATTCCATTCATTCCATTCCATTCCACCACTCCACTCCACTCCACTCCACTCCACTCCACTCCACTATATTATTCTATTCTATTCTATTCTATTCTATTCTATTCCATTCCATTCCATTCCATTCCATTCCATTCCATTCCATTCCACTCCACTCCACTCCACTCCACTCCACTCCACTCCACTCCACTCCACTATATTATTTCTATTCTATTCTATTCTATTCTATTCTATTCTATTCTTCTATTCTATTCTATTCTATTCCATTCCATTCCATTCCATTCCATTCCACTCCCTCCACTCCACTCCACTCCACTCCACTCCACTCCACTCCACTCCACTATATTATTTCTATTCTATTCTATTCTATTCTATTCTATTCTATTCTATTCTATTCTATTCTATTCTATTCTATTCTGTTCTGTTCTGTTCTGTTCTGTTCTATTCTACTCTACTCTACTCTACTCTACTTTGCTCTATTATTATTTATATTCTATTCTATTCTATTCTATTCTATTCTATTCTATTCTATTCTATTCTATTCCATTCCATTCCATTCCATTCCACGCCACGCCACGCCACGCCACGCCACTCCACTATATTATTTCTATTCTATTCTATTCTATTCTATTCTATTCTATTCTATTCTATTTTTCTGTTATTATCCCCTTTCCCAATTCCATTCCTTTCCTCTTCCTATTCCATCCTGTCCTGTCCCGTCCTAATTGTATTCAGTGAGTTAAAAGAAAAGTCAAGAAAAACCACAACCATGTGACTGAAGGCCCAGCCCTCTTTTACCTGTATCATAAAACACATGTTTTTTTTTTTTTTTAATTCTTCTATTCTCTTTCTGTTCTATTCCTGATCCACTCTGGGTGTGCAACATGTTCTGGCAAAACTGAGCTCCGATGCATTCCATAACCTAGGGACTAGCTACTACATTCCATTATCATTTTGGTTTATGATCAGGCACTGATCTCGGTTCCTGCGTATCTCAGAGTAATAAATTGTTACAGGGGTGACAAATGCTTTTAATTACCCATTGACAAATAACTGATGTTGGTGGTTTTGCTTTCAGTTGATGGTTTAGTAAGCATTAAAGATATCGACCCGGTGAACCGCTTCATTCCTTCTCAAGATCAGCGGAATGTTAGCATGCGATACTCAAATCAGGTATGCCTGTCTTTATCTACTGATGTATGAAAAAAAAAATATCCATTACAGTTGAGCAAATTGTTGATCCCTAACATTTTGTAAAAGAAATAATCTTGGATTAGCTTATGATGAGAAACGTAGAATAAATTGCTTACATAATAACCATTTGCAAAGTTTGTTCTACTTTTCAGTGTTGGAATAGACGGCCCCGATAATATAGCATATTTTTCAGAGTATAAGACGCACCATTTTCCCCCCTAAAAGTGGTTACTTGTCCCAGCTTCTGCCAACTTAGCAGTTCGAAAGCACGTAAAAAATGCAAGTAGAAAAATAGGGACCACCTTTGGTGGGGAGATAGCAGTGTTCCATGCGTCTTTGGTGTTGAGTCATGCTGGCCACATGACCACGGAGACGTCTTCGGACAGCGCTGGCTCTTCAGCTTTGAAACGGAGATGAGCACCGCCCCCTAGAATTGGAAATGACTAGCACATATGTGCGAGGGGAACCTTTACCTTTACTTTTATAGACTGAATGCAGGCGTTTTTGGCTTCCTGAACCCTCTGTGCATCATGTTTTCGCACTCCCCAGCCCCCAGAAGCGCTCTGCAGTACTCTGCATGGGCCATTTTTTCCCTCCACTCATTGCATTTTTGACCTCCCTGTTCCCCAGAAGCACTTTGCTGGCCAAAAATGAGCGCATTTTTGGCAAAAACGGGCCGTGTGGAGCACTGCAGAGTGCTTCTGCGAGCCTGGGAAAATCTGACTTGCAGAGCAGTGGTGGGTTGCCCCCAGTTCGGACCGGTTCGCAAGAACCGGTAGTAAAACCGGTGGGAGGCTCCGCCCACTGACCCATATGACATCATCATAGGTGATCTGTGCATGCGTGGACGCATGCAAACCGGTAGTAAAGGTAAGAAGAACCCATCCATGGTTCAGAGGCGGTATATGAAAAATACGGTATATATTTTAAAAATTGTATACCAGTTTCTATAAGCCAGCAGAACCAGTAAGCAAGTTCGAACTATTGGTTACAAAACTTGACTGGGTTATTCTAGTTGGTTTACTAAAATTATATCAATGTCTACCCAGGCTGGGTCTAATTAAAGAATAACTATTGGAACTGAAAGAACCCTCAGTGCTGGGTAAATAGCTTAGGCCTTAAAATTACGATTAGCAAGCATCAATCAGGAGCCTGTCCTGTAATTTATTCAATTTTGTTTTCTTTCAAAAAATAAAAATAAAAATACCAGCCTGGACAGTACATATAAAAAGAACTGCCTATGTGAGATGCATTGGTGAGTTTATTTTTTTTCTCTCCATAGAGACCCTTTGCTTGTGTTTTGGTTATTAAATTGACTGGCTCTCCCACTACAGTCCTTGACTTACAACTATTGGTTTAACGATTGTCCGAAGTTACAATGGCAATGAAAAAAGTTAGTAGGCCTGAGGCAGGGGTGAAATCCAGCAGGTTCTGACAGGTTCTGGAGAATCGGTAGCGGAAATTTTGAGTAGTTCGGAGAACCGGCAAATACCACCTCTGGCTGGCCCCAGAGTGGGGTGGGAATGGAGATTTTGCAATATCATTTCCCCAGGAGTGGGGTGGGAATGGAGATTTCGCAGTATCCTTCCCCTGCCATCCCACCAAGCCATGCCCACCAAGCCATGCCCACAAAACTGGTAGTAAAAAAAAAATTGCATTGAGGTTGGCCTGAGGTTGATTCCTGGGAAAGTTCTACACTAGCAGGTTGAAGCAAGTAAAACAATTCTCCTCTCACTTAAATGTATTGATACACAGCTCACAAAATATATGAGGTTATGGGAGACTCTGTGGATCACCTCATATTTTTTAGGCGTGCAGCGAAGTTAAGGCAGTCAAATCAATTTAACATCCTAACACATTTATTTTTAAGCAGTCTTGACTGTATTAATTTCTTCTTCACAACTCTTACCTTCTATCTGTTTGCAGTTCAATAAATCAAGATGTTTTGTTGGATTTTTGGAATTTACAGGCATTCCATTAGTATTTGTTTTAATTCCTTTTAGCTGCAAAGCCCATTATCTGGATTGAAACCCAGTTAACAGGTTTTCTCATCCAGCTGGGCTGTAAATCTTTGTCGCGCAGACATTTATTCCCTTATTCAGGAATCGGCTTTCTCAGCAGAAAGGCTCACAAGACATGACTCAGCTAGATTTGTCCTTTGATTTCAGATAAGAATAAAGCACATGGAAACATTATCCGCTGCGCTACACAAAAGTCAACACTTTTCCAAGTTAATGAAAACGTGTCCACTGTCTTGATGGTCCAGGAGATGTAGGAGAAAGTCAGGCAGAGCTGGGGGTGGCGTCAAGGGAGCAATCAGCCTGGAATCATTACATTCCCACAAGCATTCTAAGCTCAACTCCCTCTTGAATTCCGTTAACTCTTATCTAGTGCCAATTTAGTGCTGACCGTTGGTTGATTAGTACGGGCATGGATAGTAAATCAGCTTCACTGGAACTTAATGTTTGGTCCTGATTCTTCATGCCTGACAGCTCTAAGATGTAGATCAGACCAAGAAATCAACTCCACATTAAGATTAAAACTACTTGTATTAAAATTGACTATGATTACGGAAGATTACAAGTCTTAATTATGCTTTGCTTCCTTCACCTCTTATATTCATGTGAATTAGAGGGTGACTGAGACATTTATGCATTCTTTATTGTTTGGGTTTAAGGAATACTTTCCTTCTTGCCTGTTTGGTAAGAGTTCTCCCATTTTTCTATCAAGGCCATCCTCTTTATAGCGCCTGAATTGGGTTAACACAGTGGGTGTTACCTCCAGGGGTGGGCTTCAAACATTTTAGCAAGGGGTTCTCTGCCTGGTTATTGGGTGGGTGGGTGACCATGGTGGGCGTGGCCGAGTTGGCCTTCTGAACCATGATGGTGGTGGTGGGGGGGTGTTTTTGTCCTCTCCGGGCTCCGGTGGCTTTCCTTGAGCCTCTGGGAAAGCAAAAATGGCCTCCCCAGGCTCCGAAGGCCCTCTGGAGTCCATAATGAGCCCATTTCTGGCCTTCCCGAACTTCCAGCAGGCCCGTTTCTCGCCCTCCCCGAGCCTCCGCATGCACGCCTGCACTTACCTGCATCCAAAACAGGCTGCGTGGGGACTCCTGGGAGGGGTGGGGTAGGCGGGGCCAGCCAGGAGTGAGATTTGGGGGTTCCCAGATTCCCCATCCTTCTTCCCCAGACCATGGAATTTGAAACTGGAAGCTTCACTGTAACTTCAGAAAACTAGGGCTAGCTTTCCTGTCCTCTACAAAGAGTTTACTACAAAGGATTAAGCCATCTCATTTTTCTTCCAAAGCAAATTAAGGAAATCCATTTAGTCATCTCAATATATATGTATATATAATGCTAGATCGCTTTGTAAAAGCCAATTAGTCAGCCAAAATTGAAGTTTCTTTTAAAAGGCAATCTCATTCATTAACGAAACTCATGTAGTTCTCATTAGTGATAAAACAATTTAATCAAACTTGAGATTTGAGGATAGAAGCTATTTTCTAGAAAATGGCACTTTTTCTATAAAAAAAAAAAACTTATCATGAAAGCAGATCTATTGAAGGGCTGCTATTCTTTTTCCCATAACTGGAATTCAAGCCTGAATGGCTCCATATGTAAAAACGCTCATCTGCATTTAAAATGATTCTCTCCCACAACAGAGAAACAATAACGTGTTTTTGGGTAATTCCCCTGAATTGTTTTTTTTTTCTTATGAATCTCCCATTTCCAACTGAAGTGGACAAGTACTTCATAAAAGGGCTTCGTCTTTGACTTCTAAAATATTCTGTGACATAGATAGGGACAGACAGTAGCAGTTCTCTGCAGCTGTCTACAGATGTTGATTATTTGGCTTCCAGTCATAAAATATCTCCATTCCAGCATTTTTTTTTCTCAGTCAAAAAAACAAAAACAAAACAGAAACAGGATCACAGACCCAAGAAACAAATCATAAAAGTTTTCTTCTTTTTCCAGTCCTTTCTTCATCCCGATGTTAAAAGCTCGTTCACATTTAACCAGTGGTGAAATTCAAATTTTTTTACTACTGGTTCTGTGGGTGTGGCTTGGTGGGCATGCTTGGTGGGCGTGGCAGGGGAAGGATACTGCAAAATCTCCATTTCCATCCCACTCCAGGGGAAGGATACTGCAAAATCCCTATTCCCTCCCCACTCCAGGGGAAGAATACTGCAAAATCCCCATTCCCTCCCCATTCCAGGGGAAGGATACTGCAAAATCCTCATTCCCTCCCCACTCCAGAGGAAGGATACTGCAAAATCCCCATTCCCTTCCCACTCCAGGGAAAGAATACTGCAAAATCCCCATTCCCTCCCCACTCCAGGGGAAGGATACTCCAAAATCCCCATTCCCTCCCCACTCCAGAGGAAGGATACTGCAAAATTCCCCATTCCCTCCCCACTCCAGAGGAAGGATACTGCAAAATCCCCATTCCCTCCCCACTCCAGAGGAAGGACAGTGCAAAATCTCCATTCCCACCCCACTCCTGGGGAAATGATATTGCAAAATCTCCATTCCCACCCCACTCTGGGGCCAGCCAGAGGTGGTATTTGCGGTTCTCCGAACTACTCAAAATTTCCACTACCGGTTCTCCAGAACCTGTCATAACCTGCCCAATTTCACCCCTGCATTTAACCTTGCTGAAATCAATTGTATTTGAGGCTTCAAAAGATTCATCGGGATAAATAAAGCATTAATGGAGCCAGGGTGTTTATGTTTTGGAATTAAGACATCCCTCAATGTCTTGCTTTACTCATTTAGAACAACCCTTTTCGAAGATGTTGACCTCTTAATGTGTTCCATTGGGCACTTCAATTTTTTTCTATTGTGCTTCGAAGACCCTGCCAGGAATTCAGTCAACAGGCTGCTGCGAAGCCATTAGAAGCTCAGATCAAAGGGGATATTGTGATGGCCAATTTCCAATGATCTCGATCCTGATTAAATCAAGGCCCCGTAAGGAGTGGAGGGCCTTGCATATTGCTCAGCTGTTACTTTGAAGTTTGTCGAAAACTAAACCTCACACCAAGTTCTAACCACAGTTCTATCCTTCTACTCTAGAACAGTTTTAATCCTGCACCATCTTGCTGTCACAAATGCCCAATTTACAATAAGTGGAACGGCTTCTTAAATTCATAGGAGGATTGTAACGACTTAAAATCTAAGGTGTCCTTCTACTTTTCATAAGCATTAGTCAAACAACATTGGTTGTTTTCCAAGTTTTTCTCAAACAAAAGCAAACTACATTACATTTGTGTAGTAGGCTTCACCAGCCTGGCCACTATCTAGATGTATAGTTTAGACATCTTGAGCCATGGTGGCACAGTGGTTAGAATGCAGTACTGCAGGCTACTTCTGCCAGCTGCCAGCAGTTCGATCCTGACCGGCTCAAGGTTGACTCAGCCTTCCATCCTTCCGAGGTGAATAAAACGAGGACCCAATAGACTGACTCTGTAAACTGCTTAGAGGGGGCTGTAAAGCACTGTGAAGCAGTACATAAGTCTCAGTGCTATTGTTATCTTGTCCTAGAATCCTTCTGCCAAAGTAGCCATTGTTGAGAATTATGATAGTTGAAGTCCAATGTGTAGAAAGTGCCCAGCTTTTGCAAGTGTGTTTCGAACAAGCACAGTATAGTGTGTATAGTTTTATTTTGTACCATTATCACACTAATTGAAGTTGCCCAGTTAAAAACCCTACAGCTAAAAGCATAGTTGATGCATTGCTGGTGTCTTAGAACAGACCCCCCTCCCCCCAAGTTCTGGTATGTCCATAGGCAGTGACAATTCCCTTGTTTTTTCTATGGATGGGGTCTCATCGCCGTACTCAAGCACATACACACATGGAATCTGCCCATAAAATGAATGAAAAGGAAATTTTGGGTAAATAAACCCTACATGTGCAGTCACGTAGGCTGTCTGCTTCATAGAACATCTGTTATACATTAAAATTATATACCACTGCTGAGAGATAACCGGTAGCATTACATTCACGGACTAGTGGAAAATGCTTTTTTTAAAAAAAAAATAAATGATGCACAAGTCTAATAAATCAAAAGCTCATGGTTCCTTCCTGCTTCACCACAAAAGAGTAAGAAAAAGGAAGAATCTGTTCCTACCGTTTCAATAGTGCATCATTCAAAAAATTATTGACAGCGCAGCTCCTCAGGTGGCATTGAGATTTATGCGCGTTGTTTCCCTGATGTTCCTGTCTCCTGTTTGCATAACCAAATTGATTAGCAGGCAATAAAGAATGAACGAAAAGCAGCCACGCAGCTGGAAAATGCCAATCATATTTAATGGCTGGTTATTGTTCACGTTGGCTTCTCATTGTGCGGTGGGTAACAATCAGATAGCGAATCCCAATTTTTTTAAAAAAAGTTTTCTTTTTTTTTTCTTCTTATCCTTTTAGGGTCCCTTGGAAAATGACCTCGTGGTCCACGTTGCATTGGTCGCTGAAAGCCAGCGGTAAGTCCTTCAGAGCTCCAATAAATCTCATTGATTGGTTTTCAATGTGCCCGTTGGTGATTCTGGTACTTTAGATCAGGGGTCACCAATCTTTCAGACCTCAGGGACCACTAAATTCATAATTTTAAATCCTGCGGACCACTAATATGATCTGCCTAATGACCGGGTGGGCATGGCTCGGTGGTCATGTGACTGGGTGGGCGTGACCAACTCAATGTCACTCATGTCGAGGGGCGCCTCACCAGCCTCTACACACCCCTCCCCTGCCAGCTACTCCATGCCTCCCCACCCGGGCTCCTTAGGGCCCAACAGGAAGCAGTTGTTGGAGCTATGCAGCCACCACGAGAAAGAGTCGGCAAAAGAGCTCAGTTCAAATTGGATCTGGCCGAGAAGGAGGCTCAGCAGAAGCACCTCACTGAGGACTAGGAGCATAGGCTTTCCAAGCAGAGGGAAGATCTGCAGGAGTGCAAGGCCAGGTACTGGACCCTGGAGGCTCAGCAGTCTGAGATGGTCAACCAGTTCTAGGCCATGAGGCAGTCCCATTGGAACAAGATCCTCCGGCTCTTCACCACCAACGGTGCTTCCCTCCAGCCTTTGCCCAAAGCCCCGCACCAGGAGGCTGAAGCAGACGCCAAGTTGGAATTTCTGCCCCCCTCCGACCCGCACAAAAAGCCCCTGAAGGGGGAGACTCTCTGCAGCATCACAAATGTTCATTGCACGTATCTGGTCCAGGGGCCGTAGTTTTAGGACCCCTGAGTTAGTGCAATATAAAAAATGGAAATAATTTTTCTGTGGACCACCAAAATTTTCTCACGGACCACCAGTTGGTGACCGCTGCTTTAGATGGAAACGCCATGGTCTCCAGAGGCTCTGTGGGTGAAACCCCACAGATCTTCTCCCTTTCTCCTTCAACAACATCCTGCAATCAAGAAGCAGTGTGAAACTTTTGGGTTTTTGATGGGTCAGGCTGGAAATTACAATCAGGAGCTTGGCTTTTCCCTTTTCCCCGATCAACAAATTAGTTAACTCAATGGGCTTCAAGATCCAGCACAAACCTCCAGTGAAGTCCCAAGTCCCCTGCTCCAGAACTGATCTCAAGAATGATGGATTGGGAAGAATTCTTGGTTCAGATCTGAATTTTGTCACCAGGTTTCCGGTGTAGCTCAGGCAGGGTCAAGAGTTATAGGCTGGATAGAGACATTGTATTATTAGACTATCACACGATTGTTGTGCTTCTGTCCTAGCATGTTGTATAAACATGTGAACATAGGCTGATCCTTCCAAGAGCCTTTGGAGATATTTGGACCTAGATAGTAGTTCTATCCTTAGAGTGGTGCAGTGGCCTAGAGGTGGAGCTCTTGCCTCACAATCAGGAGGCTGTGAGTTCGATCCTAGGTAGAGGCAGATATTTCTCTCTCTGGGCACAATCTGCCGAACAAAACTCCGCATTGGCAACAGGAAGGGGATCTGGCCATTAAAACACTGCTAGCTCCATTCAGTTGCCCAGACTCCACCTTGCAAGGGATTGTGGGGTCATTAAAAGATGATGATGGTAGTTCTATCCTTGAAAGTCTCAAAGCAGTAATCAAGATTATTACACCCAGCTCTAGGTTTGATTCCATTCGTAAGAGTAAAATCCTGGATTTCTTTCAAATATGGGTTACTGGAAAGAGATTCCAGTTTTGTCACACTAATGTCCCTTTGTAATGTTTTCATTGAAAACAACAACAGCTTACAGGTGTTTCTGAACACATATGGCATCCAAACACAAACACCACAACAAGTTGAACCCATCCAGATTTGGCCTCAACAGGAGCTTGTGAAGGTAAGTTGTTACTTTGACATTTTTTTTAAAAACAAAACAAAACAACTTTTCGTTTTCTTTTGAAAACCAGTGTTTCCTAGGCTATGATAAATGGCTTTGATTTTGGTACTACTTATGTCAAATTAAAAAAACTATACATGCACACAAAAACACACATCAATAAAGACAGGTTTTTATTATCAGGAACCCCCTGGAAATAGCTAGAAATGAATTACAAGAACATGGAATAAACGATACACTTGCTTTTATAGAGAGAAAATCTCATCTAATATTGTTTCACTCTAGTGCTTAGAACAGCAAATCTTTCTAGTCCAAACACATCTCATTTGTAAACAAGGTCCAATTCAAATTTTGTTGAGCAAATACGTTTTAACTTATTCATGTTGATATTCTGAGATTACTCAGTGCATAAAATTGTCGCAGGCAAAATTTGTTTTCCGAAATAACATGCATCCCAATGACGAAGCTATTTGTTAGACATCTACATATTTCTTCATGCTGCCTTTTCCTTCAGCATCAGATTGGAAACCGGGAGGCTGTGAGTTCTAATCCCTTCTGAAGCACTAAACTAGCTGGATAACCTTGGGCCAGTCCCTCTTACTTAGCCCTAGGAAAGAGGCAATGGCAAACCATTTCTGGGGCGGGGGGGGGGGAATTGCCAAGAAAACTGCAGGGAACTATCCAGTGGTGGGATTCAAATAATTTAACAACTGGTTCTCTTCCCTAATGATTTCTTCCAACAACCAGTTCACCAAATTGTTCAGAAAGTTAACAACCGGTTCTCCCAAAGTGGTGCGAACTGGCTGAATCCCACTACTGGAACTATCTAGGCAATGGTAGATTAAGAGCCTTGGTAGTACAAGGGTTTAAGGCACCCTGTTATTAAGCTGCTTAAGACCAGCTGCCTGCAATTACTGCAGGGTTCGAATCTCGCCAAGGCTCAAGGTTGACTCAGCCTTCCATCCTTTCTAAGGTAGGTGAAATGAGGACCCAGTTTGTGGGGGCAATAAGCTGACTTTGTATAAATATACAAAAGGATGAAGGCTATTGCTGAGCACATTGTAAGCCGCCCTGAGTCTCCGGAGAAGGTCGGCCTATAAATCAAATTAAAAAAAAAAAAATGTCCAAGAATGGAAATGATTAATCAGAGGAAGGAAAAAAGACGTATTTCTGTATGTTGACTCTTCCTTCCTTTTCCTTGGTGGATCTGATTCTTTGATAAAAATAGAAGAAAGAACATATTTGCCCCAAGCATCATCCATAAATTGGAGCTTTGTACTTATAGGAAAATCATTGAATTGGGAAATAAGTAGAAAAAGAGTTCATTGTTCAATTTTCCTTTGTTTTTGCTACTTTTTGTATGCTAGATGCATTAGGAACATTGGAGGGATTCAATGGGACTGAATTTCAGAGAGTAACATATTTTGAGTAGTAACCGAATCTTTAAAAAAAGAAAAGAAAGAAATGATTATCATATCATATATCTCTTGGCAGAGAAATCCATTAATGTGTCAAATAACTTGGATAATTTCAATGACAGCCTAGTTCTCCTTAGTCTTTCGTGAAAATAAAGCTGTTTTAGAGGATTAAGCGTCCATCTTTTTTCAGATGAATCTCAATGTTTCATTTTTATATGGTACAATTGGACTCACTTTGCAAAAAGATGAGGAGGATGTCATCTTTTTATTTTAACGCTGTGTGTGTGAAAGACAGAGAAATGGAGAGGAAATCGGGTTTATACTTAAAATATTCTGTTTCTTGCTTTCATTTTTTAAAATGTCTATTAAAAAATTTAAAGTTCCCAGAAATAAACAAGGCGACAGTCCTACCTGGTAAAGGTTTCCCTCGCACATACGTGCTAGTTGTTCCTGACTCTAGAGGGCGGTGCTCATCTCCGTTTCAAAGCCGAAGAACCAGCGCTGTCCGAAGACGTCTCTGTGGTCATGTGGCCGGCATGACTAAAGGCCAAAGGCGCACAGAACACTGTTACCTTCCCACCAAAGGTGGTCCCTATTTTTCTACTTGCCTTTTTTACGTGCTTTCGAACTGCTACGTTGGCAGAAGCTAGGACAAGTAACGGGAGCTCACCCCGTTACCTGGCACTAGGGATTTGAACTGCCAACCTTTCGATCGACAAGCTCAGCCTCTTAGCCACTGAGCCACCGCTCAGTGTCCACCCTAAAAATAAACCACCACCCTTTTCCCAATAAATATTAAATCCATTTATATAGTCAGTGTATTTCAATTATGGATTTCAATGTTTATTTTATTTCAAACACTTAACACCTCACCATGCCTGGCCAGGGAAGGACAGGAATAGGTAAAAGGAGGAGAAGGAAGCCCTTCAGATTTCCAGCTTGCAAACAGAACCCCTTGAGATGCCACCACTATTTCTTTGAACCAAACCCTCAGATAAATCGGAATCCCATATAACTGTTTCAGGAAGGGAGTCCTGTAAACTCAACCTAGAGCATTGATAACAGCTTAGTTCTGGCATACCGTAATTTATGAGCAACCGCCAAAGGCAACAGCCTCGGCCCATAATTCAATAAGTTTTAACAGGATGCCATTAAATATGGGTCTGATGTTCCACAAAAGGCAAAGAAAAGATGGGGTTAGTTTGTACCTATTCCCAGATGCAGTTTTTTTAAGTGGAACTTCTCTTCGATTTCTGCCATTCTTCTCTTTCCTTTCTACGTGCTTGGCTTTCTTTTCCAAACCGCTCCAATAATGCCGGCGGGAGGTTGACCTTCGCTTTCTTGAAAAGGTCATTCTGCTACAGAATCATTGACTGGCTTCCCTGCAGTCTTCTTGGCTCAGAAAGCTTTGGCTACAACTCTTAAAGAGTTAATCTGTTCACCAAGGCAATCATATGTGCCAGAAGTAGGAACGGGTGATTACTATTCCTTCTTCTTATTCTTTTTTTTTAAAGACTGTTCCAGATCACTTCCCTCTCCATCTCACCTCCACTTATCGTCTCTTCCCTCCCGAGATCATAAATATTCTGATTTTGCCCAAAGGATAAAAAAAAATGAATAAGGAATTCGCCTTCCCGATTCTTCCCAAACACACTACCCTCGACCTTCTCTTTGAACGTTGGTGTGTGTGTGTGTGTGTGTGTGTGTGTGTGTGTGTAACACTTACATTATGTTTTACAGGCTTATTTCCATCTGGGCATCAACAAAAAATTGGGACTCTCAGGAAGACCCGATCGGCCAATTGGCTGCCTCGGAACATCAAAGGTTCTTACAGAGAATTACTATTCTGCATGGTTCTAGTTAGCGTAAATATTGGAGGTGGTCTAAATTATTCTCTAAACTCGGCAAGAAATTTGGAGCGAAGCTGTTTTGCTCCATTTTCAGGAATTAAGGCCCACTGAGTTTTTGCTTGGTGTATAACTGAAATGACAAATCTTATCTAAGATGAGTTGATCGACTGTTCTTAAGGTTCTTAAGAAGAATCATCTCATTAGTAATTTAGGAGAAAGCTCTCATGGGTGTAATTCAGTGTAATTGCTAGATAGAACTTGTACTCCCGTAACCAGGGGTGGGATTCAGCTGGTTCAGACCGGTTCAGGCAAACCGGATGCTAATTTTACATCTGGTTTGCCGAATCGGTAGTTGTAAGAACTGGCTGGCTTATTATCAGGTGATGACTTATTTTGGGGGAAACAGGGTAGAATTTAGAGTTTTCTTTCAGAAAGATGAAGATCTGATTGTCCGTGTTTCGTGGATCTGAGACATTGATGGTTTATTCTACAGATTTATCGAATCCTGGGGAAAACGGTGGTTTGCTACCCAATCATCTTTGACCTGAGTGATTTCTACATGTCGCAGGATGTTATGATGTTGATTGATGATATTAAGGTATTTTGTGAACAAAATCTGATTCTGCTTGTTACGTTTTTAATTTTAAATGCTCAGAAACTTAAATCATAGATTAAGTCTTGTGCTTTATTGGTCTGGGAACAGAAAGAAAAGAAAGAAAAATGAGAAGGCCTTGTACTCAATGAGGAAGGGACACAATTGCTTTCTCTAGAACAGAGGTCTTCAAACTTGGCAGCTTTAAGACTTGCGGAGTTCAACTCCCAGCATAGTTGGCTGGAGAATTCTGGGAGCTGAAGTCCACAAGTCTTAAAGCTGCCAAGTTTGAAGACCTCTACTCTAGAATCTTGTAGCTGAAGTTGAATTCACTTGCTTAATTTATATAAAAGAAAACCTCACTAAAAAAAAAAGAAGAAGCAGGCATAATTTGAACTGATTTGCATTAGACTGGATTATATAGCCTATTCCATATATTAGCCACAAAGTTGAAAGTTACTGCATTTGGAGCCATAGAAGAACATTTGTGGGTTGCTTTTCCTATAAAAAAATATTCTTTCCACTATAAGATGCTGCACCTTTTCTTATTTTCTTAAGAAGCACAGAAATAGGTCAAAGAGAAGCCCAGGTTGAAGCAGACAGATACAAGAAATGCAGTCCACTATCAAATAACCACATTAAAAAGGCCAAAGTATCAGGATTGGCTTTCTTTGTAAAATTTTAAATTGAGGATTAATCACGCAGCTGTAAATGGGGAGAGAGAGGGAGAGAGAGAGAGGGAGGGGGGAGAGAGAGACTGGAGTGACCTTGAATTGATCAAAATTGCTAGAAATCTACATTTGAACTGGTAAACTTCACTTTCATAAGTGGAAAAAAAATAATCCTGGTGCTCCACAGAAGGAAATTACAAAGTTGTTGAAACCCTAAGGAGAGCTTTTGATTTACGGTATATTCAGCATCTGGTGGCTTTGTAAAGATTGGGTTGGATAATCAGGGAACATTCAGTGCCAGAGAACAGCGCTCTATAATTTTACCTTTAAAAAAATATTCTCCCTCGCTCTTTCTTTCTTTCTTTCTTTCTTTCTTTCTTTCTTTCTTTCTTCCTTCCTTCCTTCCTTCCTTCCTTCCTTCCTTCCTTCCCTCTCTCCCTCCCTCCCTCCCTCCCTCCTTTCTTTCTTTCTTTCTTTCTTTCCCTGAGTTTCCATAGGCTTTTAAGTAAATTGCTTTGGTAGCTTGCATTTTACTTTTTTTTTTACAAAAAAATTGGAGGATAAAGAAGTTTTCAGAGACATTGACAGTGGAACATAGCTCCTGCCACTCTCTGTAAATAATTCTTTTCAGTGGGATAATAAAGATTACCCCTGAAGAAAAAGAACATTGCCTAAAATGCCATTTCTATAGCCGCCCTGAGTCTCCAGAGAAAGGCGGCATATAAATTGAACTAATAATAAATTGAACTAATAATTTCAGTAAATATTTCTGACATGGGCCTCCTATGAAATTCATTAATGTTTGTGGCCAAAGAAGCCTTTTCCACAGAGTTCATTTCCATGTTACAAATCATCTTCAGGAATCACCATATTGGGCTGATTCAGGTCTGTTTTAGATAGAAATTGCATTGTATATACCAGTTTTTCAACCTTGGCACTTTAAGATGTATGTACTTGAACTCCCAGAATTCAGTGCATTATATGCATTATATATACAAGGGTTGAATTATATGTAATCTCTACCTCTATATTTCTCTGTCTCTGTCTCACTATGTTTCTCTCACTCTGTCTCTCTGTCTTTCTCTGTTTCTCTCTGTCTCTGTCTCTGTCTCTCTCTGTGTCTCTCTTTCTCTCGCTGTCTTTCTCTGTTTCCCTCTGCCTCTCTCTCTCTCTCTCTCTCTGTGTGTGTGTGTGTGTGTGTGTGTGTGTGTCTCTCTGTGTCTGTCTCTCTGTGTCTGTGTGTCTCTCTCTCTCTCTTTGTCTCTCTGTCTGTCTGTCTGTCTCTCTCTCCCCCTCCCTCTCTCTCTCTCTCTCTCATCTATCTATCCAGCAGATCTAAATTGCATTGTATATACCAATCTTTCTCAATCATGGCCACTAGAAGATATGTGGACTTCATCTCCCAGAATTCCCCAGCCAGCCATACATGTACTGCATTCAACACATCCAAGTATTCTCACATACTGTTTTGTTTTGCTAATTGGATGTTTTTATTGCAATTTACGCTATTTTAATATCCTTTCTCCTTGGGGTGGGGTGGGGGCTTTATTTCCCTAGAATGCTTTGCAGTTCATTAAACAATACTGGAAAATGCATGGCCGTCCTTTATTCCTTGTGCTCATCCGAGAGGACAATATAAGGTAAGACTTCGCCCATAGAAAATGCTCACATAAGATTCCCAATGCTCGGGCATTTGAGAAGTTTGCAACATAAAATCTTGTGTTTTTCTTTTCCATCAGGGGAAGCAGATTCAATCCCATACTGGACATGCTTGCCTCCTTTAAAAAGGGTGTGGTCGGTGGAGTGAAGGTTCGCGTTGATAGGCTGCAGGTATAGTTGTCTTTTCATTGATGCATGGCATAAAATGTAATTAAATAAAATGTAACTGATGCATGGCATACAATTTCAAGTAATCAGCAGGTCTGGGTGTGTCTGTTCTGACCCAGCTCCCCAAACATTCAAACCCTCTGGAGTGAACTCAACGATTCCTTTTATTAGGAGCGCCAGCAGCCCCAGCAAAAAGTTTCTCTCTCACTGCAGGCTAACAAGTCTGGCTGTCTAGAAGATGAATAGTTGTCTGCCACATCTATTTGTCTCCGCCCCCTGCCTTTTATCCCCAGAGCTAGGGTGTGGCTTAGCTAGCAGCGGTGGCTCTTCCTTCCCAAGGATCGGTTCACAGATTTCCACTGCTCTCCTCTCCTCTGCCTTCTGCACATCCACACATCAGGCACCTGACCCAGCTTTTCCTCCTCTTCCTCATCAGCCACTTCCAGACCTGGAGGCTGTTGACTCTCCACTGAGGGCTGACGGATGGCCCAGGCTCCACCTCGGTCTCTCTGTCACTCTCTGCCAGCTCCATTCTTTCTTCCCCCTTGGAGCTCTCAGGTTGCCTGTGTCAGGTTTCGATGTCGTTTCAAATAAAATAAATTGCATTTCCAAACAGATAGTCTTTGAAGAAATCTTTCATTTTATTAAGCATGACAATCTGTCCCCGATCATGGCGTAGCCAACTCTGACTTCCTGACCCCAAACCTTCCCTTTCCGTTCCCCAATTCTCTGCATCTCATTGGCCTTCTTCCAAATCACTCTCCCCATATCTACTACTTAAGCTCCCAGGAATGTCCCCCACTCCCATCTCATCTCCTAGGGGATATTATCTTCAAGGAAAATAAGTAGGTGAAATGTCAAGCGTCCTCTTGCCAGCTGCCCCCTCTTCTCCTTCTTATGTCAGCACTAGAGTAAATGCAGGTTGAAGTGCTGACAGCCTGGATGCTGGCCCCGACTCCCACACCTCCTCCTCCTCTGATTTGGCTGCTGAACGGGCCGGCGGTCCATCGACCACAACAGTGTCTTATTTCTGAATGAAATTAATATTTTTGAAAAATCAGAAAGAAAAAAGAAATGATCATCAAAAAATCAGGCCATGTGTGAACTCGCCCAGTTATGCTATATTCATTAAACCATGGTTAACTGGTTTAAGGCAATGTGTTAAACATGCATAAAACTTCTTTATGTATGTTTGTGGTTCCAGGCAATGTATGAATCCAGTCCTTGTCTTCAAAATCATGCTGAGTCAATTCCAGCGTTTCCTATTGCTTGTCAATTTAGGGGTTCAGTTCCATGCAATGAGGAGGAGATGACAGTGATGACAACTGATAAAATCCAGCTTCTGTTTGGAAAATGTTTGGTTTACCCGGTTTTGTGTTCCTTTCTTGTTTTTAAAAGCGTTTCTTAAGCCCTTAATAAATAAAGGCTGCCAGAAACTTTAGCATCTGGATAGACTGCTGGAGCCATTGTGGTATTTTCAACCTGACATGTATATACAATTACTTCCCAGATTTAAATAATGCAACATTTTCTTTTGCTAAGGCTTGAGCATTAATTTCCTAAATTACTCCACTGTTGTATTCTTGGATATCGTCCATTTCATTATAGAAAGAGGAAAAAGTGAAACAGTGAGATTATGAAATGCTAATAATGCATTATCTATTAGAGGGAATATATGTTCGTGTTCATAATTTACTTGCCGTTTCTGTATTTGTATGCAGAGAGTTAGGCCTTTTAGACATTAATTCATAGAAGAGTTATATAATTTTGCATAAAAATACTTTCCATTTTGGTCGTAAAACTACAGTTTCCAGGCTTGGCTAGAATATTTTTCCCATTTATGGGTTATAATAAAGTTATTACAATTTGTGCTCAGATATACAAGATAAACGGGGAATATAAAGATCAGTATAAAACAAGTAAATCAAATTATGACAGACAGACAGTCTTCCCATTGTGGCTGCATAGTTTTCTTGATATATTTCGCTATATAAATGAAAAGTTACTCTAACCTTATCTCTATTAGTTTTGCCTCACCAGTGTGAAACTCTTTTTCATAGGAAAGCTTAACATTAATTCAGTGTAATCTGTTTTCCCCTTGGAGATCTATTTGAATATTCAAAGGATTAATAGCAGATAATACGTAAACCTGATAAAATATTAATAAGAAAAAGTGCATCTTTGTTCTCCAGCAAACCATAAATATTTGGGTAGGAAATTGAATTGGACGGTTGAGGGAAGAGATAGACACCTCATCCTTCTTTCTCCCTCTGCAATAAAATCCTGGGGGAAAAAGGGCTAGAAACATACTTTAACATCTGAAGTAACAGTTGCTTAGAAGAATAAACAAACAGCAAAAGTATTGTTTTTGCCCTATCTGGAGGCTAATCTTACAGGGGTAACATTTTTTCCAGACCAGTCTTGTTTTGTGGAAAAAAATATTATCTTCGTGGAATTTAGATTAGATTAGAATTCTTCCCCCCCCCCTACATTTCCCATTTTTTCTCATCCTTTATTATCTTTATCTTTATCGTCCCTTTGTTTCCAGTTTTATTATTTACAGTATTTTATACATTTGTAAATAGAAAGTAAGAGGAATGAAACTGATACGTAAAAAGAAACACATATTGTGTGTTTGTGTTTTGTATGTTGTGTTGTGTTGTTGTTGTAAAATTAATTTTAAAAATTTATATATAAATAGATTAGATTAGCATACTTTATTGGCCAAGTGTGATTAGACACACAAGGAATTTGTCTTTGGTGTATATGCTCTCAGTGTACATAAAAAGACAAGATACATTTGTCAAGAATCATAAGGTACAACACTTAATGATAGTCATAGGGTACAAATAAGCAATCAAATCATATTAGGAAACAATCAATATAAATCGTAAGGATACAAGCAACAAGTTACAGTCATACAGTCATAAGTGGGAGGAGATGGGTGGTGGGAATGATGAGAAGATTAATAGTAGTGCAGACTTAGTAAATAGTTTGACAGTGTTGAGGGAATTAGTTGTTAAGCAGAGTGATGGCATTCGAGAAAAAACTGTCCTTGTGTCTAGATGTTCTGGTGTGCAGTGCTCTATAGCGTCATTTTGAGGGTAGGAATTGAAACAGTTCATGTCCAGGATGTGAGGGGTCTGTAGATATTTTCTCAGCCCTCTTTTTGACTCGTGCAGTAGACAGGTCCTCAATGGAAGGCAGGTTGGTAGCCATTGTTTTTTCTGCAGTTCTAATTATCTTCTGAAGTCTGTGTCTGTCTTGTTGGGTTGCAGAACCAAACCAGTTATAGAGGTGCTATAGAGATTTAGAATTTGTATTATTTATTTTTGTTGGCCGCATAGTCAGCCAGATATTTAAACTGGATTTGGCATCTTTCTTCACCTATTGAGTCCTTTCTAGGGACCTGGGATAGATAGTTGTTGTTTAATATTAAAAGTATCATTGCAGGATGTAAAGTTGTACTTTTTCACTATTAGTAGTATTTTTTATTTCCCCCTCTGCAAAATCTCAGAAGGGCGTTTGAAGGTGCTGGTTCATACCCCTTACGGCATAGAGGGACTGTGCCAGTAATATACAAGATTTAGGATTATATATGTTCAGGGGTAAAGTTTCAGAGAAGCTTATCTCTTAGGATAACTAGGAGCCGAAATACAAACGGTTGTTTTTTTTTTTAAGTTGAAGAAATTAAAAAATCATAGCTGCTGCTGAAGCTCTGATATGTTAATCTATTCTGCAGATCTTCTGCTTTAATCTCTATACTACTAAGTATAGAGACACTACTTTTGTGTCTGTAACCTTCAATTGAAAGAAAATTTTAATGACGGTCAAATGGTACAATCTGTTAAAATGGATATGGTTGCAACATGTATGAACAATAGCGAGCAGGGTCTATTAGTATCTATTGATCTCCTATATCCAGGCAGCAGATATTGAAAAAGATTCAAATCTCTCTCTTTCTCTTTTTCTCTTTCTGTGTCTCTCTCTCTGTCTGTCTGTCTGTCTCTCTCTCTTTCTCTCTCTCTGTCTCTGTCTTTCTCTCTCATACATACACACGCACACCCCTCCCTCCCTCCCTCTGTTTCTCTCTCTCTATTTCCTGGCTGACCATTCCATCCATCCCTCCATCATCCCTCCCTCCCTCCCTGGTCGTGTTTCCAAAAGCAGTTTGCAGTGTGTTATTATGCATTATTACAGCAAACTATGGATTTCCCATATTTTCTACTAAATGCTGTTTTTATCTTCCATTCCTCTTCTGTATTTCAGACATTAATCTCTGGAGCGGTGGTTGAACAATTGGATTTCTTAAGAATCAGTGACACAGAGGAGTACGTATATCCAAAATTATAGTAAAACCATAACTTCATGCGTCTCCGATGGGCTTTCTAGATCATTTGTCTTAGTTCAGCGTCATGATAGAACGTGTAGATCGTGAAAGCATCCGTTAGATTTTTTTTTTTTCAGGCTTCAAAATATTCTTTCTGCAGGCCTCCAGAATTTAAGAGTTTTGAAGAGCTGGAGCTTCCCAAACATTCAAAAGTCAAGAGGCAAACCAGCACACCAAATGCAACTGAGTTGGAGCAGCAGCCAGATATTAATCATAACGACTGGAAAAACAAGCCAATCCATGAGATACTTCAGAAACTGAACGTGAGTTTCTAAATTCTTGATCTGTGGTATCTAGGAAACAAAGTCACAATCACAATCACGAATCGTTTCCACAAGGTCATCCTTTTTCTTTCTTTTTTCTTCCAAAATAGGTCAAAGCATAGGCATCTGGAGAAGTGGTCAAATAATGACAAAGTGTTGTCAATATTGCGACACAATTCTCTGTGTTAGGCATCAGGGCCCAAGTACATAAAGGCAGCATTTGCACAATGATCTTTTGCTGTCGCGTGCCTGTCGGCTTTTCGGTCTGCCGCAAATACCGCAGCCCCAAATATGACGAGAATTTGGAATCCTCTAGATAGCCATCAAAAATATTTCACCGTGGAGTTTAGTTTCAGAAACAGGCTTCACTTTGCCGAGTCAGTAATCCATAGATAATTATGCCTTCTGTTTCCCATGGAAATCTGCCTATGATTTGGGTTTAAAAAACACAACATTCCTACATGGAAAGTTGGGAGTTTTGTAGGAGGCTGCAGAGAACTTCAAGAAAAAAAAGAACATTTAAGCAACCACTAATCTCTAAAAAGGGACGCGGTGGCTTAGTGGCTAAGACACTGAGCTTGTCGATTGAAAGGTCGGCAGTTCAGCGGTTCGAATCCCTAGTGCGGCGTAACGGGGTGAGCTCCCGTGACTTGTCCTAGCTTCTGCCAACCTAGCAGTTCGAAAGCACGTAAAAAATGCAAGTAGAAAAATAGGGACCACCTTTGGTGGGAAGGTAACAGCGTTCCGTGCACCTTTGATGTTGAGTCATGTCGGCCACATGACCACGGAGACGTCTTCAGACAGCGCTGGCTCTTCGGCTTTAAAACGGAGATGAGCACCATCCCCTAGAGTCAGGAACGACTAGCACATATGTGCGAGGGGAACCTTTACCTTTTAATCTCTAAAAACAAACCAGTGGGAACAGAATAATGGCAGAGTATTGGTCGATGGGTAGAGAAAGATAGAGAACTTGGCAGAGGGGAAAAGGGGGAATATAATATGATTGAGAAGGGTAGGGCTGGGGGAGACATGCAGGCACTTCAAAAGGATTCCAGTGAAAACTATCTCATTGTCTGGATCGGTGTTTCTCAACCTTGCTAACTTTAAGATACCAATAAAGGGGAATATTTTTAGCTCAGGGTTGAAATGAGAGGTCCTTGGTGCTCTTTGAGCTTGCTTGTTTTCTCACGGACATTTTTTTTTACCCAAACTAGGTAACATCATCAGTGCTAGCATTGTAGTAGCAGTAACATCATACTACTAGCATTGATGATGTAACCTAGTTAGGGTGATGAAACGTTTGCAAGAGAACAAGCAAGCTCAGAGAGCACCAAGGACCCCTAACTTTCAGATAAATAGACTTCAACTCCCAGAATTTCCCAGTCAGCTTGGTTTGGCTGGGGAATTCTGGGAGTTGAAGTCCATGTTTCTTAAGATTGCTAAGGTTGAGAGACACTGATCTGATAAATTACCTTCTCATTTATACCAAAATAAAAAATAAAAAAAATCCTACTGTATTTTCCAGTTTTCCAACTACTATATTTGGTCCCAGAGACCAAAGTTAGAAGTTCTTATAGAAGTCAAGGAAGACGTCCACAATTTGAAAAATGTATATCAGTTAACATTACTTAAGATAGGAAAAGATTGCAGAGGGCTGCTGTGTCAGAAGAGATCCCCCTTTTAGCAAATAGCAATAGCACTTAGACTTATATACCGCTTCACAGTGCTTTATAGCCCTCTCTAAGCGGTTTACAGAGTCAGCATATTTTCCCCAACAATCTGGGTCCTCATTTTACCCACCTCGGAAGGGTGGAAGGCTGAGTCAACCTTGAGCCTGGTGAGATTCGAACTTCCAGATTGCAGGCAGCCGGCAGGCAGCAGAAGTAGCCTGCAATACTGCATTCTAACCACTGCGCCACCGTGGCTCTTAAACGGAAGATTCCCAGCAGTGTCTTGTCCATAGCTCCAGCAAACAGCAGAGTTTGTTCTGTAAACCTTGGGAGAATCATAGGTGTCTCTACTAACCTTTTACAATTTGATGTTTATTCCTCAACAGGATTGCAGCTGCGTGGCAAGCCAGATCATTCTGTTGAGCATTTTGCTCAAAAGGGAAGGCCCAAATTTTATCACCAAGGAAGGTAGGCTGACAGGAGCCTCTTTGGCTTATCGGTTAGTGGAACATGAATAGCGAACATGCAGCGCATAAGCTGTGTCGCTATCTTTCTCAGGGGGTGCATGCCAGAAAGTGGAACTGTCTCCCACATGAACTCCTTTAAATCCAGATACCCTGTTTCCCCGAAAATAAGACCCAACCGGAATATAAACCCTAGCATGATTTTTCAGGATGCTCGTAATATAAGCCCTACTCCCAAAATAAGCCCCAGTTAAGATTGTCAGCCAGATGGGTGCATTTAGTACTGTATTTCCCCCAAAATAAGACCTAACCAGAAAATAAGCCCTAATGCGTCTTTTGGAGCAAAAATTAATATAAGACCTGGTCTTATTTTCGGGGAAACTCAGTAGTCCTCGACTTAATGATCCCAATTGGGATGAGAATTTCCATCACTAATGGACCCTGTTGTTAAAGCAAGTCGCACTCAGTTTTACAAACCCCTTTACCTTAAAATAAATCACATGATTGTTAAGGAAATCCTGCCTCCCCCGTTGAATTTTCTTGTTAGAAGCTGGCTGGAAGATTGCAGATGGCAATCCCATGATCTCCAGACTCTGCAGCCCTCAAAAATATATGCCACTCGCCAAGAGCCCAAATCACCATCACTTTACTGTGTGGATTCTTACTAGAGAATTTGCCAGGGAGGACAGACAAATTTTATGTAGGTTTTCTCCTCCAAGACTCAAATCCGGCTACCACGCAGGCAGTGGCAAAATTCTGTGTTGCCGCAATGTCCACAAGAAAAAAACTGGTTACAGAATCATAGATGTCAACTGGTGCCAATTTTTTGGAGATATCTATAACAATTTTTGGAAAAATACATTTACTCACATACTTATCAGGTCTCCACTCATGTAGATTAGGGAATGACCCTAACGATTTGAGATTATGTATTTACATAACAGGGATGTTGCTATTCATGATTAATGTCAGTATTATTTTTAATTTATTGTATATCTATTGCGAGGACCGTAATGAAGTTTTATTCAGAACATTCAGGTAATATTCCCAATTGGTTCGTTACAGCCCCATCCATTTAAAGATATCGTCCCTTGGTATTTTTAAATGTCCAAAGGTTTTATTTTAAATGCATCCTAAAAAAAAAACCATCCTCAATTTGCTAATGAAAGCATAAATCCTTACCGCCACCAAAACGCCCTTATCAAATCGTGAACATTGGTCAATTCGTGTATTCCATTTCCTTCGCTTTTTTCCTACTTCAAGGTCTGCTTTGGGTATTCTGATTCTAATTTTGGAACAATGGGTTTCCCCCTCTCCCCACTGTAATGCTGTAAGAAGGACTTGGGATTTTGTTGTTGTTGTGCTGAGCATTACATAATAAATAATGAATCTCGAAAGAAGGATTATAGCCAAACCGTGTGCTGGGATTCATGGCATTTCAATAATTCTTCACAGCTGTTTGTTCCTGTTTGGGGCTAATCTACCAAATTCCAGCAAAGTCACTCTCATGGCCCTCTTTTTTTAATTTTTTTTTTAATTTTTAAAAAAGCAATACAAAGAAGAGCTTAGGAGGGACCCAGCTCGCACATAAAGCACAAAGCAGCCACGAAACAACATTTATTTGCAACCCCGGTATAACATTTTAATGCTGCAATGGTAGTTATTCAGCTGGAATCAAATTAAGTAAGTGCAGGCTAGTTTATATGCTGTCAGGGTAGCGCTGCAGGTTACAATTGCTGAAGAAAAAAAAAAACAGAGGACAACTGTTGATTTCTGCCAGAAACCCGAAGCGTCGAAATAAAATGTCTATATGTGCTTAAATATTTGCATAAACCTATATGGGAAAGCATGGCTCATTTGCGGTTTCTCACAGCAGGAGCCGTTGGTAATGCTGCCATTAACCTTTGTAATAAAATAAGCTGATAACGCGGAATCTCCTAACAGCTGCAACGAAATCATACTGTTTATTTCTGGTGTTTTTTTTTTTTTGTTTTTTTTGTTTTGTCTTTTCCCTTTTATGTACAAATTAGGTACCGTCTCCGATCATATCGAAAGAATCTACCGAAAAGCTGGCAGCAAAAAGCTATGGTTTGTATACGACACTTTTCAGTTTCCCAGTGGGGTGTTGTTTTTTAAAAAAATTGCAGCTCTAATGCTGATTTTTGGCAGTTTGAGTCGATATACCTGTACTGATTTTGCAAAAAAAAAAAAACCCACGTCCTCTGAAATTCGGAATCATATATCTCAGTGTGCCATTACGGGCTATATGAATCTGTGTTTAATTTATAAAAAAGGAAGGAGGGACCTCTTACCTATACATATCTATGGAGATTCTTAGTTATCTAGGTAAGGGGTCTCCAACCTTGGCAACTTTAATCCTGGAGGACTTTAACTTCCAGAATTCCCCAGGCAGCAAAGCTGGCTGGGGAATTCTGGGAATTGAAGTCCTCCAGGCTTAAAGTTGCCAAAGTTGGAGACCCTTGATCTAGGTCATAGTTGTCCCAAAGGTGCTTTTTTTTTTTTTCAAGAGGCAACTGGACTTTCTTGGTTCTTCTTTGAGGACGTTTCGCTTCTCATCCAAGAAGCTTCTTCGGTTCTGACTGAATAGTGAGGAATGGAAAGATTTATATTCTGATCATAAGCACTCTTTGTGAGAGTTGTTGAGGCCACTTAGAGATTTATTTGTGCCGACACCACCTATCTCCTGTTTACAACACAGTCCTTTCAGAAGTTCCAAGAAGGTTCCACACTCATTTGCACGATTCAGGTGACCCTGAGGGCACAGATAAAACCTCCAAGTGGCTTCAACGACTCTCAGAAAGAGTGCTAATGACTGCAAGGAATATAAATCCTTCTATTTTCCACCATTCCGTCAGAACTGAAGAAGCTTCTTGGATGAGAAGCAAAATGTTTTGAAGGAATCAGATTATCTTCAGGGATCTTCTGATCCCTCAAACAGTAAGCAGAAAGAATAAACTACCAGCGAATCCTATAGTAAAAGATTCTATCATTGTATAAGTGGTACCTCGGTCCTTGTTGGTAATTCGTTCCGGAACACGCACCAAATATTCAAACCAACAGGTACTGTTCAAAACCACACCAAAATGGCCCCAGCCAGGTTCGTTTCAGAGTTGACATCAAGCCACAAATGTAGTTGCTTAACCTAGAACAAAATATACAGTAGTGGCCAAAATTGTGGAAAACTTTTGGGAAAAGTGTATTTTCTAAAACTAGCTAATAACATCACTTTTTCGGGGGGAGTAGTACCATAAAATAGAAAGATAATTTAATCAAGAATGTAATGCAATAACTTTCATGAAGGATTTGCTATTAGAATAGCAGTTACAGTATAAAGAAGAAAAGTGAAACACGTAGAAAAAACAAGATATACAAAAATGATCACCATGTCAGTTAAAACTTCGTTGGGTAGCCTTTAGCATGAATGACGGCCGTACAACGTCTTCCCATGGAGTGAACCAAATCTTTTAGTTCTGCAGCTGTTATAATATGAAACCAAGATTGAATGATTGCTTCTATTAACTGGGTTTTATTGCTGGGTCGCTTCTGACTAACAAGTTTCTTGAGTCAGCTCCTTAGATTTTCAATTGGGTTAAGATCTGGGCTATTCCCAGCCCATTCCAGCAGTGAAATAAGATTATCTTGAATCTTATTATCTTGAAACTCAAAAAAAGTGGTGTTATTAGCCATCAAACCTCAAAAAATACACTTTTCCCAAATGGTTTCCACAATTTTGGCCACTACTGTACATGAAGATATATTGCAGAACTCCTTTTGCAAATCCAAAGAGTCCCTCCAATTTCTGATTCCCAATGACCAGCTGTCATCCACTGCAGAAAAAAGAAGAAGCTAGTGTTTAGAATGCGTGGGCTCCCAAGAGGATTTTATTTAGAGTAGGTGTGGAGAGCATCATCCTTTGAACCCCTCTGTTGTGTTATCAAATCCAGGTTGGTGCTCCGCTGCAGCGCGGCATGTATTCAGAAATTTGCTGCCTCTTTAGCTCCCCATATTACAACTTTGGTAGTCCATGGGAAACAGGTAAAGCGTACCCAGGTTTGAAACGGTTCTGCTTGAGATGATGTGCGGCTGATTTGCATTTTGCTGGTATCTGTTCGTGGTGTTGTTTTTTTTTGCGAAAAAACAGAGAGAGATAAAGGAGAAGGAAAAAAAAAAGCTTTGCACTTGATTTTGAACAGTGTGTGCATCCCATTGTCATCAAACTCAAAATCAATTTGGCTGACGGATTTTGTGCTAACTTAGCAGACTCTCGCACCCTCATTCATTAATTCTGATACGTGATTGTTCCACTTCCGACGTCTGTGTTAGACAATGTGGAGTATCCAGCCTTTTGTTTTCGAGAGTAATAACTGTATTAATAACCAATCGCTTTGAAAAGCTCCGGCCTGTTTTTAATCTGAGCATTTTATGTGCTCTCATTTTCATTAAATGCATTTGCACACCTACACAAACACACACACACGGGGAAGGAGAAATTGCCATTTTTGCTGAGATCAATTATCTGTGTTGGATCTTTCATATAAAAATTGTGCATTAATTCCTATAGTTAGGGAGACAAATCACAACCTGCTGATTTTGGGAAGCAGTACTGTCCTCCAAATTTTGGAATGTCTTTAGAAGAGGCAGGGAAAACAAACAATAATTTCCGAATTCTTTTTTTCCCCCACATTAAACAATAAACCTCCTTTGATACAGAAACATAAATCATCAGCATCTTCATTTAACGACCCCATCATTCCTTGCGGGGTGGAGTCTGGGCAACTGAATGAAGCTAGAAGAGTGTTTTAATGGCCGGATGCCTTTCCTATCACCAATGCAGAGTTTTGTTCGGCAGATCTATTCTCAGTCTGCCCAGAGAGAGAGAAATATCTGCCTCTACCTAGGATCGAACACGGTGTGTGTGTTTGATACACAAAAATAAATGCTCCTGATAAATATAAGAAGAGGTGGGGACAATATGCACATAGGATATTCTTTTCTTTTCTGCTCTTCTGTTCTGCTCTTTCCTTCTTCCCAAACTTCGCCTCCAGGTGCACCTCCAAAAAGATCTAACATCAAAGGAAAATGGGATCATGAAGACAGGAAAAAAAAAATTAGTCCTGCCATTTTCTTAATTATGTTCGTCTTTATTTCACTCAAGCGTTTGCTTCCTGATTTCTAAGCTATGTAATTCAGCAACAGATGGATAGATGAATGAATGGGTAGATAGATAATCTGCTAGCAAAAGCTCATTTTGTTCGTTCTAAGGAGGAAAGATTAACCACCCTCATTTAATATGGCCATGATATTTTAGGCATTTGCACTGATCAAATAATTGTCTAGTCCCTTGAAATTTTCATCGTGTGCCGGCTGCCTCTCTAAACCTATCTTTTAATTCTTATTTATCGGAAAGTAAACTCGTATGTGATGATCTCATTGCCATCTGTATCCATCATTTAATCTTTGGCGATCGGTTGAAAGAGGCTGTTGAAAATTATTGACTGCTTAGGAAGAGAGGGGTACTCAACGTTTTTATTTTCAGGACTAGAATTTTGTGCACGGAGGCTAAATAACTTTGGCGAGGTTTTTCCCTTTCCCCGTCCCTCAGAAAAACCACAATTCCTCCTTTCTCAGGGGCTTCCTTGAGAAAGTGGAAGCCTTTGATTTCCCATTCATAAATGAAACAGTACAACAGTACGGGAAATCTGATTCCAAACCATTCAAAAGGTTCTCCTGTGAGATTTTTTTTTTAATGCAGATTGCCAGGAAAATCTAAATTTAATAAAATAAAGGCTACCGTGTTTCCCCGAAAATAAGACCCTGACTTTTATATTTTTTTAATCACCAAAAGAAAGGCCTTATTTTCGGGGGTGGGATGTCATCCACTGACTCGCCTCACTTGCGCGCATCGCCCCAGACTCCTTTTCACTGTCAGAGGCCTTCAGGAACTTCTTCGGTTTCAGGTAGTTGCCTCACACACCTCAGCCCATTTCTTCTGTAGCCAGCAAGGCTTTCCTGAAGGCCTCCGTAGCCAATAATGGAGCTCTGGATCGATCCAGCCTGGCTGCAATTATCCAAAGGTAAGTAGTAGGGCAGCTCCAACCCCCCCATCCCTACCCTAGTTTAATTTTTACCTGTGTATCCTGAGTCTTAATTAGGGCTTATTTTGGGAGTAGGGCTTATATTGGACGCACATATAAAAATCAAGCTAGGGCTTACTTTCTGAGTAGGTCATGTTTTCAGGGAAACACGGTACTTACATGATGCCGATCTTGCCTTGATATCAAGAAAGGAACAGCATTTTCTTATGATTTTTGTAGTTTAGTGCACGTCACTCCAGTACAAACCTTAGCATCCTTGCTTCCGTAATTGAATTGAATTGATTTAGCTGCCGTCCCACCATTCTATAAAGGGGTATCCTGGATCCAAACACCATAGACACAGAATATAAATGTTTAGTCGTTGGCCAAGCGTGGCAAGAAACTCTCGGTCAAATTCTTGAATCCCATTAAACTAGCATTTAATTTCCAGCTGGATTGCTTTGTTTTCTACCCTCAGGTCTGTTGTGCGCTTCGCAGCAAGCCTTTTATGTAAGCTAGTGGACAGCCTTGCCCCGTCTATTACTAATGTTTTAGTTCAGGGCAAGCAGGTAAGTCTGCATTTTTCAGATTACATTCATCAGCTAAATTTAATAAGTCGAATAAAACGGAAGGCCCGGCCCCGGGGAATTGGTGCCCTGGTTCAGCGTTTTTTATACAAGGGTTTGCAAAGGTACGGAGGCCGCTAAGTTTATCTACAAACAGGGAGTAGGGGGTGGGAATGGCAGTTGTTTTGGGCAGAGGTTGTCCCCTGAAATTTGGTAACCCCCTTAAGCACTTCTAATCCAATTTAGGCAGGGTACAGCTTTGGAGACTCATGTTGCCTTTGATTTTTATGTGGGTTTTTTTAAAAAAAATAAAACTCTATGTCCTATTCTGGCCAACTAGCATTACAGAGCTACTGCAGTTTTATAGAGGATTTTTCCATTACAAATATGCAGTCATTTTTGATAGCCCATTTTGGCCTAGCATGATTTGGCACTTTCTGTTGTCCTTTGCTTTGGCTGTTAGTGTCCTGTCCATCCGGCGTGTCTTCTGTTTTGAATCAAAGAGCCAGTAAGGATGTAATGCTGCCTGTCCCATCACAGTAGTTGTTGAGGAAATGAATTCTTTCCCTGTTTCACGTTCAGTTCCCTCTGAGAGGCGAAGACTTACCATGGCGAACAGGTTAATCAATTAACCCGATCTAAAACTAGACCGGAGATGGTCCCGATTACTTGGAATCCACTTGGAAGATATGGGATCTCCTGAAACCTTTTCATCCTTCTGAGCGGGACAGATAGCATTATGATCGCGCTGATGTCAAAAGCATGCGGAGAGCATACGAGGACATGCGATTCCTTGGTCATAGTTGGGACTAAAAAATGTGATTCCTTTGCTCGTAGTTGGGACTATTGCTGCATTAAAATTTAGAACAGAAAATAATACAAAGTGAGGGGCGTAGTCAGTTTGTCCTTGAATGTTGAAGCACTTGAATGGATTCCTGCATCCCCCAACGTGATCTAAATCGATATCCTACAAGCCAGCGCTTTCTATTTTTCATCCCCTGCTCCTCCCTTCTTAGATTGGAAAGGAACTGAGAACTAAGCGGATGGTTAAATGAGTCTCTGCTGGTTTGGCAGCCTAGAGCGACCACTTCAAATCTGGCAACTCTGTGAGCTGCGGAGAAGAACTATTGGTGGCCATGAGGAAAGACCATTGCCCCCTGCAGAGATAATTTATATATTATTATTTATGCCTGGCAAGTTTTAATCACGTGAAATAAAACAGGACAGTTCAACCTTTTTTTCTGAACGTACGCAATCCCAAGTCACTACTGTTTTAATAGAAAACAATAGAGATGTGCAAATCTCCATTTTCCCCATCAGCGATGATTTTAACTCCCCACTCTATTTACGCCCCTTTTATCCTACGTTGTTGGAAACCAGGAGATTTAAGTCAAGGAGATATATTGAATAAGGACTCCCTCACTGCTTCCCTGGTTCAGGTTATACCTCTAATTACCGCTAATATATTCCTTTAGGTGACACTTGGGGCATTTGGCCAAGAGGAAGAAATTATATCTAATCCCTTGTCTCCGAGCGCAATTAAAGACATCATCTACAACAAGTGCAATTTGCAGGATGAGAGGGAAGCTGTTCTTCAACAGGAACTTGTCATTCATATCGGCTGGATCATCTCCAACTCCCCCGAGTTATTTAACGGCATGCTGAAGATACGTGTGGGGTTAGTAAATCACTTTCTAAAACCTGTTTTAGTGATGTCTATGGATCCTTTTACCTCACGTGCACAAATTGAGATGCCAGGCCGGCGCGTGTCTCCTGAAACGCCTCAAGAGAACTTCTGGAGCCTTTCCAAATTTTACCACCAAGTGTTAAATATCGATAGAAATAGTCGGAGAAAATTTAATATATGCTACAGAGTCATGGTCCAGATCTGTGATAGCTCAGAGCTTAAGAAGCTGAGCTTGTCGGTTGGCAGCTGAGGTTCAAGACCTGATGGCCGCATGACGGGGCGAGTTCCCGTCCTCGCTCCAGCTCCCACCTACCAGTTTGAAAGCAATAGCAGTAGCACTTAGACTTATATATCGCTTTACAGTGCTTTACAGTCCTCTCTAAGCGGTTTACAGAGTCAGCATATCGCCCCCAACAATTTTGGGTCCTCATTTTATCCATCTCGGAAGGAAGGAAGGCTGAGTCAATCTTGAGCCCGGTGAGATTCCAGGCAGCCGGCAGGCAGCAGAAGTAGCCTGCAATACTGCACTCTAACCACAGCGCCACCGTGGCTCACGGAAATGCAACTTTGATTTTGGGTTTTACCGATTAGATAGGTTTGTTGTTATAAATTGTCCCATGGTGAGTTGGCTGTGGCGAGTTGGCCTAGACACGTCACCATCTTAGATGTCCCTCGGGCCAACATCTGTGTAATTTATGCTCCCATTATTGTGTTCCTACTGTTTTTCAAGCAGGACTTTAAATTGTTAAGCGGTCCAAACTCTACCTTAGGATGTTGAAAATGCAACAGAAGGCAGTAAATTTTAAATCGCGTAACTGGGCTCTGAACCTGGTTTTTTTTTTCCCTCTAACTGCTGAGAGTTAGAAGGTCTCCGAGGACCATGTGTTCCCTTTTTATATCTGCACTCATCTGTTAGTCTACAGTAGTTGCCATGTTAGTTGCAATTAAAAATGGAATTTTCCACTTCACACAGAAGCCATAGTTCACAATTCATTAAGACAGGGGTGTCAAACTGGATTTCTCCAAGGGCTGGATCAGCATTGTAGTTCTTTTCCACGGGCTGGCCAGGGAGGGGGAGTGGGGAGACAGAACGGATGCCTCCTGCAGCACCCCGCTGCCCAAAATGGGCCCCCACCCCCCCTGTGCCCCATTTTTGGCCTGGACGGCCTCCTGCATCACTTTGCCAGCCAAAATGGGGCACGGGGGGCTCACATTAGGCCCCCCACATCCCGTTTTGGCCGGCAGAGTGCTGCAGGAGGCCATCCAGACCCCAAAACTGGGCCCGGGGGGGGTGCTTGTATAGCCCCTCCGCGCTCTGTTTTGGCTGGCAGAGTGCTATAGGAGGCCATTCAGGATGAAAATGGGGCACAGGGGGCAGCGCACGCAGCCCTCCCTCCCCGTGCCCTGTTTTGGCTGCCAGATGCATCGTGAGCTGGTCCTGTGCTATTTCTGGCCCAACCCCACAGGCCAGATTTAAGCACCCCGCGGACCTCGAGTTTGACACCCCTGATTTAAGACACAGCCTCTGCAGTGTGGGTGCTTCCCCTTTGACTGCAGTAGGAACCAGTCAGTTGTGTGATTTCTAGATTGCAATTTTAGTCCTTCAGCTTCTCACGAGTTCAGGCTTTGTGTATCTGAGAGCTACACCTGCGCTACCATTTCAGCCTGGAAGTCAGAAGGTGATAAGTAAGGTGTGAGCCCCTCAGTTAACAGCTTTGCAAGTGGCCTTTAAAGAAAAGGCCTCTAAACAAACCTTTAAAATGAAGTTCGTTTTTTTTTTAAAGCTTTACGATGCTACACTTCCTGCTTGATCGTTAATTTACCTTCCCACGCTAAATTTAAATCTGCTTCCAGGTGCCCCTTGCGAATTTTCCCCTTGAAATTCTTTAAACCTTAATACCGTACAATCAATTTATGCTTGCCTCTCTCCATAAATAATCCTGCCCCCAAACACCATTTTCATTATTTGTTCTTAGATGAAAAATACCAACCTTTTCCCACTTAAACCGGATATAAAGAACTATGAATTTACCTGCAGCAGTAAAATGGCACGTCAGGCATCCATATTCCCAATTTAAATCCATCTTCAAAATCTTTTTTTACACGAACGTACTCATTAAATCAAATCTTTTCGTTTTACGTGGCTTCCGTATTGCTAAAAATAGGGTGCCTTGTCCGCAGATAGCCAAGGGTATTTTTGCTTGGTCGGAACTAGGTTTTTATTCGCTATTAAAACTCATCGTGTATCAATGTACCACTATCAAATCTGAAGGGTCCTTGGTGCTCTCTGAGCTTGGTTGTTTTCTTGCAGACGTTTCATTACCTAAACTAGGTAAGATCATCATGACTAGCACTGGTGGCGTTACCTACTTAGGTAACGAAACGTTTGCAAGAAAACAACCAAGCTCAGAGAGCACCAAGCACTCCTCATTTCAATCCTGAGCTACAAATATTCATCCCCTTTTAATGACCCCATAATCCCTTGCGGGATGGAGTCTGGGTAACTGAATGGAGCTGAGTGTTTTCTGGCCGGATGCTCTTCTAGTAAAATATCTCTGGATCTCTATTTATTGTATTGATGTCTGAAATACAGTGAGGGTTCCAGGCAGGTGAGCAGTATTCAAGGATAGGTCTGGCAAAGGTTTTGTATGCCCTAGTTTGAAGTATAGCGTTACCAGAGAGAAAACTTCGTAAAATAAGGTTGACAACCTCTTAATGCCTTTTTTGCAATGATGTTACAGTGAGCTCTGGGGCTTAGATCTTTTGAAATGAGTACTCCTAGGTCCTTGACAGAGTGTGGGTCAACTTTTAGATCGTTTCCAGCCGGCATATATTTGATGTCCTTATTTCTATTGCCAATGTGCAGGACTGAACATTTGTTAGCAGAGATTTGGAGTTGCCAGTTGTTTGACCATTCAGTTACATAATCTGGGTCGTTTTGAAGGGTAATAGATTTTGTTTCGTAATGGGCGAAGCAGCAAATCATAACTCAGTGCCTGAATGAGTTATTTTCCATTACTTGACCCCAAGTGGTTCTTTGAACGTGTTAATAGTGAATTAACACTATTTTAGTCATGCATGTTGGACAGGAGAAATTTGGAAGGCTGTCTGTGCTTCTTTTCTCATAACCACAGATAAGTTCTGTGGTCTCCTTGGAGATGTCCACCCGAACAGGTTGAAGGGGAAAGTGTGAGATTGGATAAATCAGATGACTGGTAATCAAATCCATGGAGCTTTATGTCCTGATAAATAGGTTTCAAAATTCTTTTCCAACCAGAGCAACAACTGGCAACTTAAAGAAGAGGAAATTTATTACCCAATAAGCTTTTATGGACTAGCGTCCATCAGGGGATGAAATATTAGCCTTCTCTTCTGTCATCACGCATTATTCTTTCTCCCTTGTGCCCACGCATGCACACGCTTAAGCCATAATATTTCTTCTTCTTCTCTGAAGTCATTATTTCTGCCACGATCAAATACGCTCCTTTCTCTTCCTTGCACGGGCCTGTCCCCGAAGACAGGAGTTAGCTTTCTCTGAAAGAGCGTTTTACCTGTCTATTCAAAGAACTCGTACCTCCTCCGCATGTCATTTAATTGCTGTTAAGAGATAAACCTTTTCCTTTTTACAAGCTGCTTTAAAAGCTGCTGTTAGACATCAAATGCTTGCTTGGGTGTTAATGAGGAGCGGATGGCACTGGGGGCATGGGAATTGCTCCATTGACAGGCACAACATAATTTTGTGTCCCTTCCCTTCAGCCCTTTTCATATTTGACAGTTTGTTAACGGGGCCCTTGAGAAGTCTTGTGGCTGGCTTGGGGTGCCCTGTTTAAAGGGACCATCTAAATACTTGGGTAAAACATCAGTCTTTTATCTTCGCACTTAAACTCCGAACGTAAATAACAATAGCAATAGCACTTAGACTTATATATCTTATATCAGGGGTGAAATGCTCCCGGTTCGGTCCGGTTTGCCCGAACAGCTAGTAAAAATGGCTATTGGTTCACCGAACCGGTAGTTAAAAAAAAAAAAGTTCTGATGATCGGCTGAGCGACGCACGATCGTCGGAACTTTTTTTTTACTTTTTAGGCATTTTTTTTACTATCGGTTCTCCGGAACCGGTAGTAAAAATGCTTTAAAAAAGTAAAAAAAAAAAAAAGGCTCCGATGATTACAGCTGCGCCGTGCGATTGTCAGAGCCTCTTTTTTTACTTTTAAAAGCATTTTTGGTCCGAACCGGTTGAATACCACCTCTGATTGCATTGTATTTTGGAGAGAAACCCCCCTGCAGTTGGTACGCCGTGAGTTAGTCCAATCCAACGACTCACTGCCTAACCCAATTTTCATTTTGACTGAAGAAGTGACTTGGATGAGTAATGAAACGTCTGCATTGAATACATTTTGGTCCAGTTGGCATGATTTAACCTTTTTTTAGTTAGATCGATCGGGGAGATTTTTAGCCATCAGTCTGCCTTATCTTGACCATCCTTTCTCAATGTTTGGGTTCAGGGGTGGGTTCTACTTCTCTTTAGTACCGGTTCGCAGTGGGGCTGTGCACGCTCTTCTGCGCATGTGCAGAAGCATTTTGATGACGTCGGGGTCGGTGGGCGGAGCCTCCCGCTGGTTTTACTACCGGTTCTATAGAACCGGTGCGAACCGGGGGCAACCCATCACTGGTTGGGCTCCACTCCTCTCCCACCCCTATTTCACCTTGCATATTTTACAATATCTTCAATAAACAAAATTTCTGGGCAATAGCTCGAAAACAAGCCAGCTGCCCCCTAATTAAGATCAGGGATTGTCTCCAGGCGGGTGAACCCTTAATTGCCTTTTAAGTTAATGCACATTATTGCAAATTAATTTGGAGATATTAAAGAGTCTCTGATACCATCCTTTTATTAAAATATATAGGCCGGAGATATGCCTGGATGAATGAGCAGGAGGAGAGTCCTGTTAGATACGGTTAAAGACTATCGTAGCCTAAGTTTCGGTTTGCAGATCCACTAATAAGAAGCACCAAGGCAAAGATATTAGAGCAGTCTCTGGAGAAGTAGGTGATGTGTGTTTAATTCACGAAATTTTATTGTGCTCCCCAATTGCATTTGGTTGTTTTAAGTTTTATGATCTGGTCTTGAACTGTAATAAAATGTTCATTCCTCTGTTTTGAAGGATCTCCTGTTGTATAATGTTCAGAGAGCTTTCTGCCCTTGTTATTTAGTTGAAATAAGGTTTATTAGTCATCGTGACTAGTAACCATGAGTAAACCTTATTTTGCATGAATTCATCCATCCTCCTTTTTAAATAATCCAGTATCTTGACACAACAATGTCAAAACCTTGCATCTCCCGTCTTTCAGTTTCTTTTGATGTAATCCATCAACATTGGGCCAGTAGGAGGAAATGGGAGGATAACTTTTTAATGTTTAACTTATTTTAAATGATAAAACAAGCGCAGTCATTGGGGTACAAGACGGGTGGCAAAGAAATCTCATGAATAAGTAATAAGTAAAATACGGAATATATATAACAAAATAACAGAGTTTTGAAGGGACCTTGGAGGCAGTGGTGAAAATCCATTTTTTTTTTACTACCGGTTCTGTGGGCCTGGCTTGGTGGGAGTGGTGTGGCTTGGTGGGCATGGCAGGGGAAGGATACTGCAAAATCTCCATTCCCACCCCACTCCTGGGGGAAGGATATTGCAAAATCTCCATTCCCACTCCACTCGGGGGCCAGCCAGAGATGGTATTTGCTGGTTCTCCAAACTATTCAAAATTTCTGCTACCGGTTCCCCAGAACCTGTCAGAATCTGCTGGATTTCTCCCCTGCTTGGAGGTCTTCTAATACAATCCCCAGTTTGGGGAGGAAACACTGTAACATTTCAGACAAATGGTTTCCAACATCTTCTTTAAAACTTCCAGTGTTGGAGCATTCACAACTTCTGGAGGCAAGTTGTTCCACTGGTGAATTGTTCTCACTGTCAGGAAATTTCTCCTTAGTTCTAGGTTGCTTCTCTCCTTGATTAGTTTCCACCCATTGCTTCTTGTCCTGCCCTCAGGCTGCTTTGGAGAATATGTCGTCCGCCTCTTCTTTATGGCAGCCCCTCAAATATTGGAACACTGCTATCATGTCACCCCTAGTCCTTCTTTTTATTAAAATAGATGTACCCAATTCCTGCAACCGTTCTTCATATGTTTTATATAAAATCAGGCCGAACAAATCAGCAAGTCAGGTAGAAGCGCAGCCTTTCTTAAGTCACCTCCCAATTTAAACTGTGGTTGTTGTTTTTTTTCATCAAGTTTTGTTATCCGTAAGTTAGATTTTTTTTCTCTTTGTTCCAAGGGCTAACCGCAAATGGTATTTTTGGATTGAAAATGTTTATGGGTTGTTTTGGAAGGAGGCGATGAGAAAATCTCATTTGTATGCTGCCTTCCATGCTGCATACATCCCATTCCGTAACTCCGTAACTGCCAACTACTATCCTACTTTCACCCTGCCACTCAGTTTTGGACATGCGATGTCCTCAAGATTTCCTTAAGTGTCATTTTTCATTACCTCAGATAGAAGAAGCCCTTAGCAGCCTAGCTCTCTGCCAACCAGAATATTTGCATCTGCCCAAATCCTTCAAGCTGTCCCTTGCCACCCCACCTCACCCTAAAGATGTGATTCTGTATTTTTGCATTAGCACAACTCGGCGTGGGTATGGAGGAGAATTTTAAAGCACGTAATGAAGGATTAAAGCTGTTTCTTTTGTCTCCTCTCTTTCTCTCTCTTTCTCTTTGTAATCTCCCCTTAATTTCTACTGCAATCAGTTGGCTTCCGTCAACAGGAGTTGATACTGCCTCTTGCATAAATTCCCTTGATCGGGTGCTTTGAGTAATAGTCCGGCTGAAATGAGGCATCGCAAGGGAGTCTCCCACAAATTGTAGCCATAGATACACGCAGGCCTCTTGTTCCTCCACCACCCACGCTCCCCGGGTGTTTTTGTCTCAATTGTTGTGCTTCATGTATTCCTTCCTTCCGATTATTTTCAAAAGGGGAAATAAAAACAGAGTTGGGGATTTGTCTGTGTGTTTGTTTTGTTTTTAGGGGTTCAATTCGTCCAGTTGTGAGGCCGTTGCCGTAACCCCGTGGACGTTTTGTATAAAGTTATGTGGATCTTGTGGATATGTTTACTTCTCTTCTGTCACGTTCTCCTCATCATGAACTAAATAAATAGTCCATCGTCCCCATTGCGAGTGAGAAGGAGAGAGGGAGGGAGGGAGGAAGAAAGAAGGAGAGAGAGAGAGAAGGAGATTGAGTGGGGATTAAGGAGAGAGAGAGAGAAAGAAAGAGAGAGGGAGGGAGAGAGAGAGAAGGTGAGGGAGAGGGGATTTGAAGGAGAGGGAGAGAGAAAAGGAGAGAAGGAGATGGAGAGGGAATTGAAGGAGAGAGGGAGGGAAAGAGCGAAAAGAATTAAAAGAGAGGAAGAAAGAGGGAGGGAGGGGGAAGGGAGAAGGACAGGGAGAGAGAAAAGGAGATGGAGAGGGGATTAAAGGCAAAAGAGGGAGAAAAAGAGGGAGGGGGAGGGAGGGAGAGAGAGAAGGAGATGGAGAGGGGATTGAAGGAGAGAGAGGGAGAAAAAGAGAAAGGAAGGGGGAAGGGAGGGAGAGAGAGAGAAGGAGATGGAGAGGGGATTGAAGTACTATATATACTGTGGTAACCTTGTCGTAGCTTGTGTATTTTGCACGTGGCTGAAAACTTTAATAAACAGTGGATAATGATGTGTTCGCCAGCCGCTTTCTCACCTGAAAGCGACCCCCAGGGAAATTAATATTATTTTAAAGCGTGGAGTTTAGAAGACAGATAGAAATTTACAAATAAATCCTTGGTGACTCAGGCTAAATAGACACAGGTTTTTCTGACAGGCAGCCTTAACTGTTAAACACGATGAACAATCTTTACTGAAAGAATGAGGGAAAAGGTTTGGAGGGAAAGAAGAATCCAGGAATTTTCTATCGGCATTAGTCGCAAATACGAAGACTGAGCTGGGACTCAGAACTTGTGGAGGGGGGGAGGGCATACGCGGCACTCCTGAGCTCCATTTTCGGCTGTGACGGCATCCTGCAACCCTCTGGCAGTGAAAATGGTGGCCCTCCCGAGCTCTGTTTTTGCTGGCAGAGGCACCAATGGCCGGTCCTTCGTTGTTTCCAGGGCAGCCCTGTGGGCCAGATCTAAGTACCCCACTGATCTAAACTATTTCTTCCCAAGTGGTTGACTTGTCGCCTTGCTTGGCCCCAACATGGCTAATGAAATGTGTAACTCTAGTTGCGCTTGTCGATAAATAGGACTTTCCACATATAACCAGAATTTCCTTCCTTGAATAAGCAGAAGCAAAGCCAATTTTTGCTTTCTCTAAATAAATACATAACCAAATCAGTCAATCCGGGCTGATCCTCAAAAGCAGAGCAGGATCAAACCTGATTAGTACTTAAGTGGAAGATTTCATCAGGAAATCCCAGGATCTTGATTAGATTGGCTTTTTCTTCCTAGCTTTTTTTAAATAATAAGATGACATTCCTCGGGAAAAAATATCTCCTATCCCCCTTTAAGCATACCGTGTTGTCTTTATCCATGCATGACTTCATTTAACACCTATTACATATGCTGCTTGTGTTCTAAATAGTCCTTTTACATCTGTAGAAGCATATTGGATTGGTCATACTTTGGTATTTTTTTCTGGAAGGCTGAAGCCCAAAATCATCTGAATCCATGGTAGCGCGGTGGTTAAAGTACAATATTGCAATTCCTTCCCTCCTCCCTCCCTCTCTCCCTTATTGGTACAATGGTTAGAATGCAGTACTGCAGCCAGCAGTTCAGTCCTGACTGGCTCAAGGTTGACTCAGCCTTCCATCCTTCGAGGTCGGTAAAATGAGGACCCAGATTGTTGGGGGCAATAGGCTGACTCTGTAAACTGCCCAGAGAGTGCTGCAAAGCACTGTGGAACAATATATAAGCCTAAATGCTATTGCTAAAGAACCATGGTGGCGCAGTGAGAATGCAGCATCGCAAGCTAACTCTGCTCACTGCCAGCAGTTCGATCCTGACCATTTCAAGTTTGACTCAGCCTTCCATTCTTCCGAGGTGGGTAAAATGAGGACCCAAATTGTTGGGGGGCGAGATGCTGACTCCGTAAACCACTAAGAGAAGGCTGTAAAGCACTATGGAGGAGTTTATAAGCCTAAGGGCTATTGCTACTGCTATTAAAAGCAACTCAAGTTTTCCGTTCTATTGCATCTGAACGGAAAAGAAGATGAGGCGGTCATGATTTGAACGCGCCGAGGCTGTTCATGTTTTCATTCCTTTGCTTTTGGTTTATTGGCAGGGATGAGGGCAATTTCCCGGTTCCTAAATAATTCCCCGATGTTTTCATTTGTCAGATGGATTGTGCACGCTATGAAATACGAACTGAAAATCCGTGCAGGGGAGATGCCCCCCGTGGATTTATACCAGATGTCACCCAGCGAAGTGAAGCAGCTTCTGCTGGATATCCTTCATCCACAGCAGCAAGGGAGGTAAGACTGTCTTTTCCCAGCGTCACTTCTCGCAGTGGCCTCCCCACTTGATGGATTGCACAAACCGCCCTGGTTGGGTTGCTTTCCTACTTGCAGGCTTCTTCTCTTTTCCCCCCAGCTTTTGAACCCATTGATTTTAAAGCTGGAAAAAAAAAAATCAGAGGGAAGCACCAGATGAGCATTTTTTCCCCATTCCTCGTCTGTACGAAGGTGGTTTGCTTTAGCATCAGCTTTGGTTAACTTCGGTTGGCATCCCCTGTATTAGGATTTGCCTCCCTACTTTGAAACTAGGCAGAGAGCCAGCATAAGCCAAGACCAGATATTTCAAAAATACCATTCTGCCAACGCAGGATTTATCTCCTGATTGTTGAGCTCTGTTATCGGTAAATCTCTTCTATCCTGTCTTCCCAGGGGATGCCAATCACTGCGCCAACGCTGCTTCTGGAATCATTATTAGCTTATCTCTTCCGTTCATGTGCCACCAAACAAACTCACTGGAAACACAGGTAGCCCCTGACATACAACCACAATTGAGCCCACAACTTATGTTGCTAAGGGAGACGATGTTAGGGTTCCAAGTAATACACCCATAGCAAACAAAACTCCGAGGCAGGTAGATTCCTCAAAGAATCTGTGAAGTGAACTTCATTTTACCACTTTTCTTGCCACCGTTGTTAAGTGAGTCACTGCAGTTGATAAGTTAATAACCCGGTTGTTAAGTGAATCTGTCTTTCCTGTTGACTTTGCTTGTCAGAAGGTCCCAAAAAGGGGATCCCATGATGTTGTTCTGACCTAGGCTTAACAAGCAGGAGGCAGGAATTGCTGGCAAAACCTCTTTTTATTTACCCGACTGTAAATTACGTTCATTCACAATCAGCAAGATTTGTCCAAACAGTTTTTCAAAGGGATATTTATCAACACAGACCTTATCTCGCTTGGCAAGCTGCCACGTAACTTGTTTCCAACCACAGTACAAGGCCAAACTTGGCACAGAGTCTCTCAGAGTCACGGAACGAACGAATTCTTTCCTGCAAAAGCCCACTCCCTTGTTAGTTCCTCTTTTGTTTCCTATGGGAGGGGCCAATCACCTCAAAGTTGTGGCTTTACTCCTGAGTTGACCCTGCTTTCTGAGTTGTTCTTGTCTTCTGGCAGCTCTGTGCATGCGCACACTGGGAACAGGTTCCAGCTGTTCCTCTGCCTCGCTGCTGTCTAACTTCCTCTCTGCCTCTGACCCAGAGCCCTCGTCCGAGCTTTTCCCAGCCCCCAGGACTGGCCCAAGTTCCTTCCCAACCTCCTCACTGTCTGACTCTGCTGCCAGCTCCACTGGCCGCCGGTGGGCCACAACAGATGTATCCCATGTTAATGCAAGAAGAATGAACTTACCAGGAGGTATTCTCTTCCTGACAACCAGAGAACCCTCATTTATGATGAGGAAGATCGGAGATGAGGATTGCTGGAGGAGCGAGATTTCTCCCTCTGATGGAAGGTCCTGTCACCAATTCTCAACTAGAAGCAGTCCTTGATTTACCAGCCACTTGTTTAATTTAGTTAAAACGGCACTGAATAAAAGAACTTGTGACCATTTTTCACACTTAATGTTCGTTGCGCCTTCCCACAGTCATGTGACCAAATTTCAAATGCTTGGCAACTGGTTCATATTTATGACGGTTGCCGTATCCAGGGGTCATGTGATCCCCATTTGCGACCTTGTGAAAAGCAAAGTCAATGGGGAAGCCAGATTCACTTAACAACGGTGGCCAATAACATGGGGCAAAACTGACTCAACAACCGTCTCGCTTAGCCACAGAAATGTTGGGCTCCGTTGCAGTCGTAAATCGAGGACTACCCGTATTCCTGCCTGCTCCACCCAGCTCTTCTTCCACATTCATGTTTCTTTTATACATTTCCCCATCTGTGATTTGGCACTGAGAATGAAAATGAGGTAATCTTTGCTGTATGCTAAAACCAGAGCGTGGATTTTATTGGGCGATATCTTTGCACTTCGTTTCTGTTCTGTTTCAAGATGCGTGAGTTTGAACCCCCGTACAGAAAAGCGAGGCCGAACGTTTTGCAAAAACCCAACTTCTCTCAACTGGGGTATTTTAAAGTTGCTAACGTTTTTGTCATCTTACTGGGGGCCTCACTTTTTGTTCCTTCTTCAGACAACATCGTCTGTTAAACCAATTTGACGCGGGTGCTTGCAAAAAGCGATGCTTTTTAAAATAACTGAACATTTGGCGTGCAAAATTCCCTGCCAAATACATTTATGTATATAAATGCGTGTCTAATATCGGCACCTGTTTCCAAACCCCCCCACCCCACCCCACCCACATCAAGGGCATTGCTTAATTTTCTATTTGCCTGCAGCTTTTGCTATTATTGATAAAATTGTGTGTGTGTGTGTGTATGTGTGTGTTTTTTTCTGTTGAGAAGGGTGAGAAGATGGTAAATGTCACACTTCTTCTTTTTTTTTCTCAGTCACTTTCAGTCCCTCGCTACTTAGGAAGATTGAATTCTTGAAGAAAACAGTCTTAAGCTCTTATTTATTCCAGAGCTGGGATCTCTTTCTTTCAGTTTAGCACCCAATGATTCCGTTGCATGAATCAAAAACACAGCCTGCATGACAGCTAATCTTCTGCCCTAATTTCCGTTCCAAAAAATAAATAAATACAATGTCGTTGGATCCCGTTTTCATGACAGCTTTTTTCTCACATCATCTCTTTTGGGTGTCGGGACCTATAATATACTTCAGTTTACAATAAGTTCCTTTAAAATGAAGAAACACGTTTTCGTTCTCTGCTGCTTTTACGCCCATCGAAGGACATTCAGTTGTATGTGGCGCAGTGGCCTTGGTGGCGCAGTGGTGAGAGTGCAGTACTACAGGCTAACTTCTGCTGATCACCGGCTGCCAGCAGTTTGGCAGATCGAATCTCACCAGGCTCAAGATTGACTCAGTCTTCCATCCTTCCGAAGTGGGTAAAATGAGGAGCCAGATTGTTGGGGGCGATATGCTGACTCTGTAAACCGCTTAGAGAGGGCTAAAAAGCACTATATAAGTCTAAGGCCTATTGTCCCTTCCTTCCTTCCTTCCTTCCCTCCTTCCTTCCTCCCTCCCTCCCTCCCTCCCGCCCTCCCTCCCTCCCTCCCTCCTTCCTTCCTTCCTTCCTTCCTTCCTTCCTTCCTTCCTTCCTTCCTCAGCCCACCCAAGCTTCGTTTTCACTGGCAGAGGCACCACGATCTAAGCACTGTGTGGGCCAGATGTGGCCCACGGGCCTTGAGTTTGGCACCTCTGCAGAGGTGGTATTCAGCAGGTTCTGACCAGTTCTGGAGAACCGGTAGTGGAAATTTTGAGTAGTTCGGAGATCCGATAAATACCATCTCTGACTGGCCCCGCCCCCATCTCTTCTCTGCCTCCCGAGTCCCAGCTGATCGGGAGGAAATGGGGATTTTGCAGTAACCTTCCCCTGCCATGCCCACCAAGCCACACCCACCAAGCCACACCCACCAAGCCATGCCACACCCACAGAAACGGTAGTAACATTTTTTTGAATCCCACCACTGCACCTCTGGTATATAACGTATAGTTTGTGTGCTTTGGGTCTCTTTTGCCTTCTTTTAGTGAAAAGGTTTGTGATCACTGTAGTTGTGCATGCCGATAGAAGATGCTTCGTTGCATCTGTTTGCAAAAAATACTCTGGCTCCTGATTTGAGTACCTCAGATGTTGACGTGACATCATCTACATCAATTTACATTTGGATGATTTAAAATGGTGCCTATTCTGTCTTTTGCTCAGATTCTGCCATTTTGTGCAAAAGAGATAAATCCCCACCTTTATATATATATATATATATATATTCTCTTAATTCAGTGGGTTTCCTGAAGAACAGATCTATCTTTTTTTCCCAATTTGCTATTTTAAAATGAGATTTCATCGTACATGTTCGCTAAACAGAACTCGTGACAGTAATTTCCTAAATAAATTATTCTCCTAATGCTGTAAGGGCAACGGGAACTAAGATTTAAGTGCAGTTAAAAGCTGTGCTTTAATTTTCCTGGCTTGACAAGAGTGTGAAAATAGAAAAAAGCTAAGATAACTTTCAACTATTCAAAGCTTTGAATTCATTCGTTTCAGTTGTGACCCAAAGAGATCAGTTTTGTTCCATTGCCTTTGTTCTCTTAGGTAAAGCAGTTTAATGCATCAAAAATCTTTATAACCCCTTCAGTAAATATTATGTCTGCTAAAACTGAGCATTTTGTATTAATTTTGGAAGGGTTTTTTTTTTTTACACACGTCTGCATCCTTAATAGCTCAGGAGGCTTATAATAGTGTAAGTAAAAGAGCAGAAACAGTTAAAACAAATCTTTAAATGTTATTAAAACAACACAATTTAAAAAGAATTGGAATGTTAAAACAGCTAAAACAATAAATAAAGCCTGGGTAGATAAAAAAAAAACTCTTAATGCCTTCTTGAATTGTAATATTAAACTAGACTTCTAAAACATTAAAATAAATACAGGTAGTTCTCAACTTACAACACTTTGTTTAGTGACCGTTCAAAGTTACAATGACACTGAAAAAAATGACTTAACCACCGTTTTTCACCCGTTACAACCTTTGTAGCATCCCCATGGCCCAGTGGTGAAATTCAAATTTTTTTACTACCGGTTCTGCGTAGTTCTTTTATTGAATAGCCCGAAGGCCTTTTCAAAAAGAAAAAGAAAAAGATAAAACAAACAGTTACAGATAACAGTCTAAAAATATATGATATTTAAAATTTAACAATATCGAATATACTACCGGTTCTGTGGGTGTAGCTTGGTGGGCGTGGTGTGGCTTGATGGGCGTGGCTTGGTGGGCGTGGCAGGGGAAGGATACTGCAAAATCTCCATTCCCACCCCACTCTGGGGCCAGCCAGGGGTAGTATTTGCCGGTTCTCCGAACTACTCAAAATTTCCTCTACCGGTTCTCCAGAACCTGTCAGAACCTGCTGGATTTCACCCCTGCCATGGCCAATGGACCAAAATTCAGATGCTTGACAACCAGTTTATACTTATGACGGTTGCAGTGTCCCGGGATCCCGCAATCCCCTTTTGCAACCTTCTGACAAACAAAGTCAATAAGGAAGCCAGATTCGCTTAACAACCGAGTTACTTACACATCAACTGCAGTGATTCACTTAACAGCGGTGGCAAGAAAAGTCATGAAGTGGGGCAAAACCGACTTGACAAGAGAAATGTTGAGCTCCATTGTGGTCGTAAGTCGAGGACCACCTGTATATTAAATATTTACCTGTAACGCACCATTCTGTACAATGTTTTGCATCCCAGAGATTCGTGTTCACTTTCTCACTCCTTTTTTTTTAAAAAAAAGCCCAACATCGTGGTGTAATGACTCGTGCCTACATTATTTCAATTTGGCAACATCTGTTTTACTTTAATTCCCTCCCCACCCCCGCAGATGCTGGCTGAACAGGCGTCAGATTGACGGCTCCTTGAACCGAACACCGAGTGGATTCTATGACAGGGTCTGGCAAATTTTGGAGAGGACTCCCAACGGGTTAATAGTAGCTGGGAATTACTTGCCACAGGTAAACCAACATCTGTGGGATTCAGACCACGTTTTCCTTTTCAATATCTAGGAGTTGTAATTTCACTTTCTTGCTAATGATGCTTGAGGGAGTTATTTTAAGGCTAGGCTGGTTGGCCATCTGGCTCAGTGAGTAAGCTGAATTTGTAGCACACAGTTGTAAAGGTTGGGTGCCAAGCCTAACCAGCAATAAAAGTCTTATTACCTTGGATGTTGCTTAGTGCCACTAATGAAATTCACTTTAGCTTCTTCATCTTCCTTTATTCTTGCAGCAACCGACTTTGTCTGACATGACAATGTATGAAATGAACTTTTCTCTTCTGGTTGAGGACATGTTGAGAAGTATAGATCAACCAGAGTACAGGCAAATCATTGTAGAGGTTGGTATCGTACGATGATAAGTATTAATTAATTTATTTTTTTTTATTTATATGCCGCCCTTCTCCGGAGACTCAGGGCGGCTTACAATGCGTTAAGCAATAGCCTTCATCCTTTTGTATATTTATACAAAGTCAGCTTATTGCCCCCACAAACTGGGTCCTCATTTCACCTACCTTAGAAAGGATGGAAGGCTGAGTCAACCTTGAGCCTTGGAGAGATTCGAACCAGCAGTAAATTGCAGGCAGCTGTGTTAATAACAGGGTGTGTAACCACTGTACTATCAAGGCTCATTAAATGCTTTATCTTCTCATTCCTTTAAAAAAAAAAAAAAAGAAGAAGAATATGTAACTACTTGAGCAGTAAACAAATTTCAAGCAAATGTAAATTTCTCAAATCTCTATAGGAGATTCAACCCTCTGTCCTACCAACATCTTTGCTGGGAAAAATATTAGCAGGTCTCCCAAAGCCAACATAACTACACAAAGACAATCTCTCTGTTGTTGTTATGATTCTTAAGACTATCTTGACTCATGGTGGTTCCATGGGTAGATCCGGGGATGAAATGCTATCAGTATGGACAGGTTCATCCGAACTGGTAGTGGAGGCGGTGAGTGGTTCGGAGAACCGGTAGCAGTGGCAGCGCGAGGCTCTGCCCACCCGCCCGGATGTTAAAACCAGGAAGTAACTTGTTTTTTACCCTCTGCGCATGTGCAGAAGGGTCTAAAATCACATGTGACGTGCACGCGCACTTCCGAACCGGTAGGGAAGGTACTGTATTTTTCAGAGTATTAGACGCACCAGAGTATAAGACGCACCTACCTTTTTTGGTGAGGAAAAGAAGAAAAAGAAATCTACCTCTGCCTCTGAGCAATTTTGCCTCTTGCAGCAAACAGCCTGCTTTACTTTCATTTTCGTTTTCAGCATAGCTTTACTAGCACAAGGGAAAAAAAATCTGCTCCAGCAATTTACCTCTTTGCAGCAAGCAGCAGAGCCCTGCGCAAAACAGCTGAGAGCAAACCAGCTGAGAGTCGGGAGGCCGATGGAATCAACTTGTGCTAATTAAGATGTGCTGAAGCTGAAAGGAGCTGTTTTTTCTTGCTGTTTGCTTGCAAGGAGGTAACTGCTGCGAGGCAGAGGCCAAATGGTGGGGGTCAGTGAGTGGGCGGGGCTACATTCGGTATATAAGACGCACCTAAATTTTCAACCCCTTTCAACCCCAGTTTTGGTCACTACTATAGATGAGATTCCTGAACAGAACCTTTGAACAGGCATTCATGTGAAGGAGATTTTCATAAACCCATTCTTAATCCAAAGACTGGTTGAACCTGGCATATGGCAGACAGAGAACTAAAGCGCCTCCCTTGTTTTCCACTGTGCGTTAGCCCCATTGCAACCTTCTAAGAACCCTTTCATTTTTGAGAAATTGCATTTATTGCGGCCAGCCCTAGGATTTTAAACATTTACCATCTGAATGGGCCAGCAAGGCAGAAGAGCTAGTAGTAGTATACATTTTCTCAGTTTGCTGCGTGGCGTCTCTGACATTTTTCTTCTCTCTCTTCCCTCCCTTACCCTCTCACCATCCCATTCCAGTTGTTGATGGTTGTTTCTGTGATTCTGGAAAGGAACCCCGAATTAGAGTTTCAGGATAAAGTGGACTTGGACAAACTGGTGAAAGAGTCGTTTAATCAGTTCCAGAAAGATCAGACTCAATCCAAAGGCACTGAAAAACAAGTCAGTATCATCCTTATTCCCAAGTTTGTGCTTTGCATGATCTCCCACCGTCTCGCTTTGTCTTCCTGGTTGACGCAAGCGAAAATGTTGCTTTGAAGTGAAGCCTTCCATGTTTTCTTCTAGTGAACAGAAAAAGTTAGCTAAAATTCTAAACAACGTCACTTCTTTACCTGATTGCTCATGGGAATTTGGATTCTCTCTTGCGCTGTACAAGGAGCTCAAATGTTAAGGAATGACAGCGCCTTATTGAGAACATCAGGGAAGAAATACATTGTTCCTTTTCTCAATTATAGATCTCTGTGCAGCCTCTGGTCACTGAATTGTTCTCCCCGTTCCTTTTTTGTAGAGGGGTTGGTTGGCAGAATTCACCCAGAAAAAAACTTTTGGCGTTTTTATGCTCACACGCAAACAATAGAATAGAATTAGAATAGAATTCTTTATTGGCCAAGGGTGATTGGACACACAAGGAATTTGTCTTCGGTGCATACGCTCTCAGTGTACATAAAGAGAATAAAATACATTCATCAAGAATAAAAAAATACAACACTTAGTGATAGTCAAGGTTACTAATAAGCTATCAAATCGTTCTAGGAAACAAATGAAAACAATATAAATTGAAAGATACAAGCAACATGGTTATAGTAATAAGTGGGAAGAGATAGATACTAGTAACAAAGAGAAGAATACTAGTAATACAGTCTTAGTAAATTATTTGACAGTGTTGAGGGAATTAGTTGTTTAGCAGAGTGATGGCGTTCGGGAAAAACCTGTCCTTGTGTCTAGTTGTTCTGCTGTGCAGTGCCCTATAGTGTCGTTTTGAGGGTAGAAGTTAAAACAATTTATGTCCAGGATGCGAGGGGTCTGTAGATATTTTCACAGCCCTCTTTTTGACTTGTGCAGTATACTGATCCTCAATGGAAGGCAGGTTGGTAGCCATTGTTTTTTTCTGCCAAATGGCCATAGACATCCCTGATTTAAGAATCTAATCTGGACCCTACCTTTCCCCCAGCTCAAACCTTCCAAAGAACAAAGTTGTGTTGCTACAAAAATCCTCTTTCCAGTTGTCCAAAGCCATCTAAGACAACCAAAAGTCTTAGCTGCAAATGTCCTTGATGGAGAGCTTCTCATAAATGTCTCACCCTGTGTGATAGCTATCAAATTGCCCAGGTTGAAGTCAGTTGATCCCACTGTTGTCTTCCTGTTAGAGCTCTCTCCTAAAATGACGGGAACTCTCTCACACTCTTTTGTGCAAAATGGAGCTGCGACTGAGTGTGCCCTTTATACATGGGAGAAAAACTCTGATGGGACCGTGTAGTCCATGGATGGGTCCATGTTTAAAACGTGTACTCCAAAGTTCCTTGACGTTGGCGCTAGATGACATGAGCACTTGCTGTCTTGCAAAAACTGGTTTACCAATTCTTTATCCCCACTTTCCAGCTTTCCTGATCCTGTTGGTTCGCCCTGCTTGCCATCATCATCTTCCACCTCTGCTCCCTTTCTTTCCTCTGCTCCAAGGTTTTCCCCTCCTCCTCCTCCTCCTCCTCCTCCTCCTCCTCCTCCTCCTCTCCAGCTTAGGAGAGCTCTTCCCTACCATCGGCACTCCAGAAAGCCAAGGATGCTTCAGCCCGCCCAGGGGGAGGTTGCGTGTTGTCATTGTAAGCAGGTGCAGCCACAATAGCATTTGCTCTTGCGGTGGGACAATTGCTCTGCACCAAACACAAATTGCAGTTGACAAGCTCTCTCCCCAACCCCAGCAACAGCATGACTCACTGGTGGCCTAGAGGATGATGAATTGCTGGCTTGCCAGGCTAAAGCTGTTCTTTACAGCAGCATAAAATCTCTGACTCATTGTGTTTGGGACCATTATTTTCCCTTGAATTCATCACATATCTTTCCGGAAATGCCTGCAGGTATTTTTGTTTTGTTTTGTTTCTGTTTCTGTTCTGTGATGGTCGCTCTTGTTATACACACCTTCCTTCTTGTGTTTCTCAGGGTGCTCCATATCCCCCCACACCTTATCCTCTTTGGTCGAAATCCAATAAAAAAAAAAATATAAGGAGAACGTGGAGGGCTTGCCTTGTCCCTGTCGATCTCCCCTCCCATCTGCGTGTTTCTTCCTCGTTGTTACTTAAGCCTGACATTCTCCATTCAACAGTTTTGTGACTCTTGTCTGTTTGTGCAGGACGACCTGACTTCTTTTTACAACACGCCACCGCTGGGGAAAAGAGGGACGTGCAGCTATTTGACAAAAGCGGTGATGAATTTATTGCTGGAAGGCGAAGTGAAGCCTACGGCAGAAGATCCTTGTTCCATTAGCTAAAGCAGTTGGCGCAGAAGATGGTGGAACCAGAGGTGGATGTCCATGGGTCATCCAGCTCTTGGCCTGCGAAGCTTCATTTCTCGCCACCGTTTGGACACTGTGATGCATAGTCATTAGGAGGAGCTCCATTGCTTAGAGCAACAATCTGTCCAGTTGGTTTCGTGTAACGAAAAAAAAAAAAGCATATTTAATTAGAGGACATACTCCCTGCACAGCTCCTAGGCAGCAGTCAGGGATTCCCATCTCACCATCACGGCTACCTCTTGGCTAAGTAAATGCCTGATATTCTCCATACGTAGACTGCTTGAGAATGACAGATATTTAGAAGCATTATCTAAGCTCGCGTTTACAGTCTAAGCCTCGCTTAAGGCGAATTGCAGTTTTATATTTAGTCAGCCAATCATGAATTAATGTAACTTTAATCATCTCCCCCTCTCCCCTTCTTCCTTTGTTCTGGTGTCAGTTACCTGCAAGCTTCCTTATGAAAATTGAATTACGGTAAAGACATCAGTTTTTTTTAAAAAAATACGAGAGATCTCCCATCTGTGAAGCTGGAGGATTTCTTGGACTCTGAAGAAATAAGGCTATCTTTCGATTTGAGGACACTGACGAAGCTTTAAAAATAAAATTAAATCTCTGTACTGAATACTCTTTCGGATTTGCCTGTAATGGGGTTCTGCGTTCTCGAATTGAAAATTGGAAGCAAATGAGGATCTTTTTTTAAAAAAAAAATCTTGCTCTCTCCTTTGACCTAGCGTAGAAGCCATCCGGCGTCAACTGGTAGTATAGGAGGGCAGCGTAAAAAATTAATAGATAAATGAATAGATGCTTTAAGAGACTTTATGCGTAATATCCTAGACCAGTGATGGCAAACCTTTTCAGCACCAAATGCCGAAAAAGGAGTTTGCACGTGCGGCACCAAATGCCGAAAAGGGAGTCTGGGCGGCGACCAGGAAAAGGAGTTGCCCAGGGGACATGCGCACTCCAAAAAATTTACTTCTGGTTTCCAGTGTCCATATGCCGACAAATGTAGCAACGTTGCTTTCCTACAAAGATCCCAAGAGCTGTTGCTGCTCTTTTAAGCCTTCTGGGAGGGGCCAATCATCTCCTGGCCTTACTCCCAAGTCGTCCTTTTTGCTTTAGCTGCTCTTGCCTTCTGGCAGCTCTTCACATGCATGCACTAGGAACAGGCTCCTTCTGTTCCTCTGCCTCTCTGCTGTCAGCCTCTGGAGGCTCCCAGATGGCCCTGGCCCCATCTCTGCCTCCGACGCAGAGCCCTCATCCGGGCCTTCTCCTGACTCCAGGACTGGCCCATTGTCCTCCCCAGCCTCCTCACTGTCCGACTCCACTGCCAGCTCCGCAGGCTGCTGGCGGACCACAACAGATGGACCCAGATTGGATCTTGCAACATTATCCTGGGGACACATATGTTTGCCTTCATTCACACAACCTTTTGCTCACAACCCAGATTCTCTACTTCCGAGGTGCGAGTCTTCCCTCAGAATCTCATGCCTAGCCTAACTAACCCAGGTGAAGAATTCTTGCCTTTGCTGATTTTGTGTCTGCAAGAGAAGGATTTCTTCTTCCCCCCAGCAAGGTTTGTGACTACCTCATCTGCAATTTCTCTGCACCAAGCTAATTATCCCCAAAGTAGATCTGAGAGGAAGGATTTTCAGTGTAAGAAGCTAGTTAGATGAGCGGGCTCACTGGCGCTTTGCTGTTTTATGCATTAAAAGAGTGACATCCGCTCTCATCTCTGCAGCGAGGAAAAAAAATTGTGAACCCAAATCCTCTGTGTATTTTTACGTCAGGACCGAACTACACACCTGACTTTGATCCTAAATATAAAGTTCAGGATTCATAAGGCAGTGGTAGCTTTGGCTTTCTCTAATCTCAAGAATTTTCTAGAAAGATTATCGGGCTATATTGAAAAGGAGAAGCATGCTGAAAATTTCCCATGAAACAGAGAAAGGAGTGGGAAGAATTTTTTTTTTTTAAAAGGAACAATAAAACTCATTTTATGCTTGGGGCATTATGTATTTAGCAGTGTGCCCGACAATAGAAGTTCTCTTACCAAGCACTAAAGGTTTGATCTGTGTGATTAAGATTACGTTCACTTCTTCAATGTTTAATTCGATCGCTTAACAATGATCTACCGTAATGTCCGCCTGGCTTTTGTAAAAGTGGAATTTGATCTTATAAATGGCTTTGACGCCGAAGTCCTTATTAATAACTGAGATTGATGAGCAAGCTAAGCTTCTCTCTCAACGGTTGCAAAATGAATGAAAAAATGGTTGCAGGAATTGAGTATGGCTAGTTTCATGAAAAGAAGGACCAGGGGTGACATGATAGCAGGGTTCCAATATTTCAGGGGTTGCCACAAAGAAGAGGAGCCAACTTATTCTCCAAAGCACCTGAGGGTAGGACAAGAAGCAATGGATGGAAACTCATCAAGGAGAGAAGCAACCTAGAACTAAGGAGAAACTCGTTGACAGAACAATTAATTAATAGAACGACTTGCCTCCAGAAGTTGTGGGTGCTCCATCACTGGAGTTTTTTAAAAAGAGATTGGACAACCATTTGTCTGAAGTTGAATAGGTGTCCTGCTTGAGTATGGGGTGAACTAGAAGACCTCCAAGGTCCCTTCCGTTATTCTGTTATTGACTTTCAGTTTCTTGTGCCATGTTGTCTGGTGGATGTGGCTCATTTGTTCTCCCACCAACTGCCTTGTTCATTAAAATAATTTTCAGATCTCTTAGGCATATCCAAAAAGAATTTTGCACTGTAGAACGCTTGGAGTGTGCCTATTAAGACGAATAATAAGCGTCTGGGTTTTTTGTTTTGTTTTTTTGGTTTCCAGATAATTAAAAAGCTGCAGGAATGATGCTGTAAAAATTAACAGGACATGGCCATTTGCTTAACGAAACGTGAGAACCCTAAGATCTAACTTCCCAGCCGTGAAATCTGTAGATTTCTATATCATGCACACACCATTTGTTAATTGGACATAGCAGTCAGAAAAGCATTTAAAAAAAAAAAAAGATTTCCAACAGCTTATAAGGACCTGAGGTGTGGAAATTAATCTTTTTCTCCTTGACCCCATTTGGGAAGATCTTCATATTTTTCACAAAAAGAAAAGAAAAGAAAAGAAAAGAATACTCTCTTTTTACCAAAGGACTGCCATGTTTTAAAAGCTCAAATTTCAAATATGACAAGAAGGGGGAGTTTATAATGTGGTTTCTCCCAATTGTATGGACTGCTTTTGTGCATAGTTTGATCCAATGCCAGATAATTCTAATTCCGTGCAGATATTTTGGTCTAGAAGAATTCTGGGAGTTATTTATTTATTTATTTATTATTTATTTGTCAACAAGTACAAGGAAACAAGTAATGGTATAGACATGGACACACGAAAAAAAAATTGGCACAAATAAAAGGATATAAATAGGCAAAACATAGCCATAAACACATAGAATGATTACATATAAATGGGGACAGTAGGACAGGGATGGTAGGCACCGGTTCAGTGACATCATATCGTCATCACTACTGGCTCGGTGGAACTGGATGGAACCACTGGTTCCAGACATTTACTACTCTATTGCAGAAGTCATATTTCCTACAATCAAGATTAGAGCGAATTACATTGAGTTTGAATCTATTGATAGTCCTTGTGTTATTACGGTTGAAATTAAAGTACTCATTTACAGGTAGGGCGTTTTGGTAAATAATCTTATGAACTAAGCATAGGTTGGAACGTAGACGGCGTAATTCGAGGCTATCCAGACCTAAAATTTCAAGCCTGGTGGCATAGGGAATTTTATTTCGAGCAGAGGAGTTGAGTAGTCTTCTAGTAAAATATCTCTGGACCGTCTCTATTGTATTGATGACTGAAATACAGTGAAGGTTCCAGGCAGGTGAATAGTATTCAAGGATAGGTCTGGGAAAGGTTTTATATGCCCTAGTTGGAAGTCCACAAGAATTTAAAAATGGCCAAAGTTGGGAGACCTCTGCTCTAGAGGATTCAGAGGTGGGCAGAGAACGACGAGACAGCAAAAGCTGGAGAACAGGATTCTCTCCAGTGATTTTTCACCATTAAGGAAGCGATCTGCACGTCTCATCCCAGAAGCTCAGCTTCGTCAGCACTAGAATTAGCTCTCCCCTATTCCGAGAGGGTGTGTAGAGGGAAGGGCATTAATCTTTTTTTGATACTTGTGCAACCCAGGCAGAAAAGTGGCTGGGTTTTTGCTTGAATTTCAGCTTGTAGAGGCAGCTTCTTACCTCCATGACAAATAAAGGATGTACTGGCGTTGGCTGAAGTTCTCGCTGGCTGAATTGCTGACCCAGACGCTCCACTGATCTCGACGATGGCCAATCTATTTCTTCCAGGTCTTTTTGTACAATTGCCTCATCGGCATATTTTTGCCCATCTCAAACTAATAAGAACGCTTATGAAATGGGATTTTAAATGGGGGATCTGTCTAGGCATATAGCCCAGGAATGTCCGTGTATCCCACAAATCTGCCTCCTATGGTTACTCCTTCTCTGATGGAGGGTTTAAATCGGGGGTGTTAAACTTGATGTCAGTGTCTCAGCACTGACATAGAAAAGGGAGGATGAAGCCTGAACTTTTGCCTGCTAAATCCCTTTGAAGATTCGGTCTCCTTGGAGATGAGGAGGGGGGAAACATTCCTGTGAACTGACGGAAAAGGAATCAGGAGAGTGACTTGGAAGATAGCCAATGAGAAGCAGAGAATTGGGGATCGGAAAGGGAGGGATTGGGGGGCAAAGGTCAGTATTGACCGCGAAGGTTGCTGTGCTCGAATAAAGAGAAAGTTTCCTTAAAGATTGGCAGTTTGGAAGTTCATTTATTTTGAGATAGCATCAAAACCTGACACTTGATTTCATTGAGGGCCGCATCAGTGTTGTGTTTGACCTTGGGGGTGTGTGTGGCCAGCTCGACCATTCGTGTCGGGGGTGCCTGTGGCAGCCTGAGCGCTCTGCCAGCAAAAATGGGCTCTCAAGCTCCAATTTCAGCTGTGACAGCCTCCTGCAACCCTCTGCCAGCGAAAACGGAGCTTGGGAGGGCCGCACGCAGCCCTCCCGAGCTCCGTTTTCGCTGGCAGAGGCACCGTGGGGCCGGTCCTTCGCTGTTTCCAAGGCAGTCCTGCAGGCCAGATCTAAGCACCCCGCGGGCTGGATCTGGCTTTCGGACCTTGAGTTTGACACCCATGGTGTAAATTATTATGGGTGAGCTGTTCTTGACTTTTTTCTCTCTCTCCACTCAGAAGTCAATTTTACTTCTCCTGTTGTGTGTAGGTTTCAAATGGCTTCTGTTTTGTGCGATGCTGTGGAGCTATCTCAAAGCCAAGTAATCCCTAGTCCAGGAGCATTTGGCCAAAAGTGTGAGATCCCTATAGTATTAGGATAGGGGTCTGCAATCTTAAACGCTCAAAGAGCCATTTGGATCTGTTTCCCACAGAAAGGAAAACACTGGGAGAAAACACTGTAAAGTGCCTGGGGGCCAATTTAGCATCTCGATCTCCACAGAGGTGGTGGTCATGGGTTAAATTGGAAGAAGGAGTGCTGTTTTTGCACCTTGCTGTTCTGGAGGAGAAGCATAAATAAAACAGATAAATGTGCCTTCCACAGAATTCTGCTACTAGTGGATCCACCCATTCATCCTTCCTCCCTTCCTCTCTCCCTCCTTTCCATCTTGTCTCCTTCCTTCCATCTCCCTCTCCTTCCTTCCTTCCTCCCTCCTCCTTCCTTCCATTTGTCTCCTTCCTTCCATCCTTCCTTCCTTCCTTCCTTCCTTCCCCCTCTCCTTCTTTCTTTCCACCTTCCTCTCCTTTCTTCCATCTCTCTCTTCTTCCTTCCTTCCATCTCTCTCCCTCCTTCCCTACCCCCTCCCTTCCTTCCTACCACTCTTACCCCAGAACTTGTTTTGCTTGGTTGCTAACCCTTCCTGCTTTCCCCCCATTGGAGCAGGTAAGCTGAGTCATACTGCATGATTACTATTCATGATCCAGGGAAGGCATCTAAAGAGGTATTCCCAATTGCTCTGGCGTTTCTGTTATTTCGTTCAGCTCGCATTCAAGCATAGGGCTTAAGATAGATTTTTCCTGTAGCCAGATTGCTCCGCCATGCTCTTTCTCTAATAATGAATTTTGATTGCTAATTTGCTGGGTCATATTGTGCACAGTACTAGCTCAGAGATGAAAATCCTACTCTCTGTTTTCTTGCCCCCAAGCAATCACTCTTTATAAGACTATCACAGACTCTCACGTCCCAAGTATGTGCTTCAATTAATATCCAAAATATGTAAGTTTAATTTGCCATCATTCTTCTTTCAGATGATTATTATGTAGTTGAGTGGTTCTCCGAAAACCGGTTCTTCAAAAATGAAGAGCCTCTAAAATTACTTCTTGGTTAACCTCCTCCAGCCTGGACACATTATTTTATATATTAGGGCTGTCACTACTAGCTGTGCTCCGTGGTAACTCTGGAAGTTGTAGCCCTCAGAAAGCCATAAAGTGGGTGGGTTGAATTAAATGATAACAAAGACATCATCCAAAGTCACTTTTGGGGATCTTCAGGGCTGGAGCAACTTAATTGGGCTTGAATGTCATCCTTTCCAGATAGCCAATAACCAAAGATGTAGATTAATGGCACCCCAAAACAACCACAGAATCACAGGTTCCCCATCCATGCATTATTTTACTGATGATACATGAAACATAATCCAGGTTTAATCCAACATCTGATACCAACCTTCCCCAATAAGATAAGGGAAGATAAGATAAGATTCTTTCTTAAAGAGCTTGAAAACCTAGATCTGGAAACTTTTCTGAAAATTCCATCAGCACAAAGAGTCCATTAGCACAACCTTGTGCACCATGTTGACTGTTTTCACACTTTGCAGTCAGGGGTGGGATTTTACCGGTTCAGACCGGTTCGGGCGAACCGGTAGCTCCAACGATCAGGTCCTGTGCTTTACTGACCTATATCTTCTCAGCTGATTCACGTGGCAGAGAGGATTGCCGTGCCTCAGCTGTGTTACTCCCCAGCAGTAATGCAGAAGGTAAGTTTTTGTAAAACTGTGCACTCGCCTGAAGCGCACAATCACCAAACCGGTTGTTAAAACTGGCAGGATCCCACCACTGCTTGCAGTAAAACATGTGGTTTGTTGATTTTGGCTAAGCAAAGAGATGAACAAGCTCTTTTGAAACTATGAAAGTCCTTGCTTCAATTAATATTTCTTCCTGGCTCACCTGGATGCTGCCAATCTGCCCCCCCTGAAGGTTCATACTCATTTTCCTTCACATTTCCCCCATTTCCAGCCACCTTTTAATTAGAGTGGACTTTTCTCTTAATTGCAGATGTTTTGTATCTCTCTTCACCGTTTTAAAAGCTACTCGAGCGGAACTGAACTTGGCACCTTCTGCACGGTAAGCTTAACAGAGTCGACGAGTGGCTACATTTTGAATTTGAATCAGATCTAAATTTCTGCGAGATGAGAGAGTTCATGGGGTGATGTTAGGTCAATCATTCCTTCTCCGCTCAACCTACTTCAAAGGATGTTGCTGGGGATAAAATTAGGGGACTCCTTCCTATACACCACCTCAAACTGTCCAGGGCAAGATATAAACACTATGAATACATATGTCTTCTGTGCTAAAAGTCCCCCCACCCAAAAAAACCCCTCCCCATCACTGAAGCCAAATTCACCTTTGTGTATCTCACTATCAACCATGCCTCAGTTTCTTGTCAACAACTCCCACTTGGGTATATTTCAGCAATCTCTAGAATGAAGGAATCTTACAACGCAATCAAAATTCACACCCCCGGCGTACATACTGTATTCTAAGAAGAGAATACTGAGTGGGCGTTTTAAAAGGGCACTAAAGGGCTTGTGCATACATCAAGCAACTGCTTCAACTTTTATTTTGGGAAAAAAAAACCCTCACAACCGCTTGATTTTTTTTTTTTTTTGGCCAAGTATCAGATTATCTAGAGGGCTCAGAACAAGGAGCTGCTTTCTAATGAGCTTGTTCACTATCCCTGTGTTCGAAAGAATGTTGATTTCTTCTTTCTTTCTGCAGTTTTTTTTTTTTTTTGCAGTATAGCAAGTGTATCAAATTCAAGGCCTAGGG